TGTAAATGTTTCCTTTACCCAGCCTCAATGTACATGCTAGCAAAACAAACCCATGTTACAACTTCGGAGACTTGTAAAAACTAAAGACATTGCAGGTGCGTACTGGTGTAACCCAACAGAATGACGCAGACGCTCACAGATAAAGTGAATAAAAGGCTTTACAAGTGAAGACAGAATCCACAATCGTAGTCAGGTCACAGGCAATGGTCAAATCCAGAAAGGGCAAAATACACAAAAACACATACATAACCAGGCAAACAGTCCAAAAGGGGTCAGGCAAAAGGCAGGTCAACAAACAAGGCAAAACAGGTCAGAACAGGAATAAACAGTCAGAAATAACGTCAGTAGCTCTATGGAAAGTAGCAATACCTCACAAAGAACCTATCCTACAAGACCAGGCTTTATGCTAAACTAATCAAAGAACTGCAGGCGGACCTGATCAGTACTCTGGAGAGCTTGAGTGCTGATTGGAGCATGAGAGTGAGGCATGAATCACGTGATCCCCAGGGGGTTCTGGGAGATGGAGTCCAAAGAGACCTCAGAGCCAAAGGGAGTCGTGACAACTGGATGTACTCACTTATATTATGAGGCCCAGAACTGTTCTGTAATGCGCAGCACATATTAGCATTTTTATATGTGAGCCACTGACATATGTGCCAGAGGTGGACCACATCTGTTTTGGGACACGTGGGCCAAAAGATTTTTTTTTTTTTAATGTGGGCCATGTTTGGCTCACATGCTGTTTGCCAGTAGGCAGCAGTGCCATATCTGTGCCAGAAGTGTACCAGATCTGTTTTGAGATATGTGGGCCAAATCTGCATTTTCAGTATGTCAGCCACCTTTGGCTCACATGCAGTTAGCCAGTGCCGACAGAGGGCCAGCAGTGCCATATCTGTGCCAGAAGTGGCCCACATCCTCAGACTTTCCCTTGTACCTCAGACAGCAGTCCATGAACTAGATGTTGCTTGGACACCTGGTCTTTGTCAAGTTGAGTTTAAGTCCACTGTACAGGTCTACAGCATTCCTCACTCTGTCAAGGAAGGATTCCCCTGTTTCATTCTTGTCTTGCTTCAGGTTTTTCATTTTCACCCAGTCACTCTTTACTGGGAAAGCATTGGCAATGCGAGTGTGCAGGTGCTGTCAAACACCTCATTATTTAGCTTCAAGGAGCCTCTTGACCTCTTGAAATTCAGGACTTTGCTTAGAACAGTTTGCCAGTAGAAAGGGTCATACACTCTCAGAAAGAAGGTTTAGTCCCCGTCCCTGGGGTAATATCCCTCTTGTCACTGGGGTGGAACCCTCAAGGGAACGTCTTGTTGCCTTTAGTTAGGGAACATAACTGTATGATATTCCATTAAAGCTATATTTTAAAGTTGTACTGAGGGCAAACAACCTGTTTGTCTCCAGACTAAATTACACAGTTGGACCATAAAACTATTGTTCTACCTTTGAAGGTACATTTCCAGTGTTTGTACCTTGATGAAATGTACCTGCACAGTACGCTTTATTTTGCCTACATGGCTTTCACAGCGTCCAACTCAGCTAGAACTCAGAGATGTTCTTGTCAGGAAGAGTCATGCTTTCTGCTAAAGACATTTCACACATGTCCCCCGGTTGGTTGACGCATGTGGTTTCAGCACCATCAGCTACAGAGTTAGATGCTGTTTTACTTCCCTTCTCACTTCCACGGGAAATATCTGCACCCTGTATGTTTCTGAAAAGAGACTGTCAGCAAAATTATAAAAATAAAATGAAGAAATTGCAGTGTTATTTGTCTTCTGCAGATTAACTTTCTGACTGGAAACAACGTAATGCTGTTTGAACAAAGCTAAATACTTGATTAATATAGAAATGTAGCTAAGCTTACAATCAGAAGATGAGATTTATGACATTGTTTTGATGTGAAGCGGTTCATCGTAGAGAAACTTAGACAGATGTCTTTACAGTGGTGGTGATAGGAACCAGGGTTCACCATGACTACAACACATATACAACCAGCAAACCTACACAAGTCTGAGTTTAAGTTGGAATGTTAATGATGGAAAATGGTCGAACATCTGAACTTTTTTTTGGAGGGGGGATTTTGCCTCACAACACCAAAAGGAGCAACATATGCTGCCTTTTAGATGCCGTCTTTTTCAGGAACATCCATGATTATTTTTTACCAGATGCACCAAGAAACATTCTGCACATCTGCTGTTCTACAACAGCAAGACTGCATAATTTAGAGAGTGGAGGTGCTACACTGACCTGCCTGCACTTCAGAACTGTGTCCCACTGAAAACAAAATGCAAGAACAAAGACCCTGTACGGCTGCACAGCTGAAAACTTGGGGAAAAAAGGTTAAAGTTACACTTTCTGAACTGGATCAGTTTGTGTCTCCAGTCTCCAAACGATTTAGTGGTGTTAAAAGAGAGGTGATGTAACATGGTGGTAAATATCCTCCTGCAACAACGTTTTTTGGAAGGACTGCAGGCGTCATATATGGAATGAGTGTATATTTATATATTAACAAAAAACAACAGTTCATAAGTTTTCATATCGTCCTCTGTTACAGCTCACCATACAGCGGATGTGAACCAAGGCCATCTGAGTTCTATCCCAGAGGCCTACCAGGTGAACCACCACAGGTTTTATGGGGACGGGACACAAATGCCAAGCTAATGTACAACAGGAAGGAAAAGCTCAGCTCAAAGCTTTTTATTTATTTATTTAACAAGAGATGAGGCCAGGGATCAAACCTGGACTGTACTCTACTGCTACACCACTGAAGCCACAGTGAGGGGCACTGAAAGGAATCTAAACCCACCTGTTTTGGTTCAGGGGGAAGAGAGAATTAAGGACGCCAGGGAAAAACTGGCTCTCTCAGAAGTAGAGCGAACTTAGTAACTAAGGCAACAAATGACTTTCCCAACAGAAAGGAAACCAAAACTGAAGAAAAGGAAGGAGGGGTCCTTCATGTTCTTTTATTTATTTTTTCTCTGAGACAAAGAACAGAGAAGAGAACCTTGAGAGGAGACTGGAACAACTCGAGAAGTGAGGGGGAGAGCAAAGCTCTCAGCCCTCTTACCCAAATTACCAGCTGTTTCTGTTGACTCAAACTGAGACAAAGACACAGCAACGTGTATCTCCTTCTCTGTCCTTATGAAGCCTCTGCCCAGGTGTAGGATGTTGGGCTTGATTGGCCCTGGGAGGTGCGCATTGTCTCCCTCTGGTGGCCGCCGGCGCTGCAGCCCTGAAACCAGTTTTCAATTTAATATAGGTCAAGTCAAGTCAGCGTTATTGTCGATACTACAATATGTACAGGACATACAGAGTATTGAAATTGCGTTACTCTCAGACCCCATGGTGTAGCAATAACATTAGATAGAAAGTAAAGTGCGAATTTAAATAGACATTAAAAAAAACACTAATTGTAAAAATAAACATTAATTGTAGAATAACAGAATAATAGAATAATGAGGTCAAAAAATATATAAATATAGAAAATCCTGAAATTAACACTAAAGTGATGTAAGGCACATACAGATTAAGGTCTGTGGGTATAAATAGTGCAAATATAAACAGTAGTGCAATTTAGACTGAGCTTATGGAGCTGTTAAAGTGATGAGTGCATAACAAACAACTTACTAATTTCTGCTTTCTGTCTTTATTGGCAGGTCACACACTGTCCCAGCTTCTTACTGGGAACTGGGTTTCTATTAAATAAACAAGTAAAGCCTGCAACATTGCTTTCACTTTTAATGTTACCTATTAGCTTAACTAGCTGTAATATCGCTTAAGAACAAAATGAATAAAAAAAAGAATTTAAAAACCAATCACCATCACTACATAGCTAGTAGTGGGTTAAATGCAAACAGCTACAAAGGAGAAACTTAAAATTCAGTTGTAAAGGAGTTTAATAATGTCTCTCAGCAGTATTTGGACAAGCTGTCACATGGCCTAAGCCTATCCTCAAGACAAGCATTGTTTTTTACAGTGAAATAATGGCTGCACTAAAGTAAAAGTACCTTTAAAAATAATAATAATAATTTGATCATCTAAATGACAGTAGATTCCTTTTTTCAAAAGTTTACCATAATAGTAAAATAACATATTCTGTTTTGAAATATTGTTCGCAAAAGCCTTCAACCAAGAAGTTGGCAGTTATAAATATGCTGGTTAGAAGAAAGAAGTTTCTTTGTACATGCCAGTCCTTGTATGGATTTGTTTGATTATAGCACAACTGTTATAATTTAATGATAGACTGAACCAGTAAAGTAGGGCTGAGTCTCAAATGGCTTCCTATGTTAGTGCACAATGTGAATTAAGGAATTCTGGCTTTTCCACTCAAACATTGCACTGTAAACCGATCAGGCATAGCATTATGACCACCTCCTTGTTTCTACGCTCATTGTCCATTTTATCAGCTCCACTTACTATATAGGTGCACTTTGTAGTTCTACAGTTACAGACTGTAGTCCATCTGTTTCTCTGATACTTTGTTAGCCCCCTTTTACCCTGTTCTTCAGTGGTCAGGACCCCCATGGACCCTCACAGAGCAGGTACTATTTGGGTGGTGGGTCATTCTCAGCACTGCAGTAACACTGACGTGGTGGTGGTGTGTTAGTGTGTGTTGTGCTGGTACGAGTGGATCAGATTCTTCAACCTGAAAAAAAAACATTAAAAATTCAACTTAAAATTTGAGATCATTTGAGGGAGAATTGGCTGTTATTAGACTATGAAATGATGTCAATTATTTGGACACCCTGTATATTCTAAATTGTTTACTAAAACTCTTGCTGTCCAGATAAACAGCTTTACATATATTTTTCTCAGATTGCCTTAAGATTTCTACACAATTTACAGCCTGTTTCTTCTGCAATACTTCAAATGTTGGGCTAGTTTCAGCTTCTGGTGGGCGGGATTAAGTATATTTAGGGCTGGAGAGTTTTACCAGATCTGGGAACCCTGAAAGGACTATATATATCTCTGGTACTCAAGAAGTCGTGGTACGACGGCAGAGCTTTGCACCAGTGACATCTCCTTTTCTCGTCCTACTAAGGTAAATACTGTTTATATACAGGCATCACCATCTAATCTTGTTCGGGAAATACCCAAAGGTGTTTTTGCTGATATGATTTGTGATGAGAGAAATTCATGGGTTTAAGTTGTGTGTTTTCCTTCATTCTTTTAATCAAACAAATGCTGTGGCTGATGTTGTTTGGCTTAGTGCTTCAGCTACTGCAGCTTAAAGCTAATGTGTTAATTTTCAGAGAATAGTAATTAAAAGTTGAAGGACGTGTTTTCATATGTGTGTATTACCTGCTTTTTAGCTTAGAATGATCTTTGATCGATCAGTCAACCTTTACATTTAAACTCAGAGTGTATCAAGGGTGACCTTAATTTCTGTAGTCAATACAGAAATCAGGGACTGGAAGAATTAAACTGTAAAAACTTATCAAAGGCAAAACATAATAAAAATAATAATTATATTAGAGAACTTGATATTACAGAAATCAATCAAATCAAAATAAACCATTAATAGTGCAAATATAAAATGACTTAATGAGTTCAAATTGGGATTAAAATCATAAAAAACTGTTAATAAAAGAATAGAAAATGTAAAACAATAATGCAGCAGTAACAAAAAAATAAATATTGTTAAAGCAAATAAAACAAGCCAAAATCATATTGAAAGTGGCTAAAATCAAGTAAATCACTGTCAGGCTGTGTGGAGGTAGTTAGAGAAAGTTTAAAAGGACACCAGCGAGTTTCCTGTAATGAATTCCAGCTAAACCCCTTTTGGATTCTTAAGTAAACCTTTTTTGTAGATTAACAGTGGCATATTATGCTGGACATCCCTTCACTTTTAATAAGAATCACATTTAACTGAAGTGAATACATTTTTTTTTATTGGGCAGAAGAGCATGAACATAAACAAACAACACATTAAAAGATTTCAATATTGCTTTCTAACCCTAAAGGTCACTGCTCACCGGATACACCTCATCATATCGCGCCTAAGTCTAAAAATCCCAAAACATTTAATGTTGACAGACAGTGGCTCCAGGTACTCTTCAGTTTCTCAACACTTCACACTCAGCATTTCGCCATTACCACATTACATTAAAGCCATATCAAGACCACAGAAAGCCACTGTAGATCACATGTGGTTTAAAATTATCCAGAGAAAGACAGTCAGTCTTTTAAATAAACTTAAAAATGTAGAGTGTAAAACTGCACTCTAACTTCATCTCACTGTGGTCTAGTATAGCAGCGCTCTGCTACCTGGTGCTCTGCACTGCAACATGTTCTGTATGCTACTGATGCATGACTCTGGTTTCCTAGAGTCGACTCAGACTCTCGACTCCTGCTGCTGGAATCCAGTCGACTCCACTTAATTTTAACCAGTAAATTTAAAGTAAATCACTACAAACCAGTTAACCCAATTTAAAGTTTTTATTCTGGGGCCGTTGAATGTTATCTGCCCTTTCATGATGAAAATGCAGAATTTGGTTTTCTGTAGCAGAGTTATGGTACTGTTTAGTGTACCAAAACATCTTTGTGAGCAGAGTTTGTGCTTATAGCAGCCAAGCAGCGCTGGTGTTGTTTAAATGAATTACACAACTTAATTAATAAATAAAATAATTAAACAAACATACACTACTCAGACTCTCACCTGCATTACACACAATTAAGTTTACATGTCCCTCCAGCTAATTACGATGAAAAACCATAGATCTGAAGAGTCGACTCCAAGCATTTTGACTCTCAGAGTCATTAGCTAGGAGTTGATTCCCATCACTACTGTCTGCATAATTTCCATCCATACTTTTCCCCATAATGACCACCTGTGCAACATGCTCCTTCTGTGCTCACTGAAAATGTCCTTCAGTTTTGAAAATTAGTTTTCACACATTGTGTTTGCTCCATATGTTAATCTGAGACTCAGTGTTGGCTGTACAGTAGGCTTTAAGTTGGAATGCTTTCTGTCCAAAATACTGTGAGGCACCAATGTGTCTTGTCTAGATTGGTCAATCTGTGTAGTGAACCTGTAAACTCTGATGAGGCTTATGCAAGGCATGTGGCCAGATTAAGCAGAACTTAAATTAACTCTCTTTCTTGCTTGTTTTTAACAACTGGACTTTTAGGATTTGCAGTGGCATGGGGCTTATGGTTGGTGGAACACTGTAGGACCTAGACATTATAAATTGAGTTGAGATGACAAGCTTTGTTCTGTCAACAGAAAATTAACTAAAATGACAGCAATACGCAGCTCTATCTGACCAATACGCAGCTCTATCTGACCAAAACGTAGCTCTATCTGACCAATACGCAGCTCTATCTGACCAAAATGCAGCTCTATCTGGCCAATACGCAGCTCTATCTGACCAATACGTAGCTCTATCTGACCATTACATAGGCAATTTTGACTGAGATCTCTATCTGACCAATAAGTAGCTCTATCTGGGCTCACATCAGGCAATTTCGACTGAGATCTCTGAATGGCATTCTCAGCTAGAAAATCCATGTAATTAATGTGAATGCAGTCTGAAAAGGCTTCCCTGCAGAATAAATAAATCAATAAAAATAAAGTTTAAGTTGCTGGACAAATTACACAAACCCAAAACAGGAGGGCACAGTATTCCATGTCAAAGGGTAATCACCCCCTCGTGGAGCCAAGCCTGCATCATACCGGTGTAACAGTAATGATAAAACCAAACCTTAAGATGAATTTCAACCCGTATACTGGAAGAACCAGTTTATCACTCTCTACTAGTCAGCACTGTTTTGGCCGATTGAACATGTTAAATCACTGTAATTACAGTTTCGTGACCAAATTAAAGATGAGAGTGTACAACACCAGCGTTTACCCAACTGCACTTTCATAGTGTTCCTTTATTTCACAAAGACTAAGCTTCAACTAACATACTATCACTGTGCTCACTTCTGCTTCTGAGGTAGGAACGGTCTCAAAATAACCCATCAAAAAAGTGCTGCTATTATTATTAATTAGTTACAAAATTAAATTAACTTGAGCCTCCCAGCCCAGTATAACTGTTTACCACAGTTATTTCCTCATAGTTACCCAAATAAGAGGACTGTAAGAGGACTAACAAGCCTGTTGCTGTGGTAACAGCAGATACTTAATAAATCTGACAGTTTTAACTCTTTGACAAAATAGTCTATTGATAACATTTCTAAAGTTTCTACTTCCTGACGTCCAGGAATGTCTTTGTTGTTCAAGTTGTGTCATCCACATTTTCTTTATCTGTTTTCTAACCTGTTCCAGGAAAAGTGCTGAAGTTCTTTCTTCGGGAGCTCGACTTGATTTGCTGCTGTTCAGAACTTCAGAACCTAAGAACATGGCAACATCATCTATGGTCATGGACAGTCACCCTCCAATGAATGAGTGAGTCTCTCTCTGTTTCTCACCCTTTCTCACTCTTTCTCTCAAATTACAGTACCTTCTCAGGAAAATACTCATCCAGATCAAATACAACCACTGACTGCAACAGTAATTTGCTGACATTAATTGTTCTTTATTTAAGCCTCTTTTTAAAATCACTGCACTTATAAGGGGACATGTATGTCATCCTAGAGTAGCAGCACATATTTTGCTGGACTATAATATAATATAATATAATATAATATAATATAATAGATAGGGAATTTTTCAATGAAAAAACATTTTTAATGGATAGTTCATAGCAGCTACTAAATAACGTATGGAAGTCACTGAATAATTTATAGCTGCTGAATAATAATAGTTACTGAATCCCATTTACTCACCTTTATATCTGTCAGTGATGTCCTTTTCAGAAATGTGTCTCAAAATGAATCCCTGCTTTTACAGGGAGAGGAAGAAGAGCAGGGAAGAAGTGCTTGACGCCTTGGAAAATCTTGGCCCATACAGCGAAGCCATTGATGCATGTGGTGACACGGTGCTGAAGTATATGGGTTCCATTGTTTCACAAATGTGTTCGTCTGTTGTAAGTCAAGCTTTCAAATGGATCACAACAGAAGATGGTAAAGTCTTATGTCTCAACCTTGTACGCTACTTTTACGAGAGGCTTACAAAGTCAGCAGACAGTCAGAAGGTCGATGTGTGCAGTGGGAGTGGGGAACTGCACATCGTGCTGGTGGGTAAAGGCAGCATCAGTGATCAGACCCGTCCTGCTGACTGTTTTGTGCCTCTGAATACCATCACTGATACAATCCTGTATCCTCCATGGAACTGCGCCATTGACGCCAAAGTTGCTTACGGCATCTCAACAGGAGACATCCTGCCCGAGCACCGAGACTTCGGAGACTGGACACCTCAGAGGCCCCTCCCTGAAGTCTGGAACTCCATGAAAGATCGGCAGGGAAAAAGAGTTCCTGAGATCATCCTTGGTCCCCTTACAACTGATGCTGATTTTATATTGAAGCTCACAGCATTTTTAAACTCAGTGTCACTGTGGGAAGATCGCAAACGCCTTATCATAATGTATTCACCAGGAGGCTTCCTTGCTAGGTGGCTACCAGAAGTGACTTTATATCAGATCGTTGGTGTGATTGCAGTCCTGCTCTGGATCCTACGTAGCAAAGCCACCATTCACCTGGCTGCAGGTCTCCAGTCCAGAGGAACTCCACCAGCAGAGATGGAGGCGATGTGGCAGGAACTGTATGCCTACACACCCAACGGCACTGTAATGACCACACAGAACATGGAGCACGGGGAGTTTAACATGCTGTACAACCTCCTTTGCACCGCATTCGAGTAATCACATGACAATGAAGAGGGCTCAAAACGAATTAACAAAATAGCTAATTTCTATCCTTTTCACAGGCAATATGTAAGTTTAATGTAATAAAATAATAGGTTTCCAAAGCTATTAGACCTGGCAGGTCTGCTTTTACTAGTAAAAACATGCAAACAATATGAAACAGCAAGTTTCTCCAGCATACAGCCACCAGACAGAACATGATTATTTACTAACAAAATAAACAACACCAAAGCTATCACTCACATATTTCTCTGCTAAAAGCGTTGTAGTTTCCAGTAGCCACTGTTTAAACCTGCTTAAAGCCGCTTATTTAGTCGTCATCATTCTGACTGTAATATTATTATCATAATATAATAATCCAATATCAGTTACAGCAGGGTCGCAAATGATCAGCTCATATTTACAGTTCACCCTTTATCTGGCCTGCAAGCCTTTTTTTTCATTTTTATGCAACTAAATATGTAAATCAGATGGGTTTGATTTGCTTCCCTCACTAGACACTGGGGTTGGTTACCCAACATAAGCTACAGTGCTGTAAAAACTATGATTTCTTCTATATTTGCATATTCCTCAAATAAAATTTTGTATACGACAACTTGAGTAAACACAAATACAGCTTTGAAATGATTCATTTCATCTATTGAAGGAAAAAAGACAGCAACAACAGTAATTGCTCCCTTAGTTACTCAACCAACCAAATAACCAAAATCGTTGGATCAATTAAACTAGACACACTCAGGCTTGACTACTGCCAGCCCTGCAGAATCTAAACAGAACTTAAATAGAACTTTTCCAGCAATGGAAAGACACTAGAATGAAAGCTATTGAATTACATCAGTATGGAAAGGATTACAAACTCATTTCTAATGCTGTGGAACTTCAGCAAACCACAGCGAGAGCCATTATCTCAGAAAGGATAAAACCTGAATGGTGGTGAATCTTTCCAGAAGTGGCCAGCCTGTCAAAATTCCTCCATAACATAGCAGCGAATCCAGGGTGTCACAAAAGATCCCAGACAGACATCTGAGGAACTGCATGCCTCACTCACCTCTTATAAGATCAGTGTTTATGATTCCACCATTTGAAAGAGACTGGGCAGAAATAATATCCATGGGAGAGTCAGAAGGCAAAAACCACTGTTAACCAAGAAGAGTATAAAGCCTCATCTTACATTCACAAGAAACCCACCTTGATATTCCCCAAGCCTTTTGGAATAATGTTCTGTGTACTGATGAGAAGAAAGTGGTCCTTTTTGGAAGGTGGGGTTCCTGTTACATCCAGCATAAAGCTAACATGGCAATCCACAATAACAACATCATACCAGCAGTGAAACATGGCAGTGGTAGTGTGATGGTCTGAGGATGCTTCGCTGCTTCAGGACCTGGACGACTTGCCATAATTGATGGAACCATGAATTCTGCTCTGTACTAGAAAATCCTACAGGGGAATATCCAGGCATCAGTCAGTGATCAGAAGCTCAAGCAAAACTGAGTTATACAGTAAGACAACAATCCAAAGCACAAGAACAAGTTCATGTCTGAACAGCTTAAAAGAAACCAAACGAACATTTTGGAATCGTCTAGTCAAAGTCCTGACCTGAATCCCTTTGAGATGCTGTGGCAGGACCGTAAACAGGCATTTCAAGCTTGAAAGTCCTCCAATGTAGCTGAAACAAAGTCATTCTGCAAACGAGAGTGGGCCAGAATTCCTCCACAGTGATGTAAAAGACTGATCTCCAGTTATAGGAAGGTTTGGTTGCAGTTGTTGCTGCTTAAGGTGGACCAACCAGTTATTAAGTTTAGGAGGACACTTACAGTTTCACATGGAAGATGATTGTGTTGCAACACTTTTTTCTTTTAAATACTGTGTTTTGTGTTTTCTCATGTTCTCCTTGTTAAAAGAAAGTTTAATTGGTTTAATTAAAAACAATTTTTTTCTTAAAACAATGTATTTATACTACTTCTATTACTATCACTACTAATAACAACAATAATTAGTAGTAGTTCATGGTGATAGAAGAATTGCTAATTAAATAAATGTGTACATTATGTAATTAAAAGTTCATACATAGAGTTAAAATATGGGGACTGTTTTAATTTACAGTGTTCTGTAAAATGTCAAATTTGATGTTGTTAAAATTTACACTTGAAAAAATGTGTCGCATTTTTCCCCCTGCCTTTTTTCCAACCAGCCCCCTGTGAAGACCACCTGGCAGGTGGCCCCCCACATAATTAGTTTGAGAGCCCTGAGTTATAATGTAACTGTACTGTATTCTGAAACTGTTTAAGCAAATATCAGCGGTAGCTTTTTGTGTAATGGAACTTTTATGATTTATTATCCATGCATGACTCTATGCTTCTTCAGAAATCATTATAAACATGTTATATCATAATCAGTAGCTGCACATCACCCAAATATTGGTGATGTATTAATTACATGAACTATAAAATCTGAGCGATGTGATGAAATAAAATACAAAATAATAAAGGATTTCTGTTTCTGTTAATGATTCACTTTGCTATAAACAGTGTCATGTTTTAAATCAAGCCATAAACAAAATCATATCGTTTACATGCTTTATATTACCAGCCATAATGTTTTAAGTCTCCCCATAGACAAATCTCAACAATCCAGCACTATAGATAAAATTTCATAAAATCATAAAATGTATAAAATTTCATAAAATATAATGCTCTAAAAGCATTTATGTAAAATCTGTATGATTTAAAGTAAAATTAAGATTGAATGTAAAAATTAATAATTACAATATGAGCACAATAAAAAGCATTACAAATATACAAATTAAATTTAAGAGTAAGAAACATAGGAATTAAAAACACTAATAAAAGATAACAGAAATTTGTATTATACACTGTATGTGCTGTAAAAATTTGTTTTCACTGTCAAAGTACTGTAAAATGTAATTTAAATTTAATTTAACTTTTCACCAGTGGGCCCTGGATATTTAAGGGGTTAGTATATGTGAATTTGTGAACCTGCCTCCTGTTTAAACACAAGAGCAAAAATACATTTTTCACACAGATTAAGAAATGATTACACTGACTGGTCTGAATTTTGAACACTAAGTGGTAAACTCTTCCCTATTTTTTGGGATTCTGTATGAAAATGTCTTTTCCCCAGCTGTAGATTTTTTACTCCTGTGTTTATTCCTACAGATCTTTAGATCACAGGCTGCTGGATAACAAGTAGCTTCTGTAAATCAATATTGGTGCTATATCTCAGTTAATGACACCTCTGCTGAACAGCCTGGAAAAATAAAGTACTACAAAAGAGTGCAACACTGCACTCACAGCCAAATTACTAAATAATACTTTAGTTCATTATATTAAAAAAAAGACTGAGACACTTCACTTTAGTTCTGTTACTCTGTAGCGCCCCCTGTTGGAATTATTATTAACTGCAACTTATTAGTGGATCAGACACAGCAGTGCTGCTGGAGTTTTTAAACACCTCAGTGTCACTGCTGGACTGAGAATAGTCCACCAACCAAAAATATCCAGCCAACAGCGTCCTGTGGGCAGCGTCCTGTGACCACTGATGAAGGACTAGAGGATGACCAACACAAACTGTGCAGCAGCAGATGAGCTATCGTCTCTGACTTTACATCTACAAGGTAGACCGACAAGGTAGGAGTGTCTAATAGAGTGGACAGTGAGTGGACACAGTGTTAAAAACTCCAGCAGCACTGCTGTGTCTGATCCACTCAGACCAGCACAACACACACTAACACACCACCACCACGTCAGTGTTACTGCAGTGCTGAGAATGACCCACCACCCAAATAGTACCTGCTCTGTGAGGGTCCTATATAGTAAGTGGAGCTGATAAAATGGACAATGAGCGTAGAAACAAGGAGGTGGTCATAATGTTATGCCCGATCGGTGTAAATACAAAATCGGTCTATAATTTGAATCTAAATATTTTAAACAGAACCGCTCTGTATGTTACTCTATATGTTGCAGTTTTACAGTTAAAGATCCATAATTACTCAAATCTACTTCATATAAACACAATTTGTAGCTGCACACATACGTGCTTTAGTGAGGGGGATTCTTCCACTCCAAAATGTCTGGGAGTCGGGGGTCGTGTGTAAAGCAGGAGAGATTCTGAGTTTGAGTAGCGGGAGTTTTAACCCCCCACCCCCCCCCATTAAAATCCATATGTTAATGAGTAAATAAATACAAAAATAAATCAAAAATAAACAATCAATAAAATTACATGACTGGATTCATGAAAAACCAAAGGTTTTAAAATAAAACTGTCTTCACCCACTTTATGAAATGGTGCACTGTGATTGTCTCTATTGGTAATTTGTTTTTGGTGCATTAAACATCGAATTTTGATTAAATTGTTAGAATTTTTACTATATTTATTATTCTTATTGTTATGATTATTATTTTACAGTCAATTCACTCTGTGCTATATATTAGCTTCTACTGTCACAGAAGAATGTTCTTCTTTAGTATATATACATATACACACTAAAGAATATATATATATATATATATATATATATATATACATATATATATATATATAGAGAGAGAGAGAGAGAGAGACAGAGAGAGAGAGAGAGAGAGCACTCACAGAACCCTTTGCATGATTAAAGGGTTCTTCGCATTATTAAATAGTTCTTCTTCAGATTCATGGAAAATGTGTTGTATATGGTTCTTTATAGAACCTTTTTGAAAATGGTTCAACATATCACCATAAGGGTTCTTCAACCCTTTTCAAAAAGGTTCTATATAGAACCGTCTACATCAGGGGTTCTCCACCTATTCCACCCCAAGGCCCACCTGTGTACAACTACAAGGTACTGCGGCCCACAGGAAACTGACATCAGCTTTTTAAATACTTTATTTTTTTTTCTTAAATGCTGACACTGAAAACCTGAGAATTAGGGCCTCAGAAAGATCAGATCGGCCACTCTGGTTGTCAGTAGGTTTGCAAAATTTGCAGGTATGTTAAAAAACATGAAACACGTTAAAACCACATGGTTGTAGTGATGAGAAAAGGAATAAAAGAATATAAGTGTACGAGCTAGATGTGATTTGGAGCTGCAATCCATCGCGTTTTCACTGAAAATCCTCCACTGGCTTTTCCAAAAGAGTAACTGTGTGATCTCAGGAAGTCTCTCTACTTTTGAGGGTTTTTGTGATTCATTCTAAATAAACCTCACTCCATTACCAGGCTTTTAGATTAGCATCGGCACAATTAGCAATTATGGTAAATCTTACCTAATATCTGCTTTTTTGTTTTTGGTTTATCAGTTTGAGTTTAGCCACTCAGGTCGCTGATCCTATCCTTCACTAATTTTATGTGTATTGTTTTTAACAGCAGGTTGTGTTCAGTGTCTGAGGAGTCAGCCGTTAAAACAGTCGTTATGCTGACTGTACGGCACCGTCGGTTTGTGTGAAGTGGACCGAGACCCGCAGGTTTCTGAGCTAAAGAAAAAGGTGTGATAAGTCCTGACCAAACAAAGCACCCCGAGAAACCTCTCTGCCCCAGGTTCGCTGTCTGCATCGCGGCCTGCGGCTGCACCGTCTCAGACCGATGGCGTTTAGTTAGCCACTACTACGGCGGTTTTATTTGTACATCTCTATTAATATTTATATCATTTATACTGTCAAAGCATTTGATAATTAAAAATCTAAGAATTACGTTCATCATTTTCCACTTAACAAAAACATGTTTTTATGACTTACAGTGACGTTACCAGCCTGAATTACTGCGTCCCTCTGAGTTCAGGCCCACGGACCACTAGAGGGTGCTTCACGGCCTACTGGTGGTCTGCAGAAAACCCTAATCTACAGTGCATTAAATTATTTCTGCAAACTGAATCATTCACAGTGGTTTGGTGTGAAATGCTCTGTTCTAGAGAAACTTGTTCACAGTGGTGGTGATAGGAACCAGATGTCCACCTCTAAAAGCTCCCTCACAGAAAGTTACTACATGAAATGGTTATGAATTCACTGCCTGATGACTGAGACACTGTTTTATGATAGTTTTGAGAACTTAAACTCCATTCATGGTGGAGGGATACATGCAGGGCTTTGTGAGCCAAAATAGTCCCCAAAGAAAACTTATTTCAGATTTTCCACTATTTTCCATCATCAACATTCCATATAAACTCAGAAGACTCGTGTTGGTTCACTGGTGGTTTTGGATAGTAAATAAAATGTCCATATTTGTGTTGTAGTCATGGTGACCCTTGGTTCCTATCACCACCACTGTAAAGACATCAAACATTTCACACCAAAACTCTCTGAATGAGTATATATATATATAAATATATCAATTTAAAATGGACTGTATGGACTGTACATGAACGGTATCTTCAAAATGTTCACATTAATTATACATAAACAAAAATAAAATTAGAAAAATTTGTTTTTCCACGATATGGGCCCTTTAATCGTTTAATTAAATGCAGAGCGACCTGAACACCACTAGAGGGCGCTGAAACACTTACATTTTCCATGCTGTTTCATCTCTGTGTTATGATGATGCACAAGGCTGAAGTTGGGTTATTTATCTGTCCTTTTGCTGCTTGTTCGCAATTTCTCATTCACTTAACAATAGGAAACAAAATATATTTATATACCTACAGGGATATTAATCTGGTCTAATAACGAACAGTGATGTCTTTTACAACACTTTCTTTGTTTTGCCATCGCTTTGTGAACTGTTCTTACTTAGAGTTCAGGTAAAGTGCATGACAAGAAGTGCCCTGGTCATTTAGAATCTCTTTGGGGATCCCAACTCGGAAGATCATTCTAAAAAATGCCTCTGCAACACTACTGAGATGCTGCAGAGTGGCACTGCCTCCGAGTATCACGTTGCATATTCCAACTGGACTAATACAAAGCAGTACCCTTGTGTGCTCCTATCTAATGGTCCGACGAGGTTCATCCCAATTCTCTCGAAGGGGACCTTGATTAAAGACATAGGGCGCAATGGGGCTTTTGAGATGGCCAGCCAGTAAAAACAGATCATTAATTTACTGTTTAGTTTAGTGTTCTAATTTTGTGTCTTTTTCTGCCCCATATGCCCGGCCATGGGATTGTTGTTAGCTGCTTGGAAAAGCTAACAACTGTGTGGTCACTCCTGCTATTTGAGTGTCCTGCGTCACTCTATACACCTTGTCTTTAATAATGACGAAATGAGGATAAGACAGAGGGACTCCTGGCTCAAGTATTTGACCATCGATTCCTTTCACTTGGTCAAAGGCATTTTTCAGGGTCCCGTCCCGTGACTGCTCCAGAGGTAAATCCCCGAGGGGAGCCATGGGGGCAGGCTGGAGGGTGAAGTCTTGGTGTGTGGCCTCCCTTTCGGGATTTACCTCACTGGCCGAGGATCCCGCCCCCCGATTCCCCCTGCTCTGGAACAGCCCCCGACAGAGCTGGAAGCATGCCTGACTCATGATTTCCATTTTTTATTGTGGGACCCATCCTCTGACAGTTCCCTACCTAAACCCTTGAACCATAAGAGGCAAATTAGTTCCCAAAATCAGAGGATGGGAAAGGCGAGGACTAATCACTGCCTTAACACTATGTTTCTTACCGTAAAAATCAATAGTGATTGGCAAAAGTGGATAATCATGAACGCCCCGCGTAAGTGTGAACACGGAATTTGACCAGGACTTTTCTCACCATGGTAGTGGAGTTTGAGCAGGCTATGAGCCAGGACATTTCTCACCATGGTAGTGGAGTTTGAGCAGGCCATGAGCCAGGACATTTCTCACCATGGTAGTGGAGTTTGAGCAGGCTATGAGTCAGGACATTTCTCACCATGGTGGTGGAGTTTGAGCAGGCTATGAGTCAGGACATTTCTCACCATGGTACTGGAATTTGAGCAGGCTATGAGCCAGGACATTTCTCACCATGGTAGCAGAGTTTGAGCAGGCTATGAGCCAGGACATTTCTCACCATGGTAGCAGAGTTTGAGCAGGCTATGAGCCAGGACATTTCTCACCATGGTAGCAGAGTTTGAGCAGGCTATGAGCCAGGACATTTCTCACCATGGTAGCAGAGTTTGAGCAGGCTATGAGCCAGGACATTTCTCACCATGGTACGTGACGTTGAGACATTTCGTATGAGCAGGCTATGACCAGGACATTTCTCACCATGGTAGTGGAGTTTGAGCAGGCTATGAGCCAGGACATTTCTCACCATGGTACTGGAGTTTGAGCAGGCCATGAGCCAGGACATTTCTCACCATGGTAGTGGAGTTTGAGCAGGCCATGAGCCAGGACATTTCTCACCATGGTAGTGGAGTTTGACTAGGCCATGAGCTGGGCCAGGGCTAAAAATTCTCAAACTGACTGGTGGAAAAGGTGGCATCCTGAGACAGCGCCGTGTTTAAAGTCACTGAGCTCTTCAGTATGACCCATTCTACTGCCAGTGTTTATGGAGACAGCATGGCTATGTGCTTCATTTTACATACAGGTGTGTACAGGAGTATCTACATACTTTTGGCCATACTGTGTATGGTAGAAATCTCTGTTATGTTTACAGTTTATGCACTGAAAAAGGTCATGTGAGACTGAAATGTTTGTACTGTGTTATTGTGTTAAGTGTAGGTCACATTAGGGCCCATGCACCTGCAAAACAGTTTGCACCTTACAGTCTCTGTGAGTTTACTCCTGTTTATTCCTTATAAACTGTCATATGAAGAAATAATTAAAAAGACTTGTTTAAAGATTTTTAACTAATTATCCCTGTTTTATGTATAATATTAACCTTATAAACTCAATCACCGCCTACATACTGTCAGATATTTCCTAATTGTACTGCACAAACCCACCAACCAACCTTGACCACAAAACACTTCCACCAAAATGTGTGTAGTGTATGAGGTAAAAGACCCCAAATCCTATGTCAGAAAGTGTATTACATTTTTACTGAAGGACACAAGCTTCAAATGTCTGTGTGTGAGCTGGAACTGTGTAGTGTTAAATGTGGTGTGGGAAAGTGAACATACACCATCATTAGCATGACACCAGGTTGTAGAAATTAGTTTTACTGTTGTACAAACAAACACTACTTATACTTGTAATAGGTTCAGTGAGATATATGTCACTGTAATACATCCAGTGAGTTGAATATCACTGTTAAATATCACTGGAATAAAACCAGTGGGTCAAATGCCACTGTAATAGATCCAGTGAGTTAAATATCATTGTAATAGATGCAGTGAGATACATGTTACTGTAATATCTGTATGTGTGTTTGTATAGTAAATGTTTAAACACCACCCATGTTGTACTGCTACTAAAAATGACATTCACAGTTCACGTTTGTTTATCCATACAGTGTTTTTATTTTGATTTTTTAACAATATTGTGATATCATAAACTTTGCTTAAATGCAGGATAATTATCATGATTTTTATGAATGTATATATACGGGTACATGCCTGATTACAGCACTATTGCAGAAAGCATGGCCCACTACTTGTTTACAGGACCTTATTACAGAGATAAGAGTCTTACATATTATTTGTACTTTTCTGGCACTACAAGGACATTCCCATTCAGGTCATGCTTTAGAACATTCCAGTTAAGCACATTCGGTTCTGGTCCCAACCACACTTTATCATTGAAGTTCCTAATCTGATCACCCTTCAGCACATAATCCCACATGTTCACGTCTGTAATCTCACCTACAAAACTCTGCTTTTCCTCAAAGCTACCTAAGAAAGAGTCCGGATCCTGACCCAGAATAACAGCACCACCAGACTGGACCTTGTGGTTTTTCCTGTACACCTGCAGAGTGCTGCGGCGGCCGCCCACCCAGAATGCAGTCAGACCCGTGCTGGATTCCCAGGTGACACACAGGTTTGTGCGGAAGATGGAGAGAAGTGGGACGGAATAGAAAGCACAATCTGAGCTGGTTTGCAGGCAGAGGGAGATTTTGCCCTTCTCCTGCCACACGTTAAGCTCATCAACTTTTTGGGTGCGATAAGCGAAGAGGATGGTGTCACGGTTCTCTTTGGAAACTACATTTGGATCCACAGACAGACGCATACACAGAGTAAAGGCCCCTAAATTCAGGGGCTTCTGGGGGGTGAGCTTTACAAAGGAATTGGCTGACGGTTTTGGGAAAAACAGCCCCTGGTCAGTCAAACCACCTGAAAGGCAAATAATATTATTTTCAACATGAAGCACACTTAAAGTGCAGTTAAAGTGCAGTCACATTTTTAAATGATATTTGAAGTAACAGAATGTAATATATCAAAAACGCCACAATTGAGCCATTCATGCTTATTTCAGAAATGTGTTCCGACTAGCTTTGCAGAACAATGGCAACGAACCCATTTGTCATAAAGAGAAACATTAGAACTCACTCAAAATTCTTCACGACAGACCGCTAATCTTTAAAGTCCCTACAAAATGTTGACTTTCCAGTTTAAAATGCTACAGAGCTGGACTGTGTTACTGCGGCTAACAAAAACCAGGCAGGTTGGTACTGATAAAGCCAGATTTGCCACAACATTAATGTTAGTTCAGCCACGTTAGAGTAGCTAGTGGTGTAGCTACTCTACCACTGGTTCTCAGAGCCCTCAGTAGGTCTACATTTTAATTTGTTTCCTATGTGTTGTGAGTTGGGCTGGAGCAAAATTATGGACCATCTGGGAAGCCCTGAGAACCACTGGTGTAGACTAAACTAATGAATGGACTTCCAAAGGCCACCGCACTCAAAATTTCAAAATCACTGTCACTGAAATCAGCGTTGACCATCTGCGTCAGATCCATTCAGTTTCTCAACACGTCACTCAGCATTTTGTAATTACTACGTAAGTCTGAAGCCGTATCAGAGCCACTGAAATCCATAGTAGATCACATATGGCTTTAAACTCACTCAGGAAAGTGTCATTTAGCTCAGCTAACAATACTAGCCTAGTTTAATGGTGGTGTAGTTTCGGCATTGTGTGGTTCTGGATGCAGCACAAGACATTTACTTAGCTAACTAGCAGCACAAAAGCAGCTGAAGACGATGAGCTTTGTTATAAACCTTGATTACTTGACCTTGAACACTTCTGCATGCTTTTAATGTGCACATTATTGTGCTACTGACAGTGTCGCGCCAGTTCACACTGAAAATGAGCTAGTCCATGTTCAGTTCGTACTAATGAAAATGAAGTAGTTCATTTTTATAAAATGTTGAACTAAGTTCACAGTTCCAAAAATGAACTAGTTCATGCTCATTTTTTTTTTTTAATAAATAGGCCGCTATGCTTTTTCAATAGGACCTCTTTCTACCCATCCATCACCAGCCCGAAATCATTGCTACTCATAAACGAAATGAATTATTCTCTACCACAGACTTTAAGTCAGTAATACTCTCACTGAATGCACATTTTCTGTAAGCTACCTGCTTTCTTGACGTCTGGTTGGCTGCAAACCAGTCACCAACTTGGTAAACGACGGCTTTTCAACCTTAACGTTACTCAAAGGCTGCAGATCTCGCACAGTGTAGCTAGTCCAGTACAAGCTTGTCCACTTGTTGGGAAATGAAGGCAGCAGATCCTTTACAAAATGCTGTGATCTTAAATTGGGTGGGTAAACGTTGGGGTTGTTGCATCATAGTCATTAATGATTTCCTGCGCTCATTATAATGTTGCATGTGTTCCACGAGACTGCTTTGATGTTTCAGCTCAATGTGTCGTTTTAAATTCGATGCCCAGTCCGCACTTGTGTTCTCATAAAACTGCTTCAGATGTTCAAGCAAACCGACTTCTGCAGTTACGTCTCTACCGCTAGCAACACACATTTGGCTGTGTTCATGGAAGCGTCATACCGTAAAACGTGAGCGACATTCACTCTCGCGACAGTGAGCGCTGCTCGCGTTCACGCTCATTATTTGTAAAGTGATTCGTTCAGTTCAGTGTTCACAAAAAATATGAACGTGTTCAAGGAACATGGAACGTTCCTGAACAACACTGAGTACTGATGGATTAAAAAAGGAAAGAACTGATATTTCTTGCTGTAGGTTACACATAGATAACTGTTGCCACCACATATTAAGTGAATCTCACCCTAAAATCAGAAATTTAAGACATTAGCCACTTAAAAACACATCCACCAATCCATCCTGTAGCTATCATACACTGCTAAATGTTCTAGAACACAATACAGAAATACGCTTAGATACAGGTGAGCATTTCTGCATAGATTAGATATGATAAAGTTGAACTGACCTGAATTCAGGGACATCAGAATTGAATATGTATTCCTAAATTTGTTTTTATAAAACATAATAATGCAGAGAAGATAAACTTACTTTGACCAGAGCTGATCAGAGGCAGGAGGACACCCAGCAGAACGAGCACAGCCTTCATTTTACTGTGAACATTTCAGCACAACCTGTTAGCCACCTTCACAACTTACACACAGCTGACAATCACATTTAACGTCAGTAAAACTAAAGTGGCTGTAAGTGATGAATAAGAAGTGTGGATGCTCACCTGGTAGTGAAGCTCTACAGTCACTCAGACTCTCCAGACGTCTACAGAATCTTTCTTGGCTCCTGTGACCAGTTAGATCTGTTTTCCAGCTGTTCTCACAGGAGAAGGTCTAAAGCTGGTGCTGCAGCTTCTGCATTTATAGGATGCTGTGTTTACATATGGAACATTCTGTTTGCTATTTCATCAATTTCAAATAGCCTACAGTAAATGTTTTGTTCCAGAGAAACTGTCTTCCAGAGAAACTGTTCTCCCAGAGCATCCGTGTGTGCTGTACAGTATTATGGGTGTAATTCTGTTTTCAAAAGATAAGGACACAAGGATGAGGGCCAGGTAGAAAAAAGATGAGAACATGATCGATGAGAAACAGGTTTGCTATGAGGGAAAGACGACAATAATTCAGAACTCTGCTCTCCAGACACTAATTTTATAGACTTCTGTGTTTTTTACCAATTTATTGTCTCATTTGCTTAATAAACCATGTTTAATGAATGTTTTACAAAGCTTTGGTTACTTGACATTAATAACACTTTTTGGCTAAGAGCAGTACAGACCATGGATATAACTTTACATTCAAAAATAATTTTCATCAATTTATGTTAAATGTTTTATGCTTGTGTTGTAGGTAAAAGATGTTATTTCATTTCTGAAATGAGGAGAAGAATGTTCAGACCACCAATCAGAAGAATGTTCAGTCACCCCTTGCAGTCATTTCATGAACTTTTCAACTTTTTGTCGTGTAATAATGAACATATCATAACGTAGCCCTGTTAAATGCAAAAACCTTTCAATTAGTTCGCTCCAACACCACCCATCAGTGAGCTTCAATACCACCAATCAGTGAGCTTCAACACCACCCATCAGTGAGCTCCCACTCCACCAATCAGTGAGCTTCAACACCACCAATCAGTGAGCTTCCACACCACCAATCAGTGAGCTCCCACTCCACCAATCAGTGAGCTTCAACACCACCAATCAGTGAGCTCCCACTCCACCAACCAGTGAGCTTCCACACCACCAATCAGTGAGCTCCCACACCACCAATCGATGAGCATCCACACCACCAATCAGTGAGCTTCCATGCCACCAATCACTGAGTTTCCACACCACTAATCAGTGAGCTTCAACACCACCAATCAGTGAGCTTCAACACCACCAATCAGTGTGCTCCCACTCCACCAATCACTGAGTTCCCACACCACCAATCGATGAGCATCCACACCACCAATCAGTGAGCTTCCACACCACCAATCACTGAGTTTCCACACCACTAATCAGTGAGCTTCAACACCACCAATCAGTGAGCTCCCACTCCACCAATCAGTGAGCTTCAACACCACCAATCAGTGAGCTCCCACTCCACCAATCAGTGAGCTTCAACACCACCAATCAGTGAGCTTCCACACCACCAATCAGTGAGCTTCCACACCGCCAGTGAGCTTCAACACCACCAATCAGTGAGCTCCCACTCCACCAATCAGTGAGCTTCAACACCACCAACCAGTGAGCTCCCATTCCACCAATCAGTGAGCTTCCACTCCACCAATCAGTGAGCTCCCACTCCACCAATCAGTGAGTTCCCACTCCACCAATCAGTGAGCTTCCACACCAGAAATCAGTGAGCTCCTACACCACCAATCAGTGAGCTTCCACTCCACTAATCAGTGAGTTCCCACTCCACCAATCAGTGAGCTCCTACACCACCAATCAGTGAGCTTCAACACCACCAATCAGTGAGTTCCCACTCCACCAACCAGTGAGCTTCCACACCACCAATCAGTGAGTTCCCACACCACCAATCAGTGAGCTTCCACACCACCAATCAGTGAGTTCCCACTCCACCAATCAGTGAGCTCCTACACCACCAATCAGTGAGCTTCAACACCACCAATCAGTGAGCTTCCACACGACCAATCAGTGAGCTCCCACACCACCAATCAGTGAGCTTCCACACCACCAATCACTGAGTTCCCACACCACCAATCAGTGAGCTCCTACACCACCAATCAGTGAGCTTCCACACCACCAATCACTGAGTTCCCACACCACCAATCAGTGAGCTTCAACACCACCAAACAGTGAGCTCCCACTCCACCAATCAGTGAGCTTCCACACCACCTATGAGGGAAAGACGTCAATAATTCAGAACTCTGCTTTCCAGACACTAATTTTATAGACTTCTGTGTTTTTTACCAATTTATTATCTCATTAGCTTAATAAACCATGTTTAATGAACGTTTCACAAAGCTTAGGTTATTTGACATTAATAGCACTTTTTGGCTAAGAGCAGTACAGACCATGGATATTACTTTACATTCAAAAATGAATTTCATCAATTTATATTAAATGTTTTATGCTTGTGTAGTAGGTAAAAGATGATTTTTTTTTATATGCCAAGCAGCTACAGACTCTGAAATGAGGAGAAGACTGTTCAGACTACCAAGCAGAAGAATGTTCAGTCACCCATTATATTGCAGTCATTTCATGAACTTTTTAACCTTTTGTTGTGTAATAATGAACATATCATAACGTAGCCCTGTTAAATGCAAAAACCTTTCAATTAGTTCGCTCCAACACCACCAATCAGTGAGCTCCAACACCACCCATCAGTGAGCTTCAACACCACCAATCAGTGAGCTTCAATACCACCAATCAGTGAGCTTCAATACAATCACTGAGTTCCCACACCACCAATCAGTGAGCTCCCACTCCACTAATCAGTGAGCTTCCACACCACCAATCAGTGAGCTCCCACTCCACCAATCAGTGAGCTTCCACTCCACCAATCAGTGAGCTTCAACACCACCAATCAGTGAGCTTCCACACCACCAAACACTGAGTTCCCACACCACCAATCAGTGAGCTTCCACACCACCAGTCAGTGAGCTCCCACTCCACTAATCAGTGAGCTTCCACACCACCAATCAGTGAGCTCCCACACCACCAATCAGTGAGCTTCCACACCACCAATCAGTGAGCTCCCACACCACCAATCAGTGAGCTCCCACTCCACTAATCAGTGAGCTTCCACACCACCAATCAGTGAGCTCCCACTCCACCAATCAGTGAGCTTCCACACCACCAATCAGTGAGCTTCCACACCACCAATTAGTGAGCTCCCACTCCACTAATCAGTGAGCTTCCACACCACCAATCAGTGAGCTCCCACACCACCAATCAGTGAGCTCCCACACCACCAATCAGTGAGCTCCCACTCCACCAATCAGTGAGCTTCCACACCACCAATTTGCCCACTTTTTAGCTTATAAAAGTATATTCTGAAGTATACCACAAGTAAAATTAAATATATCCATTTGCCTGGCTGCATGTCTTTGGACTGTGGGAGGAAACCCACACAGACAGGGGAGAACACAGACAGGTGAATCGCACCCAGGATCTTCTTGCTGTGAGGCAACAGTCCTACCCACTGTGCCGCCCTGTTACACTATACACTGTTACTTCATTCTTACTTCTACTTTTTTTAAGCACATCTCAATCAAAAGATTAAGTTCAAGTATAGGCTGAATATATTTAAACTTATCTGTATGCTTGGCAGTATAAGCCAAGTATACTTAAGTATAATTTTGTCTAGTACAGAGGTCACTAATAGGTGGACCGCGGTCCGAGTCCAGACCCAGACGCTGTCCTATGCAGACCTGGACCTATAACCGATAAACTATGGCGAATTATGTAATTTCGATGGGGTGATCCTGTTTTAATCGGCGTAACTTTTCTAGCCTTGTGGTAGCTTTAGCGGCCCGGGAGACTCACAGACCAATCACATGCGTTGTAAATATCACACGTGACGCTACTCAGCCAATCAGATCTGTGCATTACGATGAGCACTGAGACTCGAGTGAGTGATGCACACACAGGGGAGGGACGAGGCGAGACACAGCAGTCAGAGAAGAAAGTGAGTCAGAGGGAAGTTATTTCACACGACGTGATCTAAAAAGAGAAAACTGACAATAAATATTGTTGAAATTTGACTGAACTGTACTTTATTTGATTTGACATTCAGTTGTTGACTGTATAAGATGTTGATATACCTACTAGGCTACTTCAGTAAACAGTATATGGCACTGAGTCATGATGCAAGTTAGACATTATGATGTTCTGGACCTTTGCTTGAGGACATTTTCTCTAACTGGACCTTATTGAGCTTTAATTAAAGACCTCTGGTCTAGTATATCTCTGACAAGTATATGTAAGTATACTGAAAGCATTTTTTGTAAGGGAGTCTCAAACTGGAGCTTTTTAGTCACAGACATTGCTTGATCTGCCTCACATATCATCATGATAGGCTTCTAACAATAGTCAGTGATGTTCATCTTATTTTGACTGATAGACCTCTAACAGCAGTCAGTGGCAGTAACGACTGTACCAGTAACACTGTAAGGTTGTCATAGAGCTATTTCTCATTTCTCACTCTGATAGGCCCCTAGCAGTAGTCATTGGTCATCACTGGTTAATCTAACCCTTCAGTCCAATGACAGGATGATCACTTGCCTTTATTCTATATTCACTGCTTTGAGTCTTGGATCCTCTCTAGGTTTCTTCCTCTTGCTCTTAGGGAGTTTTTCTTGCCTCTGTCCCCATTGGCGACGCTCATGGGGGCTCAGACCTGGATTTTCTGTAAAGCTGCCTTGTGACAACGCCTGTTGTAAAAAGCTGACTTGAGTCTGTTTGTGGAGGTCATGTCATCTCAGACCATATGATCATAACATGGTTGCCAACATAAACAGTATTTGTGGACACTGTGGAGAAGTTTCTCCTGTGCCTCACTGTGAGCGCCACACTTGCAACAGATGGCTAATGCCTCGTCCAGCGATGGTACAAACAATGGTGTAATAAACCTTCATAAGCACCGTTAGCAAATTCAATAAAGCATAAATAATCTACTTGCTTTGTTAGTCTGGCTGGGAGTAGAAAGGGGCTTTAAACTGTTGGGTTACTCTGACCAAGCACCTCCTATTGGCTTTCTCATGTTAACAATAACAGTGTTCAGCGGTTAAAGGAGACACAAACCTGCACACAAACTATCACTATCACTGTAAAAGGGTTGTGGATAAAATTACAGTAAATTACTGGTCAGCAACTGAAAGATGACTAAGAACAAACAGCGAAATTAAACAAAACTTATCACAGCAACTTCTTCATGCTGTATGATACATTATAATATGCTTAATGGTTCCATAGAACTAACAACAGTAAGACTACTGTATAATGAAAAGTAGAATTTTTATTTTTACAAATGCACCAGCTCCCGTGGAACAATAAAGAAAAATACATATTATTGAACTGAACTGCAAAAATTAACTAATTCATTTTTTAACTGCAATAAAATAGTGTTGATGTCATTTAGTCAGTACAATTTTAAAAATGATTGTGTGCTTAAATAAAGAGAACAGAATACAGAAGAATACAATGAGGGGCTTTAAACTGTTGGATTACTCTGACCAAGCTATCTAGAAGTACCCCTGAAGTCATAATTTAAAACTCTAAAAATAATCTGTTTGTGTTATCGTTACGCCCAAGAAACTAAAAACGGCACAGAAGGGTCCCTAAACCTCAGTGCTCATTAATAATACCAAGAGCTGTGAATCTGCAAGATTATGCAAATCGTAAACGTCAACTTAACTCCCCATTTCCAAACCCAGGCATTCATAACATTTATGATTACAAATGTCCCATAAGAGCATTTCTCAAAAAGGATGTGTAGAAGTTTTATAGCAAATTATAAAAAAAAACCCCACATAAAACATTTAACCAGTTACACTGTTTTTAAATCGTGTTCTGTTGGCATTTCAAAACCAAGAATATCGACTAATAGTTTATACTTAAGGTTTTCTTGATTTATATGCTAATCAGTTAAAGCATTTACTACACTCCTAGGGAAAAAATGGGCCAAGCCCAAAATATTGTGGTTTTTACTGATGGTTTTGGCTGGTCAGAGTTCAGATTTAATCCAGAGAGAGAATATTTGACAAACTAGCTCAGCAGTGTTTTTCAGCTGTGTGAAGCCGTCAGTGCTGAGTGGATCAATACTGACCCTTCTTTCTGTAAAAGACTGTCTGCAGGTTTAAACACTAAACTACAACATTTAAAGAAATCAAAGGGAAAAGCTCTCCTATATTAAGTTACTTTATCTATTTGTTTAATGATTTGTTCTTAAGTTCATTAAAAACGTAATGGATGAACTGGATTAATTAAAGCAACATTATGGAACAATTTTACATTGAAATAATAGCTTCAAAATGATTTTGATGTTGCATTGACTGATAAGAGTGGCGTCTCTGTCATTGCCACTCTGGGCCGAACCGCCTGCTATAGCACTATGTAACTTTGGAGGAGCGTAACGAGAACCTCTCACCAGAACTGCATAACGCTTTACGGCACCACGTCACACATCAACAACTCAGCAGCTATAAGACGAAGCAGCTCAGTATGGACATCAAGGCAGAGGCTGCAGAGAGACCAAAGAAGACACTGTCGGAGGAAGAGAAAAAGAGTGACCAAGCGAGAGACTGGACAAAAGTGCAGGACAGACTCATGGCTGACGGAAAAACAATGAAACTCCGACGGCAGAGTGTTCATCCCTGCCAGTGTTATTTATGAAAGACTGCACCGTCAGCTGTGACCATATCTGTCATCCCCGTCTCATTGAGTTTTGTAGTATTTCCGGAGCCAAAAGTCATCTCACCTCAGTCCCATTTCAGGCTAAGTTAGCATGCAGAGACAAGTTCATCTCACAGCAAAAGCTTCGGTCAGTGTTTGTCAGTCTCACACCAAATAAGCCTTGAAAGTCTGCAACCTCCTCTATGTAAAATCTTGTAGTCTACCTTGTAAATCGTCACGGTTCTTTGTCTTCTGATGTTGTCTTTGCCGGTGTTGTGCCGAATTCCGTCTCGCCGACAAATGGATGCTACAGATTACACTGGCGATGTCGGATTCTGTATCCTTCAGCTCGTTAACAAAGCATGTGTACAGCTGTCCATGAGGGGGCGCTCACAGTGTGATTTGTATTCACGACAGTGGTGTAAAAGTGAATTACACTCTGCAACTGTAGGGGGAGCCCAAGAGCGAAAAACTACCCACTCTCTTTTAAAGCAAGGTCAGCGATCATTGTCCTGCTCTCGCGGTTTCCATGTTCCTTTTGTTTTTTCCTGAGGAAATCTGCTAAAATCAGTGAGCATTTCTGTTACTTAATTATGAATTGGGTAAAATGTTTCATGTACATTTAAGCGTAATACTCTAGAGATCTATAGATCACCAAAAAGGGTTCTTCTACTGTTACGATGTCAATCTGGTAACATTAAAAGAAACCTTTTGGTGCCATACAGAACCTTTTTCAAAAAGGTTCTATACAGAACCATCTACAGCACATTCTCCATCAGCCTGAATAAGAACTATTTAATAATGCAAAGAATCTTAGCAATGTCACAGTTAAAATAGCCTGAAAAGCCAAAGCTAAAATACACTTACATGTATTAATTAAAGAGAATCATGCACACGGTTGTTTGAGTATTTATAGTTCTATATAGAACCATTTTCCGGACTAGAGAACCCTTGAAGAACCATCATTTTTAAGAGTGTAGTTCTTCTGATCTGCAGCTCTACACATCAGAGCAGCTCTAACTTTAAAGTGTATTTTAGCTTTGGCTTTTCAGGCTCTTTTAACTGTGACATGCTAAGATTGCATCAAATTCTTTGGATTTAATAAAGACAGAGCAGTTTAAACTTTGGATCATTACATATTGAACTTTATTACATAAGCATAAATAAATCTTACATCATACTTCAGAATATACAGAGACGAGAACAATTAAACAGACAGAAACAGTGTAAATAAAGACGGCGTGTTAAGATGCTGGACGTTATAAATGATACATACGGTCTGAGCTAAATTACTGTAAACAATTCAACATAAACACCTTTATAAATCATTTACAGCTGTGGTTTAAATGATCCCTGATTAACACTTTTAATCTTACAAGTGAAATATTTTTGACTATTTGTTCTACTACAATAAAAAAGTGCTGCATTAATTAATCTGACAAAAAAAATTGGCACATCATTTCGACATAAATATATTACATCAACACAAGGCCAAAGGCAATAATAGTGTTGAAATATATATTTTATTCACAGGGTGGAATATTTCAGACAAATCTGGCTGCAACGCTCCCTGTAATCCTGGATACGCCTTCTAACGTCATGTTTTCAGTAGTGAATCGCATGATTTTTTTTGTGTGATGAGATGGACGTGCTGTCAAAGAAGTCATCAATGTTTAATTAAAACATAAAGGACTAGCCTTTGAACTCTGCTTCCCCAATAGCATAAATGATGTCACACATTCTTCATCATGTCATTTTATTTGTAAAAGTAGGTACAGCAGGGCACAACACAAGGTGGGGTAAAACATAAGATGAAAATTTCATGTATTTAAAGCTGCTCTGTGTAAGTTTTGGGGATTTGGAGACCTCTCTGGTGGAAATATGTAATTGCACCCACATTTTTAACATGGGTTGTGCTTCGGTTCCATTCCCCGAACAGATGAATAATCTAATAATTAAAAGAGAATTCAAAGAGAACTCAGTCTAAACTTGGTGAAGGAGCGTCTTCTGAGGATGTGAGTGAATTATATACTGTTATTATCATATCTTCATCAGTATGATGTTGATTCTGAGATCACTTAAGACTTAGACATCAAGGTGGACCTTCTTTTTGAGCCTCTGTAGAGGACGTGTTAATTTAATTTCACTTATAAAATCCACAAAAAGTCATTAATTTACCTGGGGGTGTTCAGACTGGTGCATATGACTGTATATATTTTATGTAATAAGGTTGAAAAGCTCATCGACACATTAGCCCCTCAGTCTGATACAGTAACCCAGACCACAGGGAAGCTGTAACGTCTGCACCGCTTTCAGCTGAACTGCTCACAAACGGCAGTTTGACAGTTTCAAATTTACATTTTCATGTCTGGAAGAGACGTGAAGATTACTTTAATATAAATTTTTATTCTAGCTCAAACACTTTTACAATTACTCAGCTAAAACAAAATGTGTTTGGGTTGTGTCTCACTCTCATTAACTCTGTGATTAAATTATATTTTTTTATCAATATGGAAATGGTGCACATATTTAAATCAAGTCAATTTTAATACAGAATGTGTGTGTGTGTGAGTGTGTGTGTGTTACGTCTCATCGTGTGACTGTAAATAAACAGGCTTTGCTTGTTTCCTCAGTCTCTGCTGGGCTCTCAGCTTCCTGCCCTTCTGAGTGGCCAAACCCATCGGAGGAAGATACAACTGAGAGGGAGAGAAAGATAGAGAGAGAGAGAGAGAGGAGAGAGAGAGAGAGAAATATAAGAGAGAAATAGCTGTAGTATATATTGTCACTGTCCAAAGAAAAACAGGTATCTTCAAAATAGTAACTTTACAGAAGAGGGCAAAAACATTCTTTACTTTCAATGTAAGTTAATGGAAAGATGATTTATTCTAAGCAATTCTGGAGCATTTCTATTGGTCCAATCATCACGAAATTTTCACACAGTGTAAAGGACAGATGCTGAGTTTAAATGATGCAGAAAAGTAAAAATCGCAAAAAATGGAGATACAAGTTTTTCATTGGACAGCGACGATGTTTCTTATTTAAAAGATGCCTTAGACGCTACTGTAACTAAATATGGTCCTAATAGTAAAAAAGCTGAACTCATTTGAACTAAATTGAATGAAACTGAGCTGAACTGAACTTAATTTAATTAAACTGAACAGATCTGAACTGAAAAGAATTGAAGTTATGATATGAAATGAAATTATGAATTATGATGGATGGTCTTACAGGTCTGGGATACGGGTTCCTGTAGTGAAGTCCTGTCACATAAAACAAACAAACAAACAAAACAAACAAACAAACATCAGAGAACTGCACACACGCCCGATTAATGTTGAGAATAATTATTAGAACAGATGTAATAATTCAGTTCTCACCTATTTCTATTCGTGCTTCACATTCAGATATACATCTCTGGATCGATTCTCGGTCAGTCAGCTGAGAGAGAGAGAGAGAGAGAGAGAGAGAGAGAGAGAGAGAGAGAGAGAGAGAGAGAGAGAGAGACACACATTTGTTTGTTTGTGTATACTTGCTTTGCCCAATTATAAAAAGTTGGGGCAGCAGGTAAAAAGCAGTGAAGTAGTGATTCATATTATAAATCCACTTTTTATCAGATCAACCTCATAGCTTTTTTTGTAAATACACACTCATTCTGAAACTGATGCCTGCAACACATTCCAACAACTGGGAGAGGAGTCATTTAAGACTAGGAACATTGTTAAATGTTCAAACAACACCTTAAACAGGTGATGTAATCATGCCTGGGCCGAGTCCTCTATAAGCAAGGATGGGTTGAGATAAAGGCCAAAAAAAAAATACATTCGAGAAAAAATCCAGCAGTTTAAGAACAATGTTCCTCGATGAGTGATTGCAAGGATTTTATATATTTCACAGCTACAGTGCATAATATCGTCAACAGATTCAGGGAATCCACAGAAATCTGTGTGTATAAAGGAAAAGGCTGAAAACCACAACTAAATGCTCTGACCTTCGACCCGGCAGACAGCATTGCATTAAAAACCAGCATGTTTCTGTGATAAAGATCATCATAAGGGCTCAGGAATACTTTGAAAACACTCTGTCAAAAAACACTGTCCGTCACTGCGTCCACAAATGCATGTTAAGACTGTACTCTGCACAGTGCAAGTCACATATTAACAACATCCAGAAACACCGCTGACTTCTCTGGGCTCGAGCTCATCTGAAATGGACCGATGCTCAGTTGAAACGTGTATTACGGTCTGATGAGTCAACCTTTCAGATTGTTTATAGAAATTATGGACGTTGTGTTCTCTGAGTCAAAGAAGAAAAGGACCATCCAGACTGTTACCAGTGTAAAGTTCTAAATCCAGTGTCTGTCATGGTGCGTGTGCGGGGGTATTAGTGGGTAACCTGCACACCTGTGAAAACACCATTAACAGTGAACACATCTTGGAGCAACATATCGCTGCTCTCGGAAGAAAATCTTGTATCTCCATTTTTGTCATTTTTCAGTTTTTGTCATACTTTGAAAATCCCTGTTGCTCTTTACAAATTTCATGATGAATGGACCAAAAGAAACGACCCAAAATGACATGGAAAAAACTTCTGGTTCCATTGACTTACATTAAAAGTAAAGTATGTTTTTTCCTTCTCCTGTAACGTTAACATTTTGGAGATTTTTGTTCCAACAACAGCGATATGCTGCCTTTTAGACGGCGTCTTTTTCAGAGACGTCTGTGATTATTTCAACATGACACACCAAGAAACTTTCTGCACGTGTTACAGCAGCACGGCTGTGTAATCAGACAGTGCAGGTGATTGACTGACCTGCCTGCAGTCCAGAACTGTCTCCCACTGAAAATGTGTGCAAAATACAACAGTGAAAGCCCTGTTTGGTAGCTGAAGAGCTGTGTAACAGAAGAATGTCAAATAAATCTCCTTTCAAAAGTGGGTCAGTTTGTGTTTTCAGTCTCCACATGATTACTAAGGTGATGTGACACAGTGATAATCATGATCCTGCAGCAACTTTTATGGAACGTGTTGCAGGCGTCATGTTTGGAATGAGAGCATATTCACAAAAAAAAGGTCTTAGGATAAAACATCAAATATGTTTTTTATACTGTTTCAAATTTAATACAGGTCAAACTGAATTTGACTGCTTTCTGATTTTATTAGCATTCCACACACTGTCTCGACTTGTTTGGAACTGGGTTTGTGTGTTTGTGTATTCGTGTACCTGTTGGTTTTGTCTGAACAGGTTTCGTGCTTCCTCACTGATGTATTTCCTCTCTTTCTCCGTCTCGTGTTCGTTCTGCGCTCTCCAGCTGCGGCCGATGCGCAGCACACGTCTGTACAGGGACAGAACCTGTGCACGGGAGGCAGCGGTCACCATGGCGACCTGCGGAGAACAACATACACCACTAAGGCAGGATGATATAAAAAAAATAATAAGCACGTTTTCTTGTTAAAAATATGAGCCTTGGCATCGGCTTAATAGTCAGTCTTAGCAGCTGTTAAAGGGGAACTCCACTGAATTTTTCAGAATTTCTGCATAATTAAAGATGTTTGAGATGTAATCAGAGTGGTTCAGAGTGGTTTGGTGTGAAACGCTGTGTTCTAGAGAAACTTACAGAGTCAGAATTGTTTACAGTGGTGGTGATAGGAACCAGACGTCCACCTCTAAAAGCTCCCTCACAGAAAGTTCCTACATGAAATGGTTATGAATTCACTGCCTGATGCCTGAGACATAGTTTAACAATAGTTTTGACAATTTTTTTCTGGAAAACATCATTTTTAGAATCCATTCATGGTGGAGGGATACAAGAAGGTTGTTTTGTGGCAAAATAGTCCCCAAAGAAAACTTATTATTTAAGATTTTCCACTATTTTCCATCATCAACATTCCATATAAACTCAGAAGACTCGTGTAGGTTCACTGGTGGTTCTGGACAGTAAATAAAATGTCTATATTTGTGTTGTAGTCATGGCGACCCCTGGTTCCTATTACCACCACTGTAAAGACATCTGAGCCATTTCACACACATTTAAGCTCTGCATTCGACACAGTCACCCCCCCTAAGCTGATGACCATTTTTTTTTTACATATATATATATATATACACACACATATATATACATATACACATACACACACACACACACACACACACACACACACACACACACATTTCACTGCCCTGCGATGGACTGGTGACCTGTCCAGGGTGTATCCTGCCTTCCGCCCAATGACAGCTGGGATAGGCTCCAGCACCCCACCGCGACCCAGAAGGATAAGCGGTTTAGATGATGTGTGTGTGTGTGTGTGTGTGTGTGTGTGTTTTCACGATAACAATTTTTTCCCTTTAACAGTTCCATTAAACGCAGAGCGGCCTGAGCGCCACTAGAGGGCGCCGAAACACTTACATTTTCCATGCTGTTTCATCTCTGTGTTATGATGATGCACGAGGCTGTAGTTGGGTTATTTATCTGTCCTTTTGCTGCTTGTTCACAATTTCTCATTCACTTAACAATAAGAAAATGAAATATTTACAAAATGTATATATTTATATACCTACAGGGATATTACTCTGGTCTAATTACAAATAGTGAGCTTAACATTCAACAACTAAAGCAAATCATCAAGAACTCCTTCTATTATAACATGTTTTTCCATCTGAAATGCACAAAATAGATACCAGATGTCTTTAACAACACTTTCTCCGCTCTGTGGAGTGAAGTTCGCCTCTTACTCGAATGTTCCGGTCCACCTTAAACGGTGCTGCAACTACATTATGGCGATTAGCTTCGTTCAGCAGCCCTGATTACAAACAAACCGACTCGATTTGAGAGGATTTGTTCAAAACCGATGTTGGTGAAACTGCAGAGTCTTTATTTCTGAAATAAATAACTAAAGTACTGTAAAACGGAGAAAGCCGAGCTTCTGAACAGCGACACTCACACAAACAGCGCTTCATTAAAGACCCGATATCTACAGCTCCGCGCTCAGCCGGCACGGCGGCGTAATAACCTGATATTAATCCGCTTTTAATCAATATTTGATCAGATTTAATGAGTTTAATCCGGACTCGCCTCACCTCTGCGGCTCCTTCATAGCGGCGCACAGGTGACGCACTCACTGCTGGACGCTCGTGTCTGGAGCTGTCAAACAGTGCGCGCGCTTTGCGCAGGATCCGCGCTCTTTTGCACTTCTCGCTGCGCCACGTCTACGCACAATCCCTTCTAATAAACCACATTATTGATCTGTTATAAACAGATGTGACTTTTCTGTGACAAATAACTGCGCGATGTGGAGCGTCTCTTCACTTTTAGCTGTGAACTGCCTGCGTAGCTTCACACAGAGGCCAACAGGTTTTACTGAAAGGGCCCGTATCGCGTTTTCCTTGCTGGTTTGAAGGGTGTTCAATGTAGTACATAAACATTGTTAATGCTTTAAAGGCCATGTGTCAAACACAAGGCCAGATCAGGCCCGCCACACAATCCTATCAATCCCCTCAAAAGTATTTTAATTTTCTATCAACATTAGCCCGTTTCACAGTGAGCTGAACTACAGTCCCCAGCATGCACTGCAACGTAATGCGCTCTGAGTCTCCTATCCCAACAATAATCTATGGGACAGTGGATACGCCTCAAGTCTAAACAGTTCCACACCAGTCATGTCACCAAAATGCATTTCAGCTGCAGTTCAACCAGTATAAACACTGAACGTCAGCAAAACAGCTCAGAAACTGAGCCTGTATTAATGAACTTGCAGCAGAGAAGAGAGGTCAGGTGTCCAGATCAAGCAGGTTTAAAAGGCTGAGCTCCTGGGGACGTTTACATTTACATTTTGAATATTTCAAGTATTCATGTAATATTTCAAGCTCTACTGCAAGTGTCTGTATTTTACTGTTGACATTTTTGCATATTGTGTATAAACAATAGGCAGCTTGTTTTACAGCACAACATTAATTACAAATGAAATAAAAACACGATTTTCTCTCTGACCCACAGACTCATTGAGATTTTCTAATACGGCCCGTTTACTGGTTGAGTTTGACACCCCTGTGTTAAAACATTCCATACAGTCCATACGTGGAAATATATGTGCTAAAACAGTTCATTATGAGTTCTTTGTTTATCCCTGCAGAAAAAAAGACCATTAGAAACCATCAAGATTTAAACCTAGTGGTTTTGCTTACTAATGTGAACTGGCTTGGTGGTTTCCAAAAGACCACTTTGACCATTCATTTCATTTAGAACACCTTTAGATCCCATTAGGAAACCATCAGATGCATTTAGAGTCAGCCATTGGTCGCCTGTTAGAACATTAGGGTCCTTTACACTGTGATATCAACCCAAAAGCCAAAATACATTACAGAACCATCAGGAAACGATGATTTTTATGGAGTTTTTTTTTCAGCAGGGCTGTGATGTCACAAAAGCTACCAAATTTCCATATGCCCACCTTTTCAGCTTACAGCAGTTTAGCCGACGCTATAAGGGGGGTTTCAGTCCGGACTGCTTGTTGAATGAGGCACTATACAGAGAAGCCAATAAGAACAGAGGTCATTTACATCTCATGAGTGTAGGTCAGGGGTCAACAACACCTGGCTCTTTTCCTGCCCTGTTGTGGCTCCACAGCTGAATTAGATTAGTGGGTAAAAATAAAATAATCCTCCTTTACAGTAAAATAAAGCTCTGCTGATCGTTCAACACAGTTTAACAATAAATGGTCTTAAACTCTGGAGTTAATGTAGAACTGCTAATTCACCCTTTAACCCTGAAGATCAGCGCAGACTGCTGGTCACCATAGCAACACAGACAACAATTTCGCCTAGCTAGTAGCTAACGAAACGGCAAAGAGAGAGATTTAAGATGAACATTAATAATTTGGAGATGAATGGATTTATTAGGGTTTATAATCACTCCAGCTGGTTTCCTGATACGTTTAATCTACAGTGAGAAACTGGCAAACACTAAAAAGTTGCAAAGCTGAAATCAGATTCTCATTTGCCATCTCCCGTTCCACCTTAAATGTTGGCTGAGGCGCCAGAATGTAACTGCTGCACCAGTTAAGGTGGAACGGGACAATTGTCTGTTTGTTTTTTAATTGGTTTCAACGTTATTTTACCAGTTTCTGAAGCTCTGAAAAGTTTGATCATCTAAAAAGATCAACTGCTGGTTTGATAAATGTTACACAAGAACAGACACTGTGTTTTTCAGTGCACCAGACATATGGAGCTCCATCAGAAACCTTCTGTTACAAGCAGGCCCAGATCATCTCAGGGGTTTTATAGGTGCGTGCAGTGCAGAGTGGGTAATCAGGAGAGTCAGGAGGATTCCCTGTTGGCTGGTTACAGTGAGCTAATATAAACTCGGGTATGTGAGCACACGAACGCTCACTCAGACAAATTACACACATGCAAGTGTTTATCTGTGTCTAGTTTAAGGGTTGAACCTCTAGTGGTTCAGCCCCAGTTTGCAGAACTGAGTCTCGTACAGTGGAGAGAGATTAGATAAAGTTCTAGTTAGCTTCTTATTCTCATTTGCCTCTCCACCTTAAATGATGTAGCAGTTACATTCAGACACGTGTACAGCCTCTAGAGTCTAACTGCTGCACTATTTAAGGTGGAACGTAAATTCAAAGTAGGCTCCATTTACACTTGGCATTAGCATGAGTCCTGGTTGATGTGATCATAAGTGGGCAGCGCTGAGTTCAGGTGCTAACAGGGTACAGTGCGTCTGGGAGACACATCATGAGCCAACCACTCGAACCACCTTCGGAGGTATTCAGGGACGTATAGGACTAGAGGTCTGCACTCCCACGGATTCCCGCTGGGCCCACGGGATCTGCAAGGAGCAGGCGGGAAACCAGCTCACTGCAGGCGGGAGCAGGACAAAACACGCATGAAGAGAAATTCATGAACTTAACAAAATTAATGAACAGCCTGTGTCCAAAATCCTTCACTCTCTGATACCTTTAGAAATGAATTTGTGTTCCAGTATCTTCATTTTAAATCTGATCAGATGATCCTTTAACAGGACAGAAGCGAGTGTTGTGGGTATTGATACTCTGTGAAAATGAAGTTATGATCTGATATCTTGTTTATGTGAAATACATTGTGTGTGAGAGTCTGACTGCAGACGTACATGGTTAATGTAAAGTACAGTGCAGATCACAGAAGTCAGTACGTTTAGTTACATCTGGAACCTTTATTCAATCAATCAATCAACCTTTATTTAAACTCAGAATACACTGAGGAAGAACCTCATTTACAACAAAGCCGAGTAATACAGGAATCAGGGATTGAGAAGTTGTACAGTAAACAATAATAAATGTTATAATTAAATAATAAAAAGCATAATAATAAAATTTAATAATGAGAAAGTACTAATAAACTGTTAAATCAATAAAGGATTAAAATTTCAGTATAGTAACTAACCAAGTAACAGAGCAGATAAGGATAAAAAACAAATTGATGAACTAAAAGAAATAGAAGATATAAGACAATAAATTGACAATAATAAAATAAATAAAAAGATAGTAATAAAAGAAATAAAAATAATTAAAAAATGATAAAAAGTAAAGAAATGAAAGTACAAAAGTAAAAGTACAAAGTAAAAACAATAGCTAAAACATACCAAAAGTCATATTAAAAGTTACATAAAATGAAATAAAGCAGTTGCAGGCTGTGTGGAGGTGGTTAGAGACTAAAAGCTTAACATTTTTCTCAAATATGAAAATATCCAAAATCCTGTCTAATGCACTGTTTGGATACATTTTGGAATGAATTTGTATTCCAGTATCTTAATTACAGCTACACACAACTGAACACATATAATAACAAATACAAACAAATTCATTTAAAATATATATTTAACAAATAATTTTCATGCATTGCAAAAACATATTTGATAAATACATACATCGTCTAAACCGCTTATACTTCTGGGTTGCGGTGGGGTGCTGGAGCCTATCCCAGTTGTCATTGGGCGGAAGGCTGCACCCTGGACAGGTTGCCAGTCCATCGCAGGGCAGACAGACAGACATACACATTCACACCTAGGGGCAATTCAGCATGTCTGCATATCTTTGGACTGTGGGAGGGAACCGGAGTACCCGGAGGAAACCCACGCAGACACGGGGAGAACAGGCAAACTCCACACAGAAATGACCCTGGTCGCCTGGCCGGGAATCAAACCCAGGCCATTCTTGCTGTGAGGCGACAGCGCTACCCACTGCGCCACCATGCCGCCCCTATTTGATAAGCATAGCCACCTCGGTTCTCTCAGTGCAGTGTATAAATAAATTAATAAGAGTGAGAAATGAAGAAGATCAAAATGCACAGATTCTTGAAAAAGTTGTTCTGCACGAAGGCCATGCTGCACACGTGTGTGTGTGGAGTCTGGGGTGGGCTGATCTGCTTCATGTAACTCCCACCCTGATAACAAGTCCCAGTCCGGCCCTGGGTGTGTGCCCAGGGGCCCGAGTGACTAGGAGCAATTAAGACAATCATGCAATCATAAAAAATTCACAGTTTTGACTCGTGGTGGGAACTTTACTAGCGGCACAGCAAAAAATGAGCTCTGAATCTCAAATTTGTTTCGGCCGATCATCCAGACACTCTCCTCATCTTTCCTTTTCACTGCTTAGCAACTGTTCATCGCACCTCAGTCAAGCTTTCAGTATTTTTAGCAGTGAGCTGATGTTTCTGTGAATGTACTTTGGATTTGAAGCTCCTGATATTCAGGCTTTTGAGTATCATGAGCTTCAAATTCAAAGTACATTCTCAATCAAAGTGAGAGCGGATACTCCTACAGAGGAGATGACGCTCACTTCCAAAGCCAAATATAAAAGTCAGCCACTCGAGTTAAAGAACGCTGCATCATCCTTGTCGGCAGTGATCTGCAAACTGTCCACTTTTACACATAAGGCCATCATAGGTAAGTATAAATGGGGGAAAAAAATGTCCACGTCCACTGTGGTGGTACGCTTTAGCTTAGAATGCCTATCCATGTGGAACTGATGAACACATTTGACAACCCTGAAAACACAACCCTGTATAGTCAGCGCTTTGTTTTCAGTGCAGCCGTCCGATTCTAGTTGATGTCGTCCTCATTGGGTGGGTATAGTGTAGTAGGTAACACCCCTGCCTTTCTCGCTGCGGACTGGTGTTTGATTCCCCCAGTGGGTAAGCACTCTACACTATACTAATAAGAGTCCTTGGGCACGACTCCTAACACTACCTTCGCCTACCTGTGTAAACAGACAAAAAAAAGATGATCACGTTGTTGGTCACTCTGGAAAAGAGTGTCTGCCAAGTCCTGTAAATGTAATGGGGTGTGAATGTTGTGCAGAGTGGACACACGCTTTACAAGGAAACGTTGCATTGTTTGTTGGGTTTATGTGAACCTGTGCTCTTGTTTTTGTGTGTGCAATCTTGTCTTGATTGGAAATAACACCATAGCTGCGTCCCAATTCAGGGGCTGCATCCTTCAGAGGCTGCATTTGAAGGCTGATTGCTTCACAGTGGCGCGACTAGGCTGTCCCGTTTCGAAGGCTCCTTCATATGCAGCCGAGAAATGTGTCCTTTTCCATGGCAATGAAGGATCCAACGGGTGGATCCTTCGCCAGCCAGCGTATCCCGAGGTTCTCTATGTGCCGGCAGGATTCGAGAACATGGCAGCGTCAGCAGAGGAGTGAATAGCGGCTGAGGAGACACTTTAAATGTAAGTATTGGGTTTAAACTGAGTTGAATACCGAACGATACAGATGTTAAAAAAGCCAGTGTGGTCTGAAGCTAAACTTATTCCATTTTGTTTTAGGGAGCAAAGAGCCGACAGAAAGAAGCAACTCCAGCTCTAATAAATGAAAAAATAAAAAAACTAAAATCAAAGTTTCTCCATCTTCAAAGAACTTTAAAAGAACTTGACAGGAGCGGCGTTTCGTGGCGCAGCAGTGAGGGCCAGAACAGTGGCGCTGTGACGCTAAAAGGTAATCTGACGTAGAGCAGAGCGCCTCTTTTCGGTTCAGCCTTCGTGGGTCTACTCAGACTTCGAAGGACACGCCTTCGTAGACCGCGTCTTTCAAAGGGTGCAGCCCCTGAATTGGGACACAGCTCATGTTTATAGTGATGACGTGCAACACTGTGGTTAGTGCGCTGCCACTGTGGTGCTGCACAGGCCTCATGTAACCTGCTGTGATATCATAAAAAAATTCCCTGACCACTAAAAAAGGCAGCCAGGTAGAAGCAGTGTGTGAAACAGCCCCTGGTATTTGGGGGGTCCCATGTTGTCTGTCTGCTAACTCTCTCTCCATAGCGGCGCTGAAGCTTCAATGGCAACAAAACGTTTGTTTCATCAGTTGTTCATTTGAAAGTTTCTGTTCTAGTGTGGTTCTGCGCTCTTCCTCACACTGAGATTAAAGGTTACAGGTATGTCTGTGTGTGTGTGTGTGTATGAGTGAGTGAAGGTAGGAATGCATGTCTTATTTTATCTTTATTTTATTTTTTTTTTGTATTTTATCTTATTGTATTTTATTTTATATTATATTTATTTTATTTTATTTTATTCACTACATGTAAATGTTTGATACTGTGCTCTGTGAGCTCCTGTAACCAAAACCAAATTCCTTGTATGTGTGAACAAACCTGGCCAGTAAAGCTTGATTCTGATTCTGATTCTGAGATCTTCCTCATCTCCTCTTCTGTAGAGTCTCTGTTCTAGTGTGGTTCTACGCTCTTCCTCACAGTAACTGAGATCTTCCTCGTCTCCTCTTCTGTAGAGTCTCTGTTCTAGTGCGGTTCTGCGCTCTTCCTCACATTAACTGAGATCTTCCTCGTCTCCTCTTCTGTAGAGTCTCTGTTCTAGTGCGGTTCTGCGCTCTTCCTCACAGTAACTGAGATCTTCCTCGTCTCCTCTTCTGTAGAGTCTCTGTTCTAGTGCGGTTCTGCGCTCTTCCTCACAGTAACTGAGATCTTCCTCGTCTCCTCTTCTGTCTTCAGTGTGAGAAATGAGGAACAGTCACTCTTCACTCCAAACTCTTGGGAAACTGGGCGAGTTTTCAGATTTACAGATCTGCTGCAGCTCATTGTAAAGTCTTTCAGAGGAATCCGGGCAGAGTTACAGTTTCTAGACTATGAAGGACCAACTGGGTGAACCGGTCTGCTGCAGCGCCACCCTGATATGTGACATTTAATTCATGGATCAATTATTTAACTCACTGGATCTGTTACAGTAATATATAACTGACTGGGTCCGTTACAGTGATATTTAACTCACTGGGTCCGTTACAGTGATAATTAACTCATTCGGATCTATTACAATGATATTTAACTTACTGCATGTATCAGAGTAATTTTTAACTCGCTGGATCTATTACAGTGATATTTAACTCACTGGATCTATTACAGTGATATTTAACTCACTGGGTCCGTCACAGTGATAATTAACTCATTCGGATCTATTGCAGTGATATTTAACTTACTGCCTGTATCAGAGTAATTTTTAACTTGCTGGATCTATTACAGTGATATTTAACTCACTGGATCTATTACAGTGATATTTAACTCACTGGGTCCGTTACAGTGATAATTAACTCATTCGGATCTATTGCAGTGATATTTAACTTACTGCCTGTATCAGAGTAATTTTTAACTTGCTGGATCTATTACAGTGATATTTAACTCACTGGATCTATTACAGTGATATTTAACTCACTGGGTCCGTTACAGTGATAATTAACTCATTCGGATCTATTGCAGTGATATTTAACTTACTGCATGTATCAGAGTAATTTTTAACTTGCTGGATCTATTACAGTGATATTTAACTCACTGGGTCCGTTACAGTGATAATTAACTCATTCGGATCTATTGCAGTGATATTTAACTTACTGCATGTATCAGAGTAATTTTTAACTCGCTGGATCTATTACAGTGATATTTAACTCACTGGGTCCGTTACAGTGATATTTAACTCATTCGGATCTATTACAGTGATATTTAACAGTGGCATTTAACTCACTCGGTCTATTAGAGTGATATTTAAATCACTGGATCTATTATAGTGACATTTAAATCGCTGGATCTATTACAGTGACATTTAACTCACTGGAAGAGAATATTTTGAAGAAACTGATTTGCGTCAAATTGACCCCTAAACGACGTAACGCCTAAGGGCAGAATCGATCCAGATCCTCACAGCAGACGATCCAGTCCGGGTGGCCGAGGCTGTCCGCTCTGCCTTACAGGACGTGACGGAGGGAAAAATTCCCATAATGTTCAGTCATTGACTAAAGAGCAGCAGAAGAGCAGCACAAAGAAGGAGAAAAGCGCTCTGTGGCGGACAGCGGCTCCTTCGTTAGCCCCCGCAGTTTAGTGGGGGGTCTCTAAACGCCGGTGTGAGCTGCCGGTTGCGGTAGTCGAGGCGCTCCGGGGTGAATTTAGCGGCGAGAGAAGAGACGGAGGGCGCTTTGTGGAGGCTGGTCGGTCGCTGTGTCTATGTGGAAGTATCAGAAACACAGCGGCGATGCGCAGCTGCGCTAAAACACCCGCAAACTCTCCGCTCTTCGCAAAGGTGGGTCTCTACCTCTAACGCCCCGTCTCAGCGCTCGATTCCGAGCCTGGTTGTCCGTCTTGTCCCGGACCGGTCGACTTTACGGTCCGCAAATCGGCTGGAAGGAAAAGAGGATGAGGAAACAAGTAGCATCTCAGCTAATTAGCATGTTGCTAACGCTAACGGAAAAGTAAACGGAAAGTGCGCTGAGTTAGCTCGCCAGCTGTGGCACTTGGCTAACCAGTTAGGTTAGCTTCCTGGCTAAAAAAGAGGCTGTTTTCCTGGCCACGGCGAAGGCTAACTGGCTAACGGAGTGCCAGAGCTACTAATCTAACTATTACCGAAGTCAGCTTTTTGTTCGCCAAGTTTCTGCTCAGATCTTCCCGTTCCACCTTAAATGGTGCAGCAGTTACAGTCTGGCGCCTGAGGCGTAATAATAACTGTTGCACCATTTAAGGTGGAACGGGAAAATTGGACCAGAAAGCTGGCGAACAAAAAACTATCTTCAGCATCGTCTGTGTTTATTAGGTATTAAGTTAATAAACTTTAGTGATATTTGTTTATGTGTCATCTTTCAGGCTTGGAAACCGAGCTAGGAGTGCTTTAGCAACATAAAGTGTTCAAATATAACAATAGTGGACAGAAGGACAGTGAAAAAGAACAAGTGCTTAAAAACACAGTTAAGTGCGTTTGGAGTTGTTTGTTTTTAAACTTTTAAACTGGTTCTCTCCTCTAACCTTCCACAAAAACTAGCAAAGCTTCATCTTAGGCAGAAAACTGCGAATCTGTTTGTGTTTGTTTAATGTTTAAAGGTTTAAAAAGCTTTAAAAGCGGGATGACACTGCTTTAAATAGAGAGGTAAGATGTATATAGATGCTTTTAGTGCTGTAACAATACATAGTTTTACATAGATTTCATATGTTTGTACCTGAGGTAAAGATTAAATGTATATTAAAGGGGAATTCCACCCATTTTTTAAAAAAATGTCTTCATAGTTCAGTGTGTGAGATGTAAGCAGAGTGATTTGGTGTGAAATGGTTCAGATGTCTTTACAGTGGTGGTGATAGGAACCAGGGGTCGCCATGACTACAACACAGATATAGTCATTTTATTTACTATTCAGAACCACCAGTGAACCAACACGAGTCTTCTGAGTTTATATGGAATGATGATGAAGGTAAAATAGTGGAAAATCAGGAAAAATAAGTTTTCTTTGGGGACTATTTTGCCTCACAGCGCCCTGCATATTATGTATTCCTCCACCATGAGTGGGTTAAAAGTATGTTTTAGGTGAGAATCTTCTCAAAACTATCATAAAACAGTGTCTCAGTCATCAGGCAGTGAATTCATAACCATTTCATGTAGTAACTTTCTGTGAGGGAGCTTTTAGAGGTGGACGTCTGGTTCCTATCACCACCACTGTGAACAGTTCTGACTCGGTAAGTTTCTCTAGAACAGAGCGTTTCACACCAAACCACTCTGAATGACTCTGTTTACATCTCAGCCATTTAGTTATGCAGAACATTTTGGGGGAAAAAAGACATTGGAATTCCTCCTTAACAAATAAACCCACAACCCTTAGGATTTATGACTTCTGGAAAAAGCACAGCCATTTGAGTCTGAATAGCATAAACCCATTTTTGATCATTAGCAATGTTGTGGTATGTTGGAGCGTCAGTGTCCCTTTTGTTAAACGCTCTCGTCTCCTTCTCAGACCAGCTCTGTCTCTCCACCACGCTGTTTGTGTTTGTTGTTAGGGGCATGTGAGAGAAATGTGTCACATGACGCGCCATTTTTGTGCAAATGTGTTAATTTTCCACAAAAAAAGTTTCAAATGTTAGTTTTCAGAGCGTTTCAAGAATCGACAAACAGTTTACCCACTAATTCAAATAAGTAATACCAAATAAATATTACCAACCGTTTACAAACCATAGCATATACTCGTATGCGAAAGTTTGGCCTCCCTGGTCAAATGATGTTAGGTAGTTAACACATCATCTGCAGAGAACACACTTAAATATGACATTTTGTCTGCAAATTTTAGTGCACAAGTTTGTTTTCTAAGTTTAACATATTGGAAAAAATAAATATGTTAAGTTCAGTGAATAAACAGTGACTGTGTATTACAGTGTGCAGATGTGTGTTGTCTGTAGAGGATGTGTTCACATATTTACACTTAGAAAACCTCAGTGAGGTGCCCAGACTTTTGCATACAGCTGTACTTTGACAGATTTTTTTGAAGCTTTAACACATTTTTCGTCAAAAATCATTTGAAAGGAAACATTGCTGCTGACAGCGTCGTGTGAGAGACACCCAGAAACGAGCGAGGGCTGAATCAGCGACTCAGTTTTGTGTTTCTCCACTGTTTAAAGTGCTCAGTTTAACTTTTTATACAGTTTTGATTCTGTTACACCCGTATTTAAGATGCAGTGATGTTGGGCAGGGTTGGGGTTTAAACGGCTTGTTTAATTATATATTTATTATCACTGTATTATTTGTATCAATGTTGTCACTAATAGATCCAGTGAATGAAATGGCACCGTAATGGATCCAGCGAGCGGAATGGCACTGTAATAGATCCAGTGATTATTACAGTGAGCCAAATGTCAATGTAATAAATCCAGTGAGTTAAATGTTATTGTAATAGATCCAGCAAGTTAAATGACACTGAAATAGATCCAGTGAGGAAAATGACGCTGAAATGGATCCAGCGAGCAGCTAGTTAGTAGTTCTGAATGGATCCAGTGAGCCAGATGTCACTGTAGTACATCCAGTGAGCTGAATGTCACTGTAATAGATCGAGCTGACTGTCACTGTAGTACATCCAGCGAGCCGAATGTCACATTAATAAATCGAGCTGAATGTCACCGTAATAGATCCTGCGTGTCGAATGTCACTGTAGTAAATCCAGTGAGTTAAATGTTATTTTAATAGATTCAGTGAGTTAAATGGCACTGTTAATTGTCACTGTAATAGACCCAGTGAGTTAAATGTTGCTGTAATAGATCCAGTGCGTTAAATATTATTAAATGACACTATAATAGATCAAGTGCATTTAATATCTCTGTAATAGATCCAGTGCGTTAAATATCACTGTAATAGATTCAGTGAGCGGCTAGTTAGCAGTCCTGAATGGAAACGTGTGTGCGTGTGCGCGCGTGTGTGTGTGTGTGTGTGTGTGTGTGTGTGTGTGTGTGTGCGTGTGTGGAGTGGTGTTCTGCCCTGACATGCCCAGTCCTTTCGTTCAGGGTGCTGGTCATCACCTCATCATTTATGACGTATTAAATTTAGAGTCTGCCTCACTGCCTGTTGAGACAGTGATGTGTTAAAGGGAAACTCCACTGATATTTTGAATTCCACCAGTTTTAATAATTCAATCTTTGATTTGTAAACAAAGTCATTCCTTGTGAAATTGTTCATTTTAGACAAACTTACCAACCCTGACTTCTTTACAGTGGTGGTGATGGGAACCAGGAGTCTTGCTATCTACAACACATACACTGTGTTTTTGTGTGATGTTGATAATGTTAAAACTGTGGTAAATCTGAAAGAGTAAGTTTTCTTTAGGGACTATTTTGCCTCACAACATCCTGCATGTATCCCTCCACCATGAAAGGATTTTAAAATAAGCAGAAAACCTCTCTAAAATTTTAATAAAAAACAGTGTCTCAGTCATCAGGCAGTGAATTCATAACCATTTCATGTAGGAACTTTCTGTGAGGGAGCTTTTAGAGGTGGACGTCTGGTTCCTATCACCACCACTGTGAACAGTTCTGACTCTGTAAGTTTATCTAGAACAGAGCGTTTCACACCAAACCACTCTGAACGGCTCTGTTTACACCTTAACCGTTTAATTATCCAGTGGTTATAAATTTAGTATCGAGAACCAGTGAGGGTAAGTGTTCTCTGTGGTGCAGTGCTGATTGTTTGCACACCTGTAGGTCTGTGTGAGCGCAGAGACAGTAGAGCTGAGGCTGTGATCAGGGAGAAGTGTGTGTTTACCTGAGCATGCTGCAGGTGAGCGCAGTGTCTGGGGAGAGAGCGCAGTGAGTGTAGGAGGCACTGCAGTGTCCTCACTGATGAGTCTGAGGCCTCAGAGCTCATTATGACTCAAAATACTTACCACCACAATCTCCTGTTTATAAAGCACAGAGCTGTGAGTGAGTACCACATCACTCTCTCTCTCCTCTCTCTCTCTCTCTCTCTCTCAGGTTCAATTTTGCTTTATTGACATGACAAATGTACATTTGTATTGTCAAAGCGCAACAAAAATGATCTATATATTAAAAGTTAATAATAAAACAAAACAAACAAAAAATAATAATAAAACAAAATACAAACCAAGATTAATATATGATGATGCAACAATTAAGAAGAGAAAGTGTTATTATTATAATTAATAATATAAAAGGATATGTAATAATAAAACAAAACCTATTGAATGTGTATTTAGTTTATAACAGGAAAGAGAGGAAAAAAAATTATCAAATATATTTATGTGAGTAAGAAGGGAAAAAAGGACGTCTACATTACAGATATACATATATAACAGTGAGTAAAGGCTGTGGTGTGGTGGTCACTCACTGTCCCTGAGTGAATGGCACTCGTACACATATCTGGCTGCAGTGGACGCTAAAGGACCCTCTCCTAATATAATCACTAATTTATCTTTATCTCCCAACTAATTTATCTTTATCTCTCAGTACTGTCCTCTCTCTCAGTACTCTCTGTCTCTCTCTCTCTCTCAGTACTCTCTGTCTCTCTCTCTCTCTCAGTACTCTCTGTACTCTCTCTCTCAGTACTCTCTGTCTCTCTCTCTCTCAGTACTCTCTGTCTCTCTCTCTCTCAGTACTCTCTGTCTCTCTCTCTCAGTACTCTCTGTCTCTCTCTCTCTCAGTACTCTCTGTCTCTCTCTCAGTACTCTCTGTCTCTCTCTCTCAGTACTCTCTGTCTCTCTCTCAGTACTCTGTTCTCTCTCTCTCTCAGTATTCTCTGTACTCTCTCTCTCTCTCAGTACTGTCTTCTCTCTCTCAGTACTCTCTGTCTCTCTCTCTCAGTACTCTCTGTCTCTCTCTCTCTCAGTACTCTCTCTCTCTCTCTCTCAGTACTGTCTACTCTCTCCCAGTACTCTGTACTCTCTCTCTCAGTACTCTCTGTCTCTCTCTCTCAGTACTCTCTGTCTCTCTCTCTCAGTACTCTCTGTCTCTCTCTCTCAGTATTCTCTGTACTCTCTCTCTCTCTCAGTACTGTCTACTCTCTCCCAGTACTCTCTGTCTCTCTCTCTCTCTCAGTACTCTCTCTCTCTCTCAGTACTCTCTGTACTCTCTCTCAGTACTCTGTCTCTCTCTCTCTCAGTACTCTCTGTACTCTCTCTCTTAGTACTCTGTACTCTCTCTCTCAGTACTCTGTACTCTCTTTCTCTCTCTCTCTCAGTACTCTCTGTATTCTCTCTCTCAATACTCTGTTCTCTCTCTCTCTCTCTCTCAGTACTCTCTGTATTCTCTCTCTCAGTACTCTGTTCTCTCTCTCTCTCTCTCAGTACTCTCTGTATTCTCTCTCTCAGTACTCTGTACTCTCTCTCTCTCTCAGTACTCTCTGTCTCTCTCTCTCAGTATTCTCTGTACTCTCTCTCTCTCTCCCAGTACTCTGTACTCTCTCTCCCAGTACTCTGTACTCTCTCTCCCAGTACTCTGTACTCTCTCTCCCAGTACTCTGTACTCTCTCTCTCAGTACTCTCTGTCTCTCTCTCTCTCTCTCAGTACTCTCTGTCTCTCTCTCTCTCTCTCTCTCTCAGTACTCTCTGTCTCTCTCTCTCAGTACTCTCTGTCTCTCTCTCTCAGTATTCTCTGTCTCTCTCTCAGTACTCTCTGTCTCTCTCTCAGTACTCTCTGTACTCTCTCTCAGTACTCTCTGTCTCTCTCTCACTCTCTCAGTACTCTCTGTCTCTCTCTCAGTACTCTCTGTACTCTCTCTCAGTACTCTCTGTACTCTCTCTCAGTACTCTGTCTCTCTCTCAGTACTCTCTGTACTCTCTCTCTTAGTACTCTGTACTCTCTCTCTCAATACTCTGTTCTCTCTCTCTCTCTCTCAGTACTCTCTGTATTCTCTCTCTCAGTACTCTGTACTCTCTCTCTCTCTCTCTCTCTCTCTCTCTCTCTCAGTACTCTGTACTCTCTCTCTCTCTCTCAGTACTCTCTGTATTCTCTCTCTCAGTACTCTGTACTCTCTCTCTCTCTCTCTCTCTCTCTCTCAGTATTCTCTGTATTCTCTCTCTCAGTACTCTGTACTCTCTCTCTCTCTCTCTCTCTCTCTCTCTCTCTCTCTCTCTCTCTCTCTCTCTCTCTCTCAGTACTCTCTGTCAATTCAATTCAATTCAAATAACTTTATTGGCATGAATTGTAATGAACAATTGTTGCCAAAGCAATTAAAATATCCTAGTAGAATATGAAGATAATGGTGAAGAAGGAAATAATGTATAAAAGAAAGACTAAAATAATAAAATATTCATATGTACATACACACATATACATACATACACATATACATTGTAAAATACACACACATCAAATAAATAAATGATACATTTACATGGGATCAGTTTAAGGCGCTGTGTCACTCTGTTCTCTGCGTTTGTGGCAGCTGTAAACATATTTAGCTGATAGTTCAGCACATTCTGGTGTCTCTCCTAAACACACCCCTAACAGATCTTCAGCTTTAGTCATTTTCTCTTTAAATGATGGGATATAAGTTTCAACTGAGCTGATATAATCTTCTCTGAGGTCTTCATATCTGTTACAGGAGGAGAGAAAGTGTAGCTCAGTTTCGATTTGTCCTGAACTGCACTGATTACTCTCTCTCTCAGTACTCTGTACTCTCTCTCTCTCTCTCTCAGTACTCTCTGTACTCTCTCTCTTAGTACTCTGTACTCTCTCTCTCTCTCAGTACTTTCTGTACTCTCTCTCTCAGTACTTTCTGTACTCTCTCTCTCAGTACTCTCTCTCTCTCAGTTCATACACATAGAATTCACATTTAATATGTTTAGTATCACATTACCATACAAGTCTTATGTATCATGTGCATTTAAATATTATCTCTACAGATCTGCCAGAGCAGCGTTTAGGTCCTAATAACACTTTCAGTTTCTCAGATTCAGGGACTTCACCGAACCCAGGGGTTTCAGTACTGAATTTACTGAAGTCTCTCTCTCTCTCTCTCTCTCTCTCTCTCTCTCTCTCTCTCTCTCTCTCTCTCTCTCTCTCTCTCTCAGGTTAGCGGATGTTAAGGTCATGGCGATGGATCTCTCTCAGATGACCCCGCTGTCCGCTGCTCAAACGCTCGGGTGAGTAACCCCCACCCCTCACCCCCACAGACGTTTCTATAGCGACCGCAGCATTCCGGAATGGTCCACTTTGTTTACATTTGAGTTTCCATGGAGATCTGTAGGTTCCAGACCTGCTTTAATGCTGTGGAGTGTCAGAGAGGACCCCCTGCCCCTCTTTGTCTCTCTCGCTCTCTCTCTCTCTCTCTCCCTCTCTCTCTCTCTCTCTCCCTGTCTCTCTCTCTCTATCGGTCATTCAGTTCAGTTCAGCAGTGCTTCATTGGAATGAATGTAATAAAATACATTATTGCAAAAGCAGTTGAAACACATGGATAAGTAAGTAAGAGAGAGAGACAATATTATGGAAACAGTAACATTATACACACAATATAACACTACAGATTAATTTAGTTACAGGATTATTAGTAATCAATACAAGATAAAAAAGTAAATCAATAAAAGCGTGTGTGATCAGCTCTTCTCTCCTGATTTGTACGGCAGTTTATCAGAGTCACTGCGGAGCTGAAACTCAGGACAGGCGCCGCTCACTTTTTTATAGAACAGATTTCTAATGCAGTCATATTTCAAGCACTCTGTTAGGAGGTGCAGCTCACAGTGAGAGCGCAGTCTGACCTCTCTGGGTAACCAGCTCTGTCTGCGCCGGCCAGTTTAAATGGCCATTTTCAGTGTCAGTCTTTCTCTCTCTCTTGTTTTCTGGTCATCTCTGATGCCTTAGATTGTAACTGCGGTAGTGTTTTCCTGTGGTCTCCATTACACTATTGTTGGGGACAATATTCACCAAGAACCTGCACTTCAGTTGCTCGCCCTAATAAACACATAGCTTAAACATTATTTTCGTAGTCGTTACTGAATAATTCATAATACAAACCTAATGCTGAAAGAGTTAAGACAGCAGGTAGACTGTAAATAACAATAGAAAGAGGCTTGTTTAAACAAAAACAGCACAAAGATGACACATGCAATGTTTTGTCTTATCAACATCATTGTTTTCTGTAAATGTACATTCACTCTGAAACTGATGCACGGGCCAAAAAAGTTGTAAACGGGCAATTTAAGGCAAGAAAAACATCTTAAACAGGTGATGTAATCATGCCTGGGTATAAGAGGAGCATCCAGGAAAGGCTGAGTCCTCTGTGAGTGAGGATGAGTCAGCTGATGGTTCACCACTTCGCAGAACATGCGTCGGTAAATAATGCAACAGTTTAAGAACAATGTTCAACTGGCATTTTACGTATTTCACCTCTGCAGTGCGTAATATCAATGAGTTCAGAGAAATTAGAGAAATCTCTGCATAAAGGAAAAGGCCGAAAGCCACAACTGTGACCTTTGACCCCTCAGACAGCACCGCATTAAAAACCAGCATGGTTCTCCAATGGACAGCACACCAGTAAACACTGTTTGTTGCTGTATCTACAGCTGCAGGTTAAGATTGTACCCACAGTAGAAGTCACATATCAACAGCGTCCAGAAACGCCGCCGATTTCTCTGGGCTTGGGCACATCTGAAATGGGCTGATGCTCAGAGGAGATGTGTGTTGTGACTGGACAAATCAACCTTATTCATAGTAGATACTGTGTAATTCATAGTAAATACTGAGTAATTTGGAGTAGATACTGAGTGATTTTTAGTCCATACCATATAATTCATAGTTGTTATTTGATAATGTACAGCAGTTACTGAATTATAGATCTTAAACTGCTGGCCTAAAACACAGAAGCAAATTATTAAGGGAGCCTAGTATAGCCTAGAATACATTTTCAATGCAGATGCTCTGTTCAGAATGCTGCGTAGTTTCTGCAAATCAGTAAATTTACTGAAAAAAGCTATATCACCAGGGCTCAGGGCTCCAGACTGACTTTTTTTTAGAACTTTTCCAGAACTCTACCAGAGCCATCCTAAAAAAAATGGATTTTTTTGGTTGGTGGACTATTCTCAGCCCAGCAGCGACACTGAGGTGTTTAAAAACTCCAGCAGCACTGCTGTGTCTGATCCTGCCGTGTTCATCCAGATTACAGAGAAACTGTAAAACGGCAACATACAAAGAAACGAATGTTCCTTAAGGATCCGTTACCAGCTTTGATTGTCCATGTTTGAGGTAGAGCACGCTAAAATACGTAGACATAATGGTTAGCTCAGTGCTGACGTTACCTAGGAATTCCCATTGACAGACAAAAAGCGTTAATTTCATGTGTGCAAGTTATTCATCCCTGAACCATCCAAACCGGTTTAAACATGGGCTTACGTACAAAGAAATCATTACATCAGCCTTAAATACAAAGATAAATCACTAAATCGGCCTTAAACGCAAAGATAAATCACTAATTGTGCCTTAAACGCAAAGATAAATCACTAAATCGGCCTTAAATGCAAAGATAAATCACTAATTCGGCCTTAAACGCAAAGATAAATCACTAAATCGGCCTTACGTACAAAGATAAATCACTAAATTGGCCTTAAGTACAAAGATAAATCACTAAATCGGCCTTACGTACAAAGATAAATCACTAATTCGGCCTTAAGTACAAAGATAAATCACTAAATCGGCCTTAAGTACAAAGATAAATCACTAAATCGGCCTTAAACGCAAAGATAAATCACTAAATCGGCCTTAAGTACAAAGATAAATCACTGAATCGGCCTTAAACGCAAAGATAAATCACTAAATCGGCCTTAAGTACAAAGATAAATCACTAAATCGGCCTTAAGTACAAAGATAAATCACTAAATCGGCCTTAAACGCAAAGACAAATCACTAAATCGGCCTTAAGTACAAAGATAAATCACTAAATCGGCCTTAAACGCAAAGATAAATCACTAAATCGGCCTTAAACGCAAAATAAATCACTAAATCGGCCTTAAGTACAAAGATAAATCACTAAATCGGCCTTAAGTACAAAGATGAATCACTAAATCGGCCTTACGTACAAAGATAAATCACTAAAAGTTCAAACACAGACAAATCGGTAAATCAACTTAACTGTCAGCCACAGATCAGCTGTTATGCTAGCTGTACGCAGTAAACGAAAGCGTGAGCATCAGCGTTTTCACTCTTTGTTTATAACAGTATGAATTCCTTTTTAGTTGAGATATTTAAACGCTATTTGTTTAAAAAAGCGACTCTGAAATTGCTAAGATGGTTCAAATGCCGCCCCTGCTGTCCACTGTGCAGTAGGTGTTGCTGCCTGGCGCCCCCTGCAGGGCGGTTGAGTATTGTTGGTGCTCTGTCGTGTGTGCCGTGTGTGCCGTGTGTGCCGTGCGTGCTGCACCGGACGGTCTGCTGAGTAAACTTAGTCATGCTGTTCAGTTGGGTGTTCTGCTCTGCGCCGTGTTGTGTGAATGTGCTCTGTTACTCTCCTGCATTAAGAGATCAGGCCTGTGAAACGCTGCCCTGGGCGTGTGGGTGGGAACCGAGCGGGGAGAGACGCTCTTACACAATGCAGGGTTAAGGTTTGATTCATTATCCGTTCACACGGCGGGAGGATCACTGAGCACGCCCCGTGACTCAGAGGATCGGACCGAGGCGCACAGTGACGTCACTCGCACTCGATAGAGCCGATACTGTGAAGATAAATGTACAGATAAAGATGTAGAGGTAGCGTACGTGCCTTTACCTCGTTAGTGGCCTCAGCAGGGCCTGACTCCATAGGAGAATTTAGATTTTAGACAGGAGGTTTAGTTACACAGTGCTGAACTGACTGATATGAGTACCAGTACAATGTTACACTTCATAAGTTCTTAAGCTATATATATATATATATATATATATATATATATATATATATATATATACACATAAAATGTATGTATGTACATATATATACATACATATATGTACAACCCCATTTCCAAAAAAAGTTGGAACACTGCAAAATGTAAATAAAAACAAAAAGAGGTGGAGCTACTAAAAGATGAAGTAATTAATGAAATAACGGTGAACTTATTGACGAATTTATTAAAGAGTTAAGGATTAAGGGTTTTGTCTCATCGGTGCTCCTTCTGTGTGTAAGAAGACTTTATGGCTGACTGAGATTTGGAAGCATGTGGATCTGAGTCATGTAGATTAGGCAACGTAAAGAACCCATAATAAACGAGGAATGGTGTAATATGACGTCAGTGTGTAATAATACACTTCCTCTGCACTCAGATTCAGCATACAGACTGGAATTCTGACTCACCCCATATATATATAAAATTCGTTATCTCACAATAACTGATTACAACTCACTAATTCGGCTAATCTTTCTGATTCTGATCCTCTCTCTGATTCTGTCTTTGATTTCGTTTCTCTCTCTGATTCCGATTCGTTGGGGAAGCGTGTCTGACTCTGTCTCTCTGATTCTGGTTCGTCAGGACATGGTGATCAATAATTTCTCTGATTCTGTCTGTCTGATTCGTCAGGGCACGGTCACTGATTCTGTCTCTCTGATTCTGTCTCTCTGATTCGTCAGGGCACAGTGACTGATTCTGTCTCTCTGATTCGTCAGGGCACGGTGACTGATTCTGTCTCACTGATTCTGTCTCTCTGATTCTGTCTCTCTGATTTGTCAGGGCACGGTGACTGATGCTGTCTCTCTGATGCTGTCTCTCTGATGCTGTCTCTCTGATGCTGTCTCTCTGATGCTGTCTCTCTGATTAGTCAGGGCATGGTGACTGATTCTGTCTCTCTGATTCTGTCTCTCTGATTCTGTCTCTCTGATTCTGTCTCTCTGATTCGTCAGGGCATGGTGACTGATTCTGTCTCTCTGATTCTGTCTCTCTGATTCTGTCTCTCTGATTCGTCAGGGCACGGTGACTGATTCTGTCTCTCTGATTCTGTCTCTCTGATTCTGTCTCTCTGATTCTGTCTCTCTGATTCTGTCTCTCTGATGCTGTCTCTCTGATTAGTCAGGGCACGGTGACTGATTCTGTCTCTCTGATTCTGTCTCTCTGATTCTGTCTCTCTGATTCTGTCTCTCTGATGCTGTCTCTCTGATTAGTCAGGGCACGGTGACTGATTCTGTCTCTCTGATTCTGTCTCTCTGATTCTGTCTCTCTGATTCTGTCTCTCTGATTAGTCAGGGCACGGTGACTGATTCTGTCTCTCTGATTCTGTCTCTCTGATTCTGTCTCTCTGATTCTGTCTCTCTGATTCTGTCTCACTGATTCTGTCTCTCTGATTCGTCAGGGCATGGTGACTGCTGTCAGGTGGCTGGAGGAGCAGCGGCGTCTAGCCTGAGGAGGAGAGCCAGGAGCGCGAGAGAAAGAGGGGAAAGAGAGAGGGAGCGCGAGAGTACGTCATGGGCCAGTGTGTGACTAAATGTAAAAACCCCACATCCTCTCTGGGCAGCAAAAGCGGTGAAAAGGATGCTGGGAAGTCACATAAAAAAGGAGGAGGTGGAGGTGGAGGGGGCGGGACTGGAGGCCACAAAGACGAATCCAAATTCCCTGCTGATGTCAACGGCACCAAGTCTCCGGAGGTCACCGTGGAAACTTCTGTGGCTCCACCCCTGTCGTCGGGGGACGTAAGGAGGGAGGAGCCTGATCAGGAAGGGGAGGGGCTTTCTTTGGCTCGGATAGAGGAGATGTTCATGTGGTATAAAGACGAACATGAGGACGCTATCCTGGAAGAGGGAATGGAGCGGTTCTGTAACGACCTGCACGTCGACCCGGCCGAGTTTAAAGTCCTGGTGCTGGCGTGGAAGTTTCAGGCTGCAACCATGTGCAAGTTTACAAGGTGAGAAACCAAATGGTGGTTTAAATCGGGCTGCAGTGATTAGTCAACAATGGAACAATCATTTATTTTGGTACGATTCAAAATTATTATTATTATTTTTATTATTATTCTTATTGTTGTGCATTCTGACAGACTGTAATGCACTACAGGAAGTGTAGGGGGCGATATGGCTTCTACTGTTTCATTTAAAAAGCTCTATAATGTTCAAATGATCCACACAGTCATTCTGACAGACTGTAATACACTACAGGAAGTGTAGGGGGCGATATGGCCTCTACTGTTTCATTTAAAAAGCTCTATAATGTTCATATGATCCACACAGTCACTCTGACAGACTGTAATACACTACAGGAAGTGTAGGGGGCGATATGGCCTCTACTGTTTCATTTAAAAAGCCTCTATAATGTTCATATGATCCACACAGTCATTCTGACAGACTGTAATACACTACAGGAAGTGTAGGGGGCGATATGGCTTCTACTGTTTCATTTAAAAAGCCTGTATAATGTTCATATGATCCACACAGTCACTCTGACAGACTGTAATACACTACAGCAAAATTGTTGGCACCATCATCGGGAGGTTTTGAGCTTGATCCTTGGTGATGCCACAGCCTTCCTTAATGTAGTTATAAGCTGTGTCCCAATTCAGGGGCTGCATCCTTCGAAGGACACGCCTTCATAGACTGTGTTGACCCATGAAGGCTGAACAGAAATGAGACGGTCTGCCCTACGGCAGATTTTCTGCCACAGCGCTGTTGTTCCCGCCCTCACGGCTGCATCACGAAACGCCGCTCCTGTGAAGTTCTTTTAAAGTTCTTTAAAGATAGAGAACCTTTGATTTTAGTTTTTTATTTTTTCATTTATTAGAGCTGGAGAGCTGCGCACATCCTACTCAGTAACGTCACGTGAATGAATCACGTTCATCATCAGCACAAACTAACGAGCAGAACGAGCTTCGCTGAGAAGATCATTAACTCTGATCAGCTCTCAGCTTCATTATTAGAGCGAGACGAAGGAGAAAAAGGTGAGATGAGCTGCTTTTCCACCGTTTACAGGCTTTAACTTCTGTTCGGCGCTGCTGCCATGGTAACGCTGAATGATGGCGCATGCGCAGTGGAAAAAAAGCACATGAATTCCGATCTGAGCGTCATATTAAGGTCGCATGGTCACAAATTGGATACGTATCCGATCTAGGACCACATATGAAAGTGACTCAGGTCGGATTTGAAAAGATCAGATTTGTGTCCACACAGCCCTGAAAACATCAGATCTGAGTCACATTAGGGCAAAAAAATCGGATTTGTGCCACTTCAGCCTGGTAATGTGAACGCAGCCTTTCATATGTGGTCCTAGATCGGATACGTATCCGATTTGTGGCCATGCGACCTTAATGTGACGCTCAGATCGGAATTCATGTGCTTTTTTTCCCCACTGCGCTGCGCCATCATTCAGCGTTACCATGGCAGCTGCGCCGAACAGAAGTTAAAGCCTGTAAACGGTGGAAAAGCAGCTCATCTCACCTTTTTCTCCTTCGTCTCGCTCTAATAATGAAGCTGAGAGCTGATCAGAGTTAATGATCTTCTCAGCGAAGCTCGTTCTGCTCGTTAGTTTGTGCTGATGATGAATGTGATTCGTTCACGTGACGTTACTGAGTAGGATGAGCTCATGAGGGTCATTTCAGGACACCGGTTCGTCACATTAATGACAGATTTGAATCTCTTACCTAAACGAGTGTGAACCATTATGTCAGAGAGATCAGATTTGAGCAGAAAATCGGATTTGAGAAATGAGGCTTGTAATGTGAACGTAAAAGCTCAGCTGCTGGAGGTGGGTGGCAGTTTCAGACTGCTTCAGCTCTCAGACTGAAGGGAAATGCTCCATTATGCTAATGGCACTAAACAGAAACCAACATTAGCATTGTTTTTAATGACTTCCTTATTAAGCGTATTTGCCATTCTCACTGAAGTGACAGGCCAAATGGCTTCGCAGCAGATAGGAGGACTTTCAGATTACATTTCCTGAAGCATCTAATAGAGCCAGGCTGATGTATGAAACTTCAGTGGCTGATGATGATTTTAAGGGGCTAATTCTGATAATTGAGAGTATATCAATGACATGAGGGTGAATGGAAAATACGCACCGATCAGGCATAACATTCTGACCTCCTCCTTGTTTCTACGCTCATTGTCCATTTTATCAGCTCCACTTACTGTATAGGTGCACTTTGTAGTTCTACAGTTACAGACTGTAGTCCATCTGTTTCTCTGATACTTTGTTAGCCCCCTTTTACCCTGTTCTTCAGTGGTCAGGACCCCCATGGACCCTCACAGAGCAGGTACTATTCTGGTGGTGGGTCATTCTCAGCACTGCAGTAACACTGACGTGGTGGTGGTGTGTTAGTGTGTGTTGTGCTGGTCTGAGTGGATCAGACACAGCAGTGCTGCTGGAGTTTTTAAACACTGTGTCCACTCACTGTCCACTCTATTAGACACTCCTACCTTATCAGTCCACCTTGTAGATGTAAAGTCAGAGACGATAGCTCATCTGCTGCTGCACAGTTTGTGTTGGTCATCCTCTAGTCCTTCATCAGTGGTCACAGGACGCTGCCCACAGGACACTGTTGGCTGGATATTTTTGGTTGGTGGACTATTCTCAGTCCAGCAGTGACACTGAGGTGTTTAAAAACTCCAGCAGCACTGCTGTGTCTGATCCACTCGTACCAGCACAACACACACTAACACACCACCACCACGTCAGTCACCTATATAGTAAGTGGAGCTGATAAAATGGACAATGAGCGTAGAAACAAGGAGGTGGTCATAATGTTATGGCTGATTGGTGTGTGTATATTTTTACTAACTTTTCCAAAACGATTTATTATAAAAGGCAGTTTTGTGTTATGGGGCTATCCAAGGAGTATGTACTCACACAGCTAAGGAACAGTTAGGATTAAATGGGTTAGAAATTAATTCTTATTATATATATATATATATATATATATATATATATATGTATGTATATATAATATATATATATATATATTATATATATATATATATATATATATATATATATATAGCCCATTCATACTGGACCTGCTCAGATGCGCCCTCTAGTGCCTGACCGGCCTAGAACACATTACTGAGTGTCATTTCTCCTCACTACTCACTCTGCGGCTTCACAGCTTCAGAAAGCCTTGTTTCCTGTGATAGAGTGACTATAGCACTCTACTCTCTCTCTCTCTAACAGCTACGATAATCTCACCACAGAGCTTTTCAGAGGAGATCAGTAATCTGACTGTAAAATCTCAGGAAGTGGTCACAGCTTCTGCTCTGCGGCCGAACGGACGCGCTTGTCTTTATTAACGTGCCAGTCTTGTGTGTGACCATATAGTAGTGTGTGTGAGTTGATAGTAAAACTCTGTCAAAGAAAAAAATTATTTATTACGTTATTTTATAATGTGATGGTGAGTTTTTACCCTAGTTGACTGAAATTCAGAGGCATTTAATATACAAATGGGTCAGTTTGTGAAGTGTACAGAATAAGCTCCAAACACGATCTGACACACCTGCTCCAGATAAATAAAGGGGTCTTCCACCCATTTTTCAAAATTTCTGCATGATTCAGTGTGTGAGATGTAAACAGAGAGATTCAGAGTGGTTTGGTGTGAAATGGTTCAGATGTCTTTACAGTGGTGGTGATAGGAACCAGGGGTCGCCATGACTACAACACAAATATAGACATTTTATTTACTATCCAGAACCACCAGTGAACCTACACGAGTCTTCTGAGTTTTAGATGCAAAGCACCTTGCGGACCTGGCCACCCGCTCGCCCTTTCATTCGCTCACTCACTCACTCACCCACTCACTTATGTTTTGCCCACAAGGGGGAGCTACTGCCACTCTAGTAACTACAGTGAAAACAACCTTGTGTTGGCCCTTAGATGGCCGAGTCTGTTGAGCACTGTAGACCGTGAGAAATGTGTGCTGTCTAGGACGTTTTGGGTACCACCTGCTGGTGCCTCACGTCAGTGACGCTTTGTGTCCTTGATGTATGGAATGATAATGTTAAAGTAGTGATATAGAAGTGATAGATAGTGAAAGATAAGTTTTCTTTGGGGGCTAATTTTCCTCACTATGAATGGATTTTAAATGTATGTTTAAGGCCAAAATCTCCCCAAAAGTACTGTAAAACAATGAGTGTGTTTACATGCACTCAGTTATCTGAGCATAATTAGATTTCTGCATTTATCTGATTATTCAAATGGTCGTGTAAACAGCGCACACTGATTTATTAGATCAGAGTAACGTCTAGAAATCCGATTAAGAAATCTGATAAAGAGGCTGGATTTTAGCTCAGCAATCAGATTTCTCAGTGCTGTAAACTCTTACTCTGATTTCTTTCTCAGTCTGAGCATGTGTGAAAACAGACGGCGGTACTGGGAATAAGCGAGCAGCGTCGCCGCGAGACGCAGCAAAACACTTTTTGGAGCGACACTGAAACCAAATACATACATACTGGCAAAATGAAGGATTTTCTATATTCTTCATCTTCTAGATGATTTATGTTCATATTTTCAGGTAAAGCGGTGCAGTGTAGCAACAAAAAAAAACAGCCAAAGCATGAAGTTCGAGTTTTACGTCTCGTCTTCTTCTGTGATTTAATTAGCTGGTTGCAAAGCAGAAATCCGATTACTGTCTGACTCATGTAGACCTGGAGTTTCCCCGTTATCTGATTACTCAAGTGCATTGATCGGATCACTGACAAAATCGGATTTTTTCCAGTTATTGGATTATTAAGTTAATGTAAACACACTCAGTGTCTCAGTCATCAGGCAGTGAATTCACAACCATTTCATGTAGGAACTTTCTGTGAGGGAGCTTTTAGAGGTGGACGTCTGGTTCCTATCACCACCACTGTGAACAGTTCTGACTCTGTAAGTTTATCTAGAACAGAGCGTTTCACACCAAACCACTCTGAACCACTCTGTTTACATCTTAACCACATAATAATGCAGAGAAGTTGGAGAAAAGGGTGAGTTCCCCTTCAGCTTCCTCCATTTGATCAGATGTGGTAGTGTCAGGTAAGAGGAGGGCAGCATGTTAGATGCAGGTTGGAACTAAACTCTACAGGAAGCTAGATCTCCAGGAGGAGGGGCGGTGAGCTCTGCTCTACAGGAAATAGACTTAAATGCGGCTTTTAGTGCACAATTTCTGTTTATTTGCTGAGTTAACAACTTGGAAAGGCCTAGAACACGTGCCAAAACTTTTGCACAGGCCACGTTTTATGTTTTATTTTAAGAAGAAAATCAACAACATGGAATTTTGACCAGGGTGCACAAACTTTTTGCGTGTGACTGTTCACACCCTGAGCACTTTATTAGGTACACCAACCTCATTTCTTCACTCATTGTCCATTTTATCAGCTCCACTTACTATATAGGTGCCTTTGTAGTTCTACAGTTACAGACTGTAGTCCATCTGTTTCTCTGATACTTTGTTAGCCCCCTTTTACCCTGTTCTTCAGTGGTCAGGACCCCCATGGACCCTCACAGAGCAGGTACTATTTGGGTGGTGGATCATTCTCAGCACTGCAGTAACACTGACGTGGTGGTGGTGTGTTAGTGTGTGTTGTGCTGGTCTGAGTGGATCAGACACAGCAGTGCTGCTGGAGTTTTAAACACTGTGTCCACTCACTGTCCACTCTATTAGACACTCCTACCTTGTCAGTCCACCTTGTAGATGTAAAGTCAGAGACGATAGCTCATCTGCTGCTGCACAGTTTGTGTTGGTCATCCTCTAGTCCTTCATCAGTGGTCACAGGACGCTGCCCACAGGACGCTGTTGGCTGGATATTTTTGGTTGGTGGACTATTCTCAGTCCAGCAGTGACACTGAGGTGTTTAAAAACTCCAGCAGCACTGCTGTGTCTGATCCACTCAGACCAGCACAACACACACTAACACACCACCACCACGTCAGTGTTACTGCAGTGCTGAGAATGATCCACCACCCTGCCGTCCTGTGTTTGTGTGTAAGAGGGAATAATGTTGATCATGGACTCTTTCTTTTCTTTCTTTCCTTCCTGTCTTCTCTCACTTCCCCTTCTTTCACCCCTTTTTTTCTTTCACTGTTTCTGTCCCTGACTTCTCTATTCTCCCTTTTTCTCTCGCTCCGTTCTCTCTCTCTCTCTCGCTCCGTTCTCTCTCTCTCTCTCTCTCGCTCTCTCTTTCTCGCTCTCTCTTTCTCTCTTTCTCTGTGCTTTCTCTCTCTCTCTCTCTCTCTCTCATCTGTTTTCTCTCTCTGTTTCTCTCTCTCATCTGTTTTCTCTCTCTCTCTCTCTTTCTCTCTCTCATCTGTTTTCTCTCTCTCTCTTTCTCTCTCTCTCCTGTTCTCTCTCTCTCTCTCTGTCTCTCACTGTATCTCTCTCTCTCTCTCTCTCTCTCATCTGTTTTTTCTCATCTGTTTTCTCTCTCTCTCATCTGTTTTCTCTCTCTCTCATCTGTTTTTTCTCTCTCTCATCTGTTTTTTCTCTCTCTTATCTGTTTTCTCTCTCTCATCTGTTTTCTCTCTCTCTCATCTGTTTTCTCTCTCTCTCTCTCTCTCTCTCTCTCTCTCTCTCTCTCTCTCTCTCTCTCTCTCTGTAGGAGGGAGTTTGTGGAGGGCTGCCGGGCGATCCAGGCGGACAGTCTTCAGGGGATCTGCCAGCGTTTCTCGTCCCTGCTGGAGGAGTCCCGCGGCGAGGAAAGCTTCAAGGACCTTTACCGTTTCACCTTCCAGTTCGGGCTGGACGCGGACGAGGGCCAGCGCTCGCTGCAGCGCTCCATCGCCATCGCCCTGTGGCGGCTCGTCTTCACGCTGGACACGCCCCCCGTCCTGGAGCGCTGGCTCCACTTCCTGTCGGAGAACCCGTGCGGCGTGCGCGGGATCTCACGCGACACCTGGAACATGTTCCTGAACTTCACTCAGAGCATCGGGCCGGACCTCAGCAACTACAGTGAGGACGAGGCCTGGCCGAGCCTCTTCGACTCCTTCGTGGAGTGGGAGACGGAGAGGAGGCGCAGGGACAGGGTGGAGCAGGAGGAGAGGAGGAGACGAGCGGAGGAGGACGAGGAGCAGGAGGAAGGGGAGGAGGCGGACACGGTCACGGACTGCGGCCCGGACGGCAGGGCGTGATGGGAAACGTGACTGTGAATCGTTGCTAGTATTACCCAAGACCCTTACTATCCGTTCTGATTGATTATTATTATGGTGATGATGATGATTTATATTTTTAGGCTTCGTTGTCGGGGTGGGCGTCCAAATATCCCCTGAACTGAGTTATTTTATTGTCGAAAGGGCTCCAAAAACTAAAATGGTGGTTTTTAAGCACTTGTATTTAAGTTATTGTTTTATTTTGCGATTTCTTTCGGTATTTTTTAAAGGTCTGTCCCTTTACAGTGATGACCTGGACACCGCACCACCCCTCTGACCCCGTCACCCAGGAACCGGCCCACGCTCGCGCTCAATAAAGGGAAACCCGTCAGCATGTCTGAGCGCAGACCCAACACAACCAGTAGAGGCGCTGTAACTGATGTCAGACTGAGAGAGAGACAGATCAGGGGTCGGATTCACTTAAAGAAAGAAAACCTTAAATTTATTTTTTACTAACTTTATTCTTAAGAAAAAAGAACTTTAAGATTTTTTTTTACTCCTTTCTTGAGAATAATTCTCAGAACAAGTGTTATTTTTTTAAAACATTATGTTCTTAAATGTTTTCTTAACCGAGCGATAGAGTCACCCTCGTCTCAGGCTGTGAGAGCTGATGAGGTGAGGATCTAAATTTATCGCAGACGCTGCTCCTCATCCTCGTCTCTCACTTTCCGCCGTCACCCCCAAATTACAGTTTTTTCTAAGGAGCATTTTTTCCCCTGTTGGCTGTTTCTTCCTCCATCAGCTCTAGATTTTTTTGTGTTTTTTAAAGGCTTGGTTTGATACTTTTCACCCGTTTTGCTCCTCTGAGCAGATTAAACACAACAACAGACATCACGATTAATGCAAATTCAAAATGCGTCTCCTGTTGTTTCCGGGAAGCTGTGAAATGCAGCACAGCTCACATGAGAAAATAATGGAGAACCTTTGAAAAGTTTTTTGTTCTTTAGTGCAATTCTCAGAAATTCTTATGAGCTTCTTATGGTTGGTCTTGAGAAACTTGGCAAGTTTTAAGTGTCTTAAGGAAGATAATCTTAAATGTGTTCTGTCCTAAAAAAAAGTTACGAAAAATTGTTTTTCAAAAAACTTCGTAAGAATTCTTATTTTGAGTAATTCTAAGATCAAGTGCTGTTCTTCAAAACTGTGTTCTTAAATGTTTTCTTTCCCTTACGTTAGACTCACTCGTCTCAGACTGTCAGAGCTGATCTAAATCGTTTATCGGACTCAGCGCTGCCTCTGCTGCTCCTCATCCTCACCTCTCGTCCGTCACCCCACAGTTATCATATTTCCTGGGGAGGATTTTTGTCCCACCGTCAGCTCCAGATCTTGTTTGCTAAAATTTTTAAATGCTTAATTTGGTGTGCTTCCCCGTTCTGCTCCTCTGAGCGGATTAAACTCTCCTGCCATTTATGATCATCTGTAAAGTGCAGCACAGCCGACTGAAGAAAACAATGGAGATTATTTTAAGATTATCTTCTTAATGTTTTTTTTTTTTTTTCAAGAATTGCATTCAAGAACATTCTTATGAACTTCTTAGAGTTTGTCTCAAGAACCTTTCCAAGTGTTTTCTTAAAGCTCTGGTGAATCCGGCCCCTGAACTTTTTGGCTTTTAACGGTTAGCAGCTGGTTTTTAGAGTCACTGGTTATTATTACTGGTTATTATGACAAAAACATAGCAGAGCAGCGCTCTCTCTTTCTTTCTCTCTCTCTCTCTCTCTCTCTCTCTCTCTCTCTCTCTCTCTCTCTCTCTGTGATGCAGGTTAATTTGCAGTGGGAGGTTTGTCTGCTGTGACTTTTTTTGTTTTTTTTTTCTTTTTTTTTTGCGGTTTACAGTTTTTTCATCCACAGTGGTTTCATTTCAAATTCCTTTGTCTGGTTTTATATAAAATGCAACAATTTATAACGAATAAAATGTGTGGAATTGGGCAGTGGACCACGCAAAGCATCGACTCCCTTCATTCATTTATTTATGTATGAATGTTTTCAGGGGAAATTTTGCGCTTTGGTGACCTCTAGTGGACAAACTCACTGCTCATCCCACAGACGGAAGAAATACTAGAGCAGCGGCTCTACAAAGTCTTTGCGCGCGCCTCAGCCGCTCGCTTTTAACAGACCCGCTGTTGGCCGTGCTGCGTGGAGGTACAGCTGGAACAGTTAAAGAGGACCTATTATGCTCATTATTAGTGTTCAGAATTTTATTTTTGGGGTTTGATTAGATTTTCATGCTTCAGTAGCCACGTTTACACACAGACTGATAATCGATTACTAATCCGACTAATAGCCCAATCGGAATAGAATACGTCCATGTAAACACCTCAGTCGGAATAATCTAGTCCGATTGAGGCCATTCGGAATACAGTTTCTATCTGATCGAGGTGGGTAATCCAGTAAATAATCAGTTAAATAGAAGAATAATATCCGTTATATCTGATTACATTCCCTATCGGAAAGTCTAAGTCCGTTCTGATCATGTTCGTCGCGTCATAGTGAGAGTTTATACCGTTCAACACGGCGGAGCAGAAACTGGTCTGCAGAGGAGACGAAGTTTATGCTCTGATCTTTAAAAGACGTCTCAGAACACGACGTCTTCCTCTCGGCCTTACTACAGAGTCAGCATTATCCACCTCAAAGAGCTCCTTCAGGGAAAGTTATTACAGGAAATGGTTATGAATTCACTGCCTGGTGCTTGAGATGTTTTAATCCACTCATGGTGGAGGGATACATGCAGGGCGCTGTGAGGCAAAATAGTCCCCAAAGAAAACTTATTATTTCAGATTTTCCACTATTTTCCATCATCAACATTCCATATAAACTCAGAAGACTCGTGTAGGTTCACTGGTGGTTTCTGGATAGTAAATAAAATGTCTATATTTGTGTTGTAGTCATGGCGACCCCTGGTTCCTATCACCACCACTGTAAAGACATCTGAACCATTTCACACCAAACCACTCTGAATCTCTCTGTTTACATCTCACACACTGAGTTATGGGGGATTTTTGAGGCCCTAGTGGAAAAATGAGTGGAATCCCTCTGTAATATCAGGTATAAACAGGGCCAAACGCTGTTTTGCTGCTCTAAACGCCTGGAAGCTGTGATATTCTGGTGTTTCGAGCTCTAAATATAAGCATTATGAGTGCTGAGTGGTGGTGGGGAGGTGGGCGTGGCTAAGAGGAACGCTCTGGCTCTGATAGGCCCGTGGTTGTCCAGGTTACCAGAAATCGGCGTGTCTATGAGGGACGGCGTTCTCTGATTGCCCAGCGTCTTTTTAGGTACCAGCGGTTGCCGTGTCTGAGGAACAGCACTTTCTGATTGGCTCACGGTTGCCCCAGTTACCAGGGACGGGCTCTTTCTGATTGGACCACTGGTCCAGGTTAAGACAGTGGAGAGAGGGGCTGGAGGGCGTGTCCACGAGGACCAGCGCTGTCTGATTGGTCCGCTGTGCCCGGTTGCCAGGGTTAGGCACTCTCTGACACTGTGCCCGAGGCCGAATCCCAAATGGCTCCCTGCTCCCTACATAGTGCACTTCGCGAGCTGGGAAATGTTGGATTCTACACCGAAATAGCGCGCGCGATGTCCACTGCGGACGTGACTGAATCCGAAATAGCCACGGTTTAGGCTCAGAAGCCGTTCTTTTAAGACCTACGTAGTGCACTAGGTAGGCAGTAGGGAGGCATTGGGGATCCAGCCCAGGTTACGCGTCCGTGAGCGGCAGCGCTCGCTGGTTGGCCCGAGGCGCAGCGTTAGTCTCCGTTCGATTGGCCATTTCCAAAAGTGGGCGGGTTCACAGGGAAGCTTGCGCTCTCCGATTGGCTCACGGTTCTCCTGGTTACCAGCTCCGTCTGTCCACAACAGAAGTCGCGTGTTGAGCGCCGCTCGAAGCTGGGCGAGAAAGCGCGAAGAGATGTAATGGACTGTGAGTGAAACCCGCTCCGCACTCGCTTCACCGCGCACATTAAGGCTGAGGTTAACTTTTACATGTTAATTAATCTAAATTTACATAGGCAGTTATTTTGCGTGAGCGTGCTGCGTTGCTAAGCTAGCCAACAGGCCAACAGGCATCAAGCCAGAAAGCGGGAGGTGGTTTCTTTTTCCAATGTTCCCGTTCCACCTTAAATGAATGCAACTGCTGCACCACTTAAGGTGGACCGGCCAAATTCGTAATCAGTGTAAGGGACAGTGTATCAGACAGTAAGGGACTGGATACTACGCAGGAAGAGCTGCATGTGCGACACATATTTTATAGTTAAATCCTCTGAGAAAGCGTTTAATTTAGCTTAGCCAGGCCCAGCCTCCAGCCGCGGTGTGGATTGTTTGGGTGCGCGGGGATTAGCCAGCGTCTCCCCGGGAACCTCCGCCAACATCCACCGCTAACAGCTGCACCACCGCTGCTCCATTTCCCTTTAAGACGTGTCGTAGTTTTAATACACGCTGTTTTACGCTGATATAATATGAAATGTGTTGTGTAATGAAGCTCTGTGAGGCTGTACTGGGTGCTAATGTTTCATTTTCGCGGTGTTTTGTTCTCCTCCTCGACCCCCCGGAGCACAGCGGCTTCACAGCGGCGCTCCGAGAGACCCTCCGCGGGCAGAGAGGTAAGAGCAGCTCCGCGGTGAAAACGCAGCGTCTTCACTGCTTTGTTTTGTGTTTAAAGCAGCCCAAACAGACCGTGTAAAGCCAGTATGGATGTCATACGCTCCTCCATTCCGTACCTGTCTTTATACACCGTTTATTTTATTCGTAATTAATCAAAACAAACCGTGATATTTTGTCGAAAGTGCAGATGTTAAAGTTTTAACCGTAACCCCGTTTGTATTGTAAGTGTAAAATGAGATTTTATCGCGAATTTGATGAAGTGTGATTGTTTTAAGTGCAGTATTGTTTCATGGAAAGGAAGAAAAGCATTATTTGCTTTTTTTAACCATTTATTGAGATGAGATAACTGTAAGTTGTAGACTCGAATCTGTCGATTCAGAATGTGAGTAGAACGAAAATGTAATTAATTACGTGACGTAATTATGTAGTTATTATATTTATAGTTTACCAAAAAAATCTTATTTTAATAGCGGAGGTAGATGCCATGTTTTATGACATTTTTGTCACTGAAACAAATGGAAATTGTCGTAAGTTCATGCTCGAATCTGTCGATGCAGAATGCAAATCTAATGTAAATATAGGTAAATATGCAGCTGCTATTTATTATACAGCCATAGACCTGCATTAAAGAAGTGTCGTTACTGAGTGAGGAGAATAAAAACAGGCTAAAACATCATTTAAAAGTCAGAGGTGTCAATTCGGGAGATTTTCACACCACGTCGTACATCTTTACGTATTAACGTCTCACACAGACTCTAAAAGAAGGTCCTGCTCAATGTTCAGGTCTCAAATGATCTCAAAGTCCACATCATACTGATGAAGATGTGATGATGATAGTAGATAATTCACTCACTTCCTCAGAGACGCTCCTTCACCAAGTTTAGACTGAGTTCTCTTTGAATTCATCCGCATCTTCCACACATTGTGTGCAGTTACACTTTTCCACCAGAGAGGTCTCCAAATCCCCAAAACCTACAAAGTGCAGCTTTATGATGACCATCTTATATAAATCAAATGTTGTGCAAAATAAAATAATACCAGTGTTCTGAGATCAGGGGTTCCCAAACTCATTGTCTTTGCCAAAGTGCAGTCTTTTGTTGACTGAGGGCCAAAATAACATCCAAACAAGGATGTAATTAGGTTTCAGAATGAGATTAAGTAATTTAAACATGTATATTAGAACAGGGTTTCTCGACCTGTGGGCCACGGACCACCAGTGGGCGATGAAGCACTCTCTAGTGGTCCGCGGGCCTGACCTCAGGTGGAGGCAGTAGTTTGTATTGAGCCGGGAGAGGCATATAAACAAAAATACCACAGTTGCAGACTAATTAGACGTCATCAATTTGAGACAATGCCGCCGCAGTTCCAAATCACTGCCCACATCTACATCTACCTTTTTTTATGTTGTTTTTTAACATTACTGCAAATTTTGGTTTCTGCGATTTGAGGTGAAATGGATGATCTGATCTTTTTCGGGCTGTAATTCACAGGTTTTTTGGAGAAAATAGACTAATATTTCAATGAAATGCCACTTTTAAGTTTTAACAGGGCTGTAAAGTGTTGTGGTTTTGTTAGTATTTGTGAGTGTGTATATTAAACTGTACCACTCCGAAATACATGAGCATGTTGTCAAGGACATGTTACTAAGGACATTATCAATAAACAGGTGTGGCGCAGTTAGCTATATCGCTAAATACTGTAGCTGATGTTAGCCAGATCCGGAAACAGTTTAGTTCTCTGACAGACTCACGCGTCACGTCGTCCACTGAAGAGGAACGACCTTGTGTAGAAAATGACGAGTTCTCATCAGCATCCAGTGTGGATCCAGTTAGCTGTGGTTTCAGATCACTAGCAAAAACCTGAGGTCCAAAATCTCCTCCAGGACTCCTCCTACAGTAGAGCCTCTCAGTCCATCCAGCATCTCTCAGCAGAGGAGCTGAAGTTTGTGCAGCTCTTTTCTCCTCTTTTTGGATCCGTTTGGTCTAAAATAAAACACTAAAGCTCCACAGTGAGAGAAGAGATCAGCAGTGAAGCAGAACCGGAGCTGAATCGATACAGCAGAACCACATTAAACCCAGAAAAGGGATTTAGGACCCAAATCCATCACCGCGCTACTTTGCTATTGTGTATTCAGCGTTTTCTCTTTCTCTCCTTTCTCTTATTCTTGCTTAGTGCCTTCTTTCTTTTTTCTTCTGTTTCTCCTCTCTTTCCAGCGCTCCTGTTCTCTCTGTGTCTCCAGAGGCTCTGGCTAACCGAGTAGCCGCTAATCTGTAAGACTTGCTTCTATTATTTTGTAGTTATTTCATTCCTTTTCTCTCTCAGTCTTTTTCCCTTGCTTTCTTTTCAGTGCTTCTCAGTCTCTCTATAGTTTCCCGTGTTAAATCAGTATTGTAGGTTCTTCAGCACGGCCTGCATCTCGCAGACCAGACCTCTGCCTGTCGTCAGAGAGTCTTTTGCATTTCATCACCTAAAATTGCCAAGAACTGCCTGCTTTAACAGGAAAGGGCCGTTTGACTGGCCAGTCATGGGTCATTGTTTCAGTGTGAGGTGGAGGTGCAAGAAAGCAAACCGGCAGAAAACAGATTAGTGTGTCAGAAAAATGTAAGGATCTCTCGCCTAAAAGCCCCAAAGTTCCATCATTCTCCACTGAGATCCGTTATTTTCACCAAACTCCATAGTTCTCCACCAAACACCATCATTACCCATCAAACACCGACAGTTTCCACCTAACATTAAACACCATCAATCAACACCAACACACCATCATTACCCATCAAACACCAACAGTTTCCACCTAACACTAAACACCATCATTCAACACCAAACACCATCATTACCCATCAAACACCCACAGTTTCCACCTTCCACCAAACACCATCATTACCCATCAAACACCCACAGTTTCCACCTTCCACCAAACACCATCATTACCCATCAAACACCCACAGTTTACTCACTGTCCCTCAGAAACAAACAGCGCCATTTTGGAGGAAAACTAACATCCACGTAATTCTGTGCCTCATTGCAGTGTTGCTGTAAAACTGTGACAGTTCAGCACTTCATTATGTGCTTTAAAGCAGTTCTGTAGGACTGTGAGGCTGTTGGTTTTTACGCTATGTGATTATTCTTTATTTCTATAAAGCTGGTCTTTAGTACTATGAGATGGTTCTTTACTACTATAAGACTGTTGTTTAGCACAAAGACTGTTGTTTAGCACTATAAGACTGTTGTTTATAAGACTGTTCTTTAGCTCTATAAGACTGTTGTTTATAAGACTTGTGTTTAGCTCTGTAAGACTGTTCTTTAGCTCTGTGAGACTGTTGTTTATAAGACTTGTGTTTAGCTCTGTAAGACTGTTCTTTAGCTCTATAAGACTGTTCTTTAGCACTGTAAGACTGTTCTTTAGCACTGTAAGACTGTTCTTTAGCACTGTAAGACTGTTGTTTATAAGACTGTTCTTTAGCTCTGTAAGACTGTTCTTTAGCTCTGTAAGACTGTTCTTTAGCTCTATAAGACTGTTGTTTATAAGACTTGTGTTTAGCTCTGTAAGACTGTTCTTTAGCTCTGTAAGACTGTTCTTTAGCTCTGTAAGACTGTTGTTTATAAGACTGTTCTTTAGCTCTATAAGACTGTTCTTTAGCTCTATAAGACTGTTGTTTATAAGACTTGTGTTTAGCTCTGTAAGACTGTTCTTTAGCTCTATAAGACTGTTCTTTAGCACTGTAAGACTGTTCTTTAGCACTGTAAGACTGTTCTTTAGCACTGTGAGACTGTTGTTTATAAGACTGTTCTTTAGCTCTGTAAGACTGTTCTTTAGCTCTATAAGACTGTTGTTTATAAGACTGTGTTTAGCTCTGTAAGACTGTTCTTTAGCTCTGTAAGACTGTTGTTTATAAGACTGTTCTTTAGCTCTGTAAGACTGTTCTTTAGCTCTGTAAGACTGTTGTTTATAAGACTGTTCTTTAGCTCTATAAGACTGTTCTTTAGCTCTATAAGACTGTTGTTTATAAGACTTGTGTTTAGCTCTGTAAGACTGTTCTTTAGCACTGTAAGACTGTTCTTTAGCACTGTAAGACTGTTCTTTAGCACTGTAAGACTGTTCTTTAGCTCTGTGAGACTGTTGTTTATAAGACTGTTCTTTAGCTCTGTAAGACTGTTCTTTAGCTCTATAAGACTGTTCTTTAGCTCTATAAGACTGTTCTTTAGCTCTATAAGACTGTTCTTTAGCACTGTAAGACTGTTGTTTAGCTCTATAAGACTGTCTTTAGCACTGTAAGACTGTTCTTTAGCACTGTGAGACTGTTGTTTATAAGACTGTTCTTTAGCTCTGTAAGACTGTGCTTTAGCTCTGTAAGACTGTTCTTTAGCTCTATAAGACTGTTCTTTAGCTCTGTAAGACTGTTGTTTATAAGGCTGTGTTTAGCTCTCTAAGACTGTTGTTTAGCTCTCTAAGACTTGTTTAGCTCTGTAAGACTGTTCTTTAGCTCTGTAAGACTGTTGTTTAGCTCTCTAAGACTTGTTTAGCTCTGTAAGACTGTTGTTTAGCTCTGTAAGACTGTTGTTTAGCTCTGTAAGACTGTTGTTTAGCTCTGTAAGACTGTTGTTTATAAGACTGTTCTTTAGCTCTGTAAGACTGTTCTTTAGCTCTGTAAGACTGTTGTTTATAAGGCTTGTGTTTAGCTCTATAAGACTGTTCTTTAGCTCTGTAAGACTGTTCTTTAGCTCTGTGAGACTGTTGTTTATAAGACTTGTGTTTAGCTCTGTAAGACTGTTCTTTAGCTCTATAAGACTGTTCTTTAGCACTGTAAGACTGTTCTTTAGCACTGTAAGACTGTTGTTTAGCTCTGTGAGACTGTTGTTTATAAGACTGTTCTTTAGCTCTGTGAGACTGTTCTTTAGCTCTGTAAGACTGTTCTTTAGCTCTGTAAGACTGTTCTTTAGCTCTATAAGACTGTTCTTTAGCTCTATAAGACTGTTCTTTAGCTCTGTGAGACTGTTGTTTATAAGACTGTTCTTTAGCTCTGTAAGACTGTTCTTTAGCTCTATAAGACTGTTCTTTAGCTCTATAAGACTGTTCTTTAGCTCTATAAGACTGTTCTTTAGCTCTGTAAGACTGTTGTTTATAAGGCTTGTGTTTAGCTCTATAAGACTGTTCTTTAGCTCTGTAAGACTGTTGTTTATAAGGCTTGTGTTTAGCTCTGTAAGACTGTTCTTTAGCTCTATAAGACTGTTCTTTAGCTCTGTAAGACTGTTGTTTAGCTCTGTAAGACTGTTGTTTATAAGACTGTTCTTTAGCTCTGTAAGACTGTTGTTTATAAGACTGTTCTTTAGCTCTGTAAGACTGTTCTTTAGCTCTGTAAGACTGTTGTTTATAAGACTGTTCTTTAGCTCTATAAGACTGTTCTTTAGCTCTATAAGACTGTTGTTTATAAGACTTGTGTTTAGCTCTGTAAGACTGTTCTTTAGCTCTATAAGACTGTTCTTTAGCACTGTAAGACTGTTCTTTAGCACTGTAAGACTGTTCTTTAGCACTGTAAGACTGTTCTTTAGCACTGTGAGACTGTTGTTTATAAGACTGTTCTTTAGCTCTGTAAGACTGTTCTTTAGCTCTATAAGACTGTTGTTTATAAGACTTGTGTTTAGCTCTGTAAGACTGTTCTTTAGCTCTGTAAGACTGTTGTTTATAAGACTGTTCTTTAGCTCTGTAAGACTGTTCTTTAGCTCTGTAAGACTGTTGTTTATAAGACTGTTCTTTAGCTCTATAAGACTGTTCTTTAGCTCTATAAGACTGTTGTTTATAAGACTTGTGTTTAGCTCTGTAAGACTGTTCTTTAGCTCTATAAGACTGTTCTTTAGCACTGTAAGACTGTTCTTTAGCACTGTAAGACTGTTCTTTAGCACTGTAAGACTGTTCTTTAGCTCTGTGAGACTGTTGTTTATAAGACTGTTCTTTAGCTCTGTAAGACTGTTCTTTAGCTCTATAAGACTGTTCTTTAGCTCTATAAGACTGTTCTTTAGCTCTATAAGACTGTTCTTTAGCACTGTAAGACTGTTCTTTAGCTCTATAAGACTGTTCTTTAGCACTGTAAGACTGTTCTTTAGCACTGTGAGACTGTTGTTTATAAGACTGTTCTTTAGCTCTGTAAGACTGTGCTTTAGCTCTGTAAGACTGTTCTTTAGCTCTATAAGACTGTTCTTTAGCTCTGTAAGACTGTTGTTTATAAGGCTTGTGTTTAGCTCTCTAAGACTGTTCTTTAGCTCTCTAAGACTGTTGTTTAGCTCTGTAAGACTGTTCTTTAGCTCTCTAAGACTGTTGTTTAGCTCTCTAAGACTGTTCTTTAGCTCTGTAAGACTGTTCTTTAGCTCTGTAAGACTGTTCTTTAGCTCTGTAAGACTGTTGTTTAGCTCTGTAAGACTGTTGTTTATAAGACTGTTCTTTAGCTCTGTAAGACTGTTCTTTAGCTCTGTAAGACTGTTGTTTATAAGGCTTGTGTTTAGCTCTATAAGACTGTTCTTTAGCTCTGTAAGACTGTTCTTTAGCTCTGTGAGACTGTTGTTTATAAGACTTGTGTTTAGCTCTGTAAGACTGTTCTTTAGCTCTATAAGACTGTTCTTTAGCACTGTAAGACTGTTCTTTAGCACTGTAAGACTGTTGTTTAGCTCTGTGAGACTGTTGTTTATAAGACTGTTCTTTAGCTCTGTGAGACTGTTCTTTAGCTCTGTAAGACTGTTCTTTAGCTCTGTAAGACTGTTCTTTAGCTCTGTAAGACTGTTCTTTAGCTCTATAAGACTGTTCTTTAGCTCTATAAGACTGTTCTTTAGCTCTGTGAGACTGTTGTTTATAAGACTGTTCTTTAGCTCTGTAAGACTGTTCTTTAGCTCTGTAAGACTGTTCTTTAGCTCTATAAGACTGTTCTTTAGCTCTATAAGACTGTTCTTTAGCTCTATAAGACTGTTCTTTAGCTCTGTAAGACTGTTGTTTATAAGGCTTGTGTTTAGCTCTATAAGACTGTTCTTTAGCTCTGTAAGACTGTTGTTTATAAGGCTTGTGTTTAGCTCTGTAAGACTGTTCTTTAGCTCTATAAGACTGTTCTTTAGCTCTGTAAGACTGTTGTTTAGCTCTGTAAGACTGTTGTTTATAAGACTGTTCTTTAGCTCTGTAAGACTGTTGTTTATAAGACTGTTCTTTAGCTCTGTAAGACTGTTCTTTAGCTCTGTAAGACTGTTCTTTAGCTCTCTAAGACTGTTGTTTATAAGGCTTGTGTTTAGCTCTGTGAGACTGTTGTTTAGCTCTCTAAGACTGTTGTTTAGCTCTGTAAGACTGTTGTTTAGCTCTGTAAGACTGTTGTTTAGCTCTGTAAGACTGTTGTTTAGCTCTCTAAGACTGTTGTTTAGCTCTGTAAGACTTGTGTTTAGCTCTGTAAGTCTGTTCTTTAGAGCTGTAAAACTCTAACGGAGTGTGTGTGTTTTGTGCAGGAGGCGAAGAGAAATGAGACAGGAAATCAACACTGGGCTGAAGAGCAGCTGGATGAATATTTAATCAGCCTGCAACACAAAAACAGGTTAAATCAATCACTCACACACAAACACACAGGTCAAATGACGCTGCAGCCGCACGCACAGAAGCAGGCTGACCTGGTTTTTAACCTCAGTGTGAAGAAGACTTACAATTACTGTTACAGGAGGACGCACACAGACACACACACACACACACACACACACACACACACACACACACACACACACACACACACTTCACACACTACCAGCTGACCTGCAGAGCCAGAAGAGAATCTTTATCATACACTGTGGCATACAGTCCACAAGACTTGTTTATGTGGAAATCGCAGTTGCAGTTTTCACAGGAGCTGCAATTTTAATTATAACCTTCATTATTTACTGTTTTTATTCAACATGGATTAAGTAGAGGCACACTATATTCAGCATTCATGCCTCAAATCTGAAAAAATGAATGTGTTTGTCCTTAAAAATAAAAAAGCTTTGAGCTTACTTTAAAGAAAACGGTCACATTTAAATCACAATTTCAATATTAGTCAGAAAAATCAGCCCTAGCACAACAGTGAGACAGGCTACATGTGGACGCGCAAATCTGATCTGTTCAAATCCGACCTGAATCGCTTTCATATGCGGTCCTAGATCGGATACGTATCCAATTCATGACCATGTAACCTTAATGTGACGCTCAGATCGGAATTCATGTGCTTTTTTTCCACTGCACAGCAAAAGAGGGCACCAAGCTTTTTTTGACCATTTTGTTGAACAAAGATGTTGCATACTTTATTGAATATTATATATTCTAAAATCGGTGCATTTGCTTCTCCACCATCAGACTGGTGTGTCACAAAGTACCAAAGCATTTTACATCCTTTCTTAATATAGTAACTACTCTCTCTCTCTCTCTCTCTCTCTGTCTCTCTCTCTCAGAGCGCTGAGGAAACTGCAGATTAAAGATCCGAAGCAGATCGAGTTGGAGCAGCTGGAACAGGGCTTCACCCTCTACATCAACGGCGCTAACGCTAACGTTGCTAAGGGCAGTCGACCCAGCAGGAGACCCGCTCAGAGATACCTAACCAGCCCCCCACCAGCGCACAGGAACACACACACCGCAGGTACACACACTCTCCCACAGACATGTAGCGTGTTACGACTAACGCAGCTTATTGTACTAAACTAATTATATCCATATTCTCAAAGTTTTCATAATGAAAACGGACTGAGCCACACTTTGTAGAGTTTTGTTACACTTTTGTTGTATCTGTTTTGCGTTCGTGTAGATGCTTCCAGAAGGAGTGGAGTAGAACATCCCGCACCGAGGAGTCACACAGCACCTGAGAGAGTCCAGCGCAGAGAATGGGTCCAGGTACGCACACAGACAGTTACCTTTATTAGATTTGATTATGTGGTTTCTGACACTGGATGATATAATGTTGTCTGTAAACCTGGACTAAAGTGTGTCGCACAGCTAAGAACAGTAGCTGTTCAATCCGTGAATGAGTGCCATTTGAATCCACTACATTCCACAGTGTGCCTTACAGAAATCTACTGATAAATGTTTTCAAGCTTAAATATACACATTACGACCACCTTCTTGTTTCTACGCTCATTGTCCATTTTATCAGCTCCACTTACTATATAGGTGCACTTTGTAGTTCTACAGTTACAGACTGTAGTCCATCTGTTTCTCTGCATACTTTGTTAGCCCCCTTTTACCCTGTTCTTCAGTGGTCAGGACCCCCATGGACCCTCACAGAGCAGGTACTATTTGGGTGGTGGATCATTCTCAGCACTGCAGTAACACTGATGTGCTGGTGGTGTGTTGTGCTGGTCTGAGTGGATCAGACACAGCAGTAAAGTGCACCTATATAATAAGTGGAGCTGATAAAATGGACAATGAGCGTAGAAACAAGAAGGTGGTCATAATGTTATGCCTGATCAGTGTATGTTCAGGTTATATCTCAAATATTACTAAATAAAGTTATTTTAACATCAGATTTTTGCCAGGGTCAGCCATCAAACTCGTTACATATTAGCCATGAAAAAAAGTGCTGTCACAATAATTAAAGTACATTTAAGTCTTCAAAGGGTCCGAATTTAAAAGAAGGTCAAAACTTGATGACATGCGACGTGGCAGACAGTTTAACCTGAGATATTCCACCCTGACTCATTCCCCTCCATCCCAAGCTCCATGTGATGGGACTATAGTTCTCATTGAAGTTATCCACAAAAAAGAATCAGATTTTGGGTGACAGCAATGTGTAATATGTAAAATGTAATATGTGATGGATTGTGAAAAGCTAATTCGTTAGCATGAAAAAAATTCTACTAATCATGTCCAGTTGGCAGCGATCTCAGTTTGACTCAGTTGCCATCTTGGAGCCTTTTGTGCTCATGCTATGTTTGTACATCTCCATTAGTGAGTGCAAACATCCTGGCACTGTCAGACAAAGGTGTGATGATTTAGGCATGCAGTGACCACCATGCTAATTGGTGGGGTATAAGCTTCCATTACATGGTGGGACCTTGTGGCCTAAATTCTCTTTACTGTCTTATCTGCAGAAGTCGATACGTATCCGCACCGAGACAGGAGACCGGGTCAGAGTGTGCCCAGAAGATAGGTACTCGGACGACTTTGAGACGTACGAGAGCGTAAACATGGAGGTGCGGTGTGGGACAGAAAGAGAAAGCATGATCAAGTTTTAAGAATTGTTCATTTAAAAAATATTAGCCCATCCACGGTTCATTTTCCTCTCTTCCCCTTCTCTCTCACTCTTTATCTCCCTCTTTTTCAGGCTGGCCGAGGGGACTGTAAAGTATCCAGAGTTTTGGGGTCTCACTCAGACTCTGAACCTGCAGACAGGGTTCTGCTCAACCTCGGTCAAGTGAAAGTAAGTGACACCACCACTGGCTGAATCACCACTACAACCACAGACCCAAACACCATTACAAACACAGACCCAAACACCACCACCACAGACCCAGACACGATGACCACAGACCCAAAGACCATCTCTAACATCACCACAGGCCAAAACACCATAACGAACACCATAACTGAACCAAACACCATCACTACTGTTACCACAGACCCAAACACCATCACTATCTCAGACCCAAACATCAAAACCACTCATCCAAATGATGTTGTCAACACAACCACAGACCTAAACACCATCACCAACACCGCTATAGGCCTAAATGCCATTACCACCATAAACCAAAACACCATAACCACCACTAACTCAGACACCATTACAAAAACCACCAGAGGTCCAAATACCATCACCACCACTACCACAAACACCTTTACCTCCATAAACCAAAATCATAACTACTACTGACTCAGGCACCAGTACCAACACCACCAGCAACCCAAACATCATCATCATCATCATTATTATCATCATCATCATCAACACAACAACAGACCCAAACACCATCACCAACACCACTGGAGATGTGAACGCAATCATCTTCACTACCACAAACCCAAATGCCATCAGGACCGGCACAACAGGGCCAAACACCACCATCTTCACCATCACAGACCCAAGCACAACCGAACACCATCACCAGTACCATCATGAACCCAAACACCATCATCCGTACTGCCAGAATATCACCATCGTGAGCACTTCCAGAGACTCAAACACCTCACCACCATAGACCCAAACAATATAAACACCACAGACCCAAACACAATCATCAGTATCAGCACAGACCCAAATGCCATCACAAGCAGCACCACTATCACTACCACAGACCCAAACACCATCGGCATCACCAACACCACCACAGACCCAATACCATCACTAATAGTACTGCAGATCCAAATGCAATCACCAACACCACCACAGGCCCAAATACCTGTACTGCAGATCCAAATGCCATCACCAACACCACAACAGACCTAAACGCCATCACCAACACCACCACAGACCCAAATACCGTCACTAGCACTACTGCAGATCCAAATGCCATCACCAACACCACAACAGACCCAAATACCTGTACTGCAGATCCAAATGCCATCACCAACACCACAACAGACCCAAATACCATCACTAGCACTACTGCAGATCAAAATGCCATCGCCAACACCACCACAGACCCAAATACCATCGCCAACACCACCACAGACCTAAATACCATCACCAACACCACAACAGACCCAAATATCATCACTAGCACTACTGCAGATCAAAATGCCATCGCCAACACCACCACAGACCCAAATACCATCACTAGCACTACTGCAGATCAAAATACCATCGCCAACACCACCACAGACCCAAATACCATCGCCAACACCACCACAGACCCAAAGGCCCTCACTAACACCACCACAGACCCAAATACCATCGCCAACACCACCACAGACCCAAAGGCCCTCACCAACACCACCACAGACCCAAATACCATCGCCAACACCACCACAGACCCAAAGGCCCTCACTAACACCACCACAGACCCAAATACCATCGCCAACACCACCACAGACCCAAATGCCATCGCTAACACCACCAAAGGCCCCAGCACTGTCACCATCATCACTACAGACCCAAATGCTGTCACCATTACCACCACAGCCCATAACACTGTCACCAACACTCATTGAGCAGTACAGACATGTAGTGTCAGTATGTTTCTCAGTAATGGCAGTGTATGTGGGCTTGTGAAAGGTACTGCGGCGCAGCCTGGAGGCGAGTGTGCGGCGGAGCAGCCATGACTCTGCAGGGGAGGAGTCAGAGGAGGAGTGGGTGGAGGAGCAGCTGGAAAGAGAGGAGAGTAACGAGAGTCTGACTGACATGACCCTGCCCTCCTCCCCCAAACCCACACAGCCAATCAGCAGCCATCCCAGCCCTGATGACCTCATCGTGCTGGACTTTGGCCCCTCCCATAAAGGTGGGGCTTCACTTAATTAGTTACTTCAAATCTAGGTTTACAGGTCTATGAAGAAATACTGCATGAGCCAGCTGTTCTTACAGGAACAGTCTGGCACAAAATGTAGCGTACAGAGTTTCCTCCCTTACGCCAGAAGTAGTTCGTCTAGTGTTCAGTGCCTGAAGTTTCTCTCTTTGGTTGAGGCTAATGTAGCTAACAAGTAATGGAGGTTTATACTCTACTAATTAGTATGGTGCTAATTGGATCCCTAAATCACATACTCGCCTCAAACCATGTGGAGTTGTTCACTAATTGCTAAAAGACTTTGGTTTCTGAGAGTGTACGATATACTGTTATACACCGATCAGGCATAACATTGTCCATTTTATCAGCTCCACTTACTATATAGGTGCACTTTGTAGTTCTACAGTTACAGACTGTAGTCCATCTGTTTCTCTGATACTTTGTTAGCCCCCTTTTACCCTGTTCTTCAGTGGTCAGGACCCCCATGGACCCTCACAGAGCAGGTACTATTTGGGTGGTGGATCATTCTCAGCACTGCAGTAACACTGATGTGCTGGTGGTGGTGTGTTAGTGTGTGTTGTGCTGGTTCGAGTGGATCAGACACAGCAGTGCTGCTGGAGTTTTTAAACACTGTGTCCACTCACTGTCCACTCTATTAGACACTCCTACCTTGTCAGTCCACCTTGTAGATGTAAAGTCAGAGACGATAGCTCATCTGCTGCTGCACAGTTTGTGTTGGTCATCCTCTAGTCCTTCATCAGTGGTCACAGGACGCTGCCCACAGGACGCTGTTGGCTGGATATTTTTGGTTGGTGGACTGTTCTCAGTCCAGGAGTGACACTGAGGTGTTTAAAAACTCCAGCAGCACTGCTGTGTCTGATCCACTCAGACCAGCACAACACACACTAACACACCACCACCACGTCAGTGTTACTGCAGTGCTGAGAATGATCCACCACCCAAATAGTACCTGCTCTGTGAGGGTCCATGGGGGTCCTGACCACTGAAGAACAGGGTAAAAGGGGGCTAACAAAGTATCAGAGAAACAGATGGACTACAGTCTGTAACTGTAGAACTACAAAGTGCACCTGTATAGTAAGTGGAACTGATAAAATGGACAATGAGCGCAGAAACAAGGAGGCGGTCATAATGTTTGCCTGATTGGTGTGTATAAAAGATATGAAAGTATGTTACATAGCTAAAACAGTGTTGGAGGCCGTATTGAAGCCTGAATTTTGGCAGGGTAATCAGTCTCCAAAGTAGTGAATTTGTTTTCTCTAGGGCGTAAGATTGAGCGCTCCCTCTCGGCTAAGCGGAAGGACAGTGTGGAATCGTATGTTCCCACCAAGCCTGTTCTAGTGAAGAAAACAACAGACAGATCCAACAGAACCAGACAGGACACATCACGTGAGTAAACACATACATACACTGTGTTGCACAAGGAGAGATACACTGTATGGCCAAAGTATGAGAACACCTGACCATAACACCTATATGAGCTTGATGGACGTCCCATTCCAAAACCATGGGCATTAGTATGAGGTTGACCCCCTTTGCGGCTATAACAGCTTCCACTCTTCTGGGAAGCTTTCTACAAGATTTTGGAGAGTGTCTGTGGGAATTTGTGCCCATTCAGTCAAGGCTCACGGCTCTGTGAGGGCACTGGAGTTCCTCCACACCAAACTGGTCACTCCATGTCTTTATGGAGCTGCTTTGTGCACAGGGGCTCAGTCATGCTGGAACAGGAAAGGCTCTTCCCCAAACTGCTGACACAAAGCTGGAAGAGTTTAACTGTGTAACTGTGTATATCACCCTTCACTGGAACTGAGGGGCCCAAACCCTGAAAAACAGCCCAGCCCATCATCCCTCCTCCACCAAACTCTACTGTTGGCTCTGCATTCCGGTGGGTAACGTTCTCCTGACATCCACCAAACCCAGATTCATCATCAGACTGACAGATAGAGAAGCTGATTCATCACTCCAGAGAACACGTTTCCACTGCTCCAGAGTCCAGTGGCGGGGCTTTACACCAGAGATTCTCAGCCTGTGGGCCAGGGACCACCAGTAGGCCGTGAAGCACCTTCGGGTGGTCCATGGGCTTGTATTCAGGGGGAGACAGTCGTTTGTAGTGGACCGGTAAAGATGTATAAATTATAAATTGTGAGCAATTAAAAAAAAAACAATTAAAAAAAAAAGAGTTGATTTTAGTTTTTCTGTGGGCCGCTATGCTTTAATGTTGCAAACAGGTGGGCCTTGGGGTGGAAAAGGTTGAGAACTCCTGCTTTACACCACTCCAGCCGACGCTTGCCATTGCGTATAGTGATCGTAGGTTTGTGTGCAGCTCCTCCACCTTGGAAACCCCTGCTGATACAAAAATACACATCATGTACATTTTAAAAAGTATTTTTAATTGATACATTTATTGAAGTTTAGAATTTGCGTTTTCCGCATGATGTCTTTGCTTGTTTCATTTAGCTACGAGTGAGACAGAATATTTCTCTCTGTCTCTCTCTCTCTCTGCGTCTCTGTATGTCTCTCTCTCTCTCTTTCTCTCTTAGGGCCATGTAGTCGTGTAGAGCGCCCCCTGTCAGCGGTGCGTAGAGTTCAGGATGAGAGGGATTCAGAAGAGACTGCAGTCCGAGTGCTGGAGGCTCTACAGAGAGAAAACTCCCCCACACACTCACGGCTCTCAGACAGAACATCACTCACGCGCACGCCTGATCACAGAGAGACCAGAGTGTTCAGCCTCAGTCCGGTACAGAACCGCTAGAACGTTCATGATGCTTAAAAATTCATTTGTACATGTTTACGTGCTCATTTATGTATTACTTGTTGGCAGTTTGTGTTCACCTTCCCCAATTTCATTTCTTTTTAATGTTCTAAAACTTTAACCCAACCTTTTGGCAGAACCGATGCTTTTTTGCATTATTTATAACGTGAACAAAGCACCCTTAATTGAGTTGAATTAAGGTGAGCAAAACTGAGTTTAATTGAAGCAAACTGAATTAAATTGATATGAATTGAGTTAATTTGAATTGGCACAAAATTGAATTGGAGTATAATTGAGTTGAATTGGAACAACATTGAATTGAGTGTAACTGAGCTGAATTGAGTTGAATTGTGTGAATTGAGTTGAATTCAGTGTAACTCAGTTAGTTGAATTGAACTAATTTGAGCTAAATTGAGTTGTATTGAATTGAATATTTTCTCGTAGAAGAGAACACATCAGCAGATGAACGGCTCCATTCATGATGAGGATGATGAGGACGAAGAGGAAGATGAGGGTCGAGTGACTAAAGCCATGCAGAGGATAACTCTGATGGGGCCCAGGTAACAATACACCACAAACTACCCACAGTGCTCTCTGATCAGTGTGATTGCTGAGTCAGAATTTGGGTTATTGTACTCTCATTCTCTCTCTCTCTCTCTCTCTCTCTCACTCTCTCTCTCTCTCTCTCTCTCTCTCACTCTCTCTCTCTCTCTCTGTATCTCTGTATCTCTATCTCTCTCTGTATCTCTCTTTTTTCTCTCTCTCTCTCTCTGTATCTCTGTATCTCTCTCTGTATCTCTCTCTTTTCTCTCTCTCTGTATCTCTACCTCTTTTTTCTCTCTCTCTGTATCTCTCCTCTTTTTTCTCTCTCTCTGTATCTCTCTCTGTCACTCTCTCTCTGTATCTCTTTTCTCTCTCTCTGTATCTCTCTCTGTCACTCTCTCTCTGTATCTCTTTTCTCTCTCTGTATCTCTCTCTGTCACTCTCTCTCTCTGTATCTCTCTCTCTTTTTCTCTCTCTCTCTCTCTCTCTCTGTATCTCTCTCTTTTCTCTCTGTCTCTCTCTCTCTCTCTCTCTCTCTCTCTCTCTGTCTCTCTCTCTCTCTCTCTCTCTCTCTGTATCTCTCTCTTTTCTCTCTGTGTCTCTCTCTCTCTCTCTCTCTCTCTCTCTGTATCTCTCTCTTTTCTCTCTGTCTCTCTCTCTCTGTCTCTCTCTCTCTCTCTCTCTCTATCTCTCTCTCTCTGTATCTCTCTCTTTTCTCTCTGTGTGTCTCTCTCTCTCTCTCTCTCTCTCTCTCTCTCTATCTCTCTCTCTCTGTATCTCTCTCTTTTCTCTCTGTGTGTCTCTCTCTCTCTCTCTCTCTCTCTCTCTCTCTCTCTCTCTCTCTCTCTCTCTCAGTCAGCAGAAGCGTCTACTGAAGGCTCTGGAGAGAATTGAAGCTGAAGCTGAATCCGCCGTTTCTCACAGACGGATCAGCAGCCCTCCACAGACTGCGACTGTGAGTGTTGATGGGCTTTTACTTGCTTACATTAAGGAGATTTTCATATAATGATCTACACCATCTGGGGGATTATTTTAAATCCAGATTTAAAGTGATTTTACGCTTGTAATGAAAACTAAAAGAACTACCTAATATCGTACTGATTTAGTACAAAAACAAGATCATATCACAATGTCACACCTGGATTAGGGGTAGAATAAACATACATTAAAAATATGGTGATATATTTGTTTTTGCAGAATCAATGTATAGCTATTGTTATTGTGGGCACATTATTGCAGTAATATCACTTGGACTCCTGTGATGTTCATATGATCCACACAGTCACTCTGACAGACTGTAATACACTACAGGAAGTGTAGGGGGCGATATGGCTTCTACTGTTTCATTTAAAAAGCCTCTATAATGTTCATATGATCCACACAGTCACTCTGACAGACTGTAATACACTACAGGAAGTGCAGGGGGCGATATGACTTCTATTGTCAGATTAGTTTATTAATGGAATAATAGCCAATAGATGAATTGATCATAGAACTAATAGTTAATTGCAGTTGTAAGTGCCAGTTATCTTCTGCCTGCTGTTATTATTACTGTTGGTGGGATCATTAACAGGATGTTATTCATTTCTGTTGCAGTGGACGAGAAAACCGACCGTGACAGAGGTGACGTCCACTCTGTATGTTACCATGGAGATTTTGTCTAACTGGGGTAACCCTGGTCGTGTTGGACTGACGGAGGTTCAGTTTTTCTGTCGGAGGAACCGCAGGCTCTACGTCTCTCCTCACGACTTGGACATCCGAAACACCGACCAACCCGGCAACCTCGCAGCGCTCGTCAACGGAAAGACTAAAGTGAGCTCTGTTAATGGATGTAAACACATATGGAGACAAATATCTTAATAAAGACAAATGTTCTGATTTCTTATACTGGATATGAAGTCAGTTTACTCTTGGAAGCCCTGAAGCGCCTCTGTGTAAAAAACATTTGTTTAAATGTTTGTAATTAATTGCATAGCAACATTATAAAGTTACCTTTATATTCTGTATTGACAGGTTTGAGTCTGCACTTCTGACTTTTTTCTGTTAGTTTCGCTGTCTAAAATTTTATGTATATATAACATTCTGACCACCTCCTTGTTTCTACGCTCATTGTCCATTTTATCAGCTCCACTTACTATATAGGTGCACTTTGTAGTTCTACAGTTACAGACTGTAGTCCATCTGTTTCTCTGATACTTTGTTAGCCCCCTTTTACCCTGTTCTTCAGTGGTCAGGACCCCCATGGACCCTCACAGAGCAGGTACTATTTGGGTGGTGGATCATTCTCAGCACTGCAGTAACACTGACGTGGTGGTGGTGTGTTAGTGTGTGTTGCGCTGGTACGAGTGGATCTGAGCTTTTAAACACTGTGTCCACTCACTTTCCACTCTTTTAGACATTCCTACCTTATCGGTCCACCTTGTAGATGTAAAGTCAGAGACGATAGCTCATCTGCTGCTGCACAGTTTGTGTTGGTCATCTTCTAGTCCTCCATCAGTGGTCACAGGATGCTGCCCACAGGACGCTGCCGAGTGGATATTTTTGGTTGGTGGACTATTCTCAGTCCAGCAGTGACACTGAGGTGTTTAAAAACTCCAGCAGCCCTGCTGTGTCTGATCCACTCAGACCAGCACAACACACACTAACACACCACCACCACGTCAGTGTTACTGCAGTGCTGAGAATGACCCACCACCCAAATAGTACCTGCTCTGTGAGGGTCCATGGGGAATTTCTTAGCTTGTTATAATAGCTATGAGTAATAATTAATAATATTTAATAATAATGAATAATAATTAGTATAAAATTATGTTTTTCTTATTGTCAGCGCTAACTGTGACGTCTAAGTGTTCTTAGTGTTAGAAGATAACAAAGCTAAAGAGAAACAGTTACTGTAGGGCTTGAATATCTTCCAGATCGAGCTGATTATTTATATGCCCATAAGTTTGTGTTTGTGTGTTTACAGACCACTAAAGAGCGTAATATGTGGGCGTGTACGTTTCACGCTCCTGTTCAGCTGTACTTCGTGGTCAGAAATGCAGAACGGTCTCCGGATTTCAGCATCTCCCGCATTAAAATCTGGAATTATAACCGCAGTTTGAACGTGAGTGTGACTCCTTTTTCTAACGTCTGTTTGAGCTTCATTCTGAAATGCTGAATATCAACATGTAACAAAGGCAGTAACAGCTGATGTGTAAATTCCTGCAGAACGTGAGCTGATTTACTGTAGAACGTTAGCTAGATCCTGCAGAACGTTAGCTAGATCCTGCAGAACGTTAGCTAAATCCTGCAGAATGTTAGCTAGATCCTGCGGAACATTAGCTAAATGGTGCAGAACATCAGCAAATCTGGCAGAACGTTAGCTAAATCCTGCAGAACGTTAGCTAAATCCTGCAGAACGTTAGCTAGATCCTGCAGAATGTTAGCTAAATCCTGCAGAACGTTAGCTGGATCCTGCAGAACCTTAGCTAAATCTTGCAGAATGTTAGCTAAATCTTGCAGAACGTTAGCTAGATCCTGCAGAACCTTAGCTAAATCTTGCAGAATGTTAGCTAAATCTTGCAGAACGTTAGCTAGATCCTGCAGAACGTTAGCTAAATCTTGCAGAACATTAGCTAAATCCTGCAGAACGTTAGCTAAATCTTGCAGAATGTTAGTTAAATCGTGCAGAACGTTAGCTAGATCCTACAGAATGTTAGCTAAATCCTGCAGAACGTTAGCTAGATCCTGCAGAACGTTAGCTAAATCCTGCAAAACGTTAGCTAACGTTCTGCAGGATCTAGCTAAATCTTGCAGAATGTTAGCTAAATCTTGCAGAACGTTAGCTAGATCCTGCAGAACGTTAGCTAAATCTTGCAGAACCTTAGCTAAATCCTGCAGAACATTAGCTAGATCCTGCAGAACGTTAGCTAAATCTTGCAGAATGTTAGCTAAATCGTGCAGAACGTTAGCTAAATCATGCAGAACGTTAGCTAAATCCTGCAGAATGTTAGCTAAATCCTGCAGAACGTTAGCTGGATCCTGCAGAATCTTAGCTAAATCTTGCAGAATGTTAGCTAAATCCTGCAGAACGTTAGCTGGATCCTGCAGAATCTTAGCTAAATCTTGCAGAATGTTAGCTGGATCCTGCAGAATGTTAGTTAAATCTTGCAGAACATTAGCTAGATCCTGCAGAACGTTAGCTAGATCCTGCAGAACGTTAGCTGAATCTTGCAGAATGTTAGCTGCAGAATGTTAGCTAAATCTTGCAGAATGTTAGCTAAATCGTGCAGAATGTTAGCTGGATCCTGCAGAACCTTAGCCAAATCATGCAGAACGTTAGCTAAATCGTGCAGAACGTTAGCTAGATCCTGCAGAATGTTAGCTAAATCCTGCAGAACGTTAGCCAAATCCTGCAGAACGTTAGCTTAATCCTGCAGAACGTTAGCTAAATCTTGCAGAACGTTAGCTAAAGCGAAGTTCCATTAGAATGTATAATCTAGATTCCTGAATCTCCAGGGTTCCATTAGAGAAGAACCCAACTGAAACGACCCAGTTTTAGTAATTGTAGGTTTATACTGGTTCTGCGTGGAACTCCTGAGTAAAACCCCACAGGAAAGCAGGCATTAGCGTGATGCTAACGCAGTCTGTTTGGACAGAGAGCTAAACCGTATTCTGTGTGAGATTATGAAGTGTGTGCGGTTTTTGAGAGTAGGTCAGCTGTGTGTGTGTGAGTGTGTGTGTGTGAGTGTGTGTGTGAGTGTGTCTGTGAGTGAGTGTGTGTGAGTGTGAGTGTGTGTGTGTGTGTGTGTGTGTGTGTGTGAGTGTGTGAGAGAGACAGTAGGAGATTAGCTGTGGGGATTATAGATGAGTTCAGCTTCAGCCTCAGAGTTTAGCTCACAGATACTCTCTGAATCACACAGCGCTCCCAAACCAGCTCCACTCACTCCCAGGACACCCTCAGGTCTGATACACCGTGTGTGTGTGAGTGTGTGTGAGTGTGTGTGAGTGTGTGTGAGTGAGTGTGTGTGAGTGTGTGTGAGTGTGTGTGAGTGTGTGTGTGTGAGTGTGTGTGAGTGTGCGTGAGTGTGTGTGTGTGAGTGTTTCATAGTCTCTAGCTCTGTTTTTCACTCTGATGTTAGCATAGCTCGCTAACAGTGTGTAGCTGTTACCATAGAAACAGCTAAAGGAAGCTTGTAGCAGTCGTGCTCAGCTAGCCGCTGTATGCTAACTTAGCTGACTGCAGCTTCTAGCCGTTTAGAAATCTCTGTGTTTCTGAGGTAAAAACTGCTTCAAACCATAAGATTTAAAGAATATGTACACTTGAGGGAGTAGTGGGGATGTTTTTGGTGTTTTTATGTGCTGGATTGTTTATTTAGGTGTTATTTAAGTGCTCTGAGAGTTGAGAATGTGAGCCTGGCAGGTTCGCATCGCTAATTCCATTTGTTGTTGATTTTCCAGGTGTGAATAAATAAACACATCCTCTACAGAGACACACTCAAATATGACGTTTTTCTGGGAATTTTAACCCACAGTTTCTATTTATTTGCTGAGGTTATGTTGGGGAAAAATATAGTTTTAAAAATGTAAAGTGTTCCAAAACGTATATTTTCCCCCCGTTATGTTAAATCGAGATGTTTTTGTTTATTTAGTATTTTAGAAATGATATTTATCTTACACTTTTTTCATGCTTTCACTAGTAAGTGAATTAAGTAATTAAGTAGGAGAAGTAATTAAACATCAGCTTGCACTGTAAAAGTTGTTCATCAGTTCAACTCAAACAGATTAGCTGTTTTTTTTTCAACCAGTTACTTTATTTTGCAGCATTTTATTTAAATTTTAATTTTGATGAACAAAAACTAAAGTACTAACTAAACCAAATTTCATTACGTCTGTTCCATCTGCTCCATGTTTTACATGAATGTGTACATGAATGTGCTGATAATCAGTCTCAACCATGTCTGTATTATTCAGATTATATGTTAGCAACAATATTATATAGTACAAATTTTAGGGTTTTTGTTGTTGTTATCTTGTTTTTTTGTTTACCTTTTTTGGTTGTATACGTTGTGTATTTATTTTTTATTTTTGATGATTTTACTTGTATTTCACTGGTCTCTTCTTGGATCGGGGCCTTGTCAAGGCGGAAGGGCTTGTGTGGTCTAGGGGTCTTCAGAGCTAAGTCGTCGGGAGCAATATGCTCCTGGTAGGGTCTCCCAGGGTGAACAGGTCTGGAGTGAAGACCCAGACTAACTCGATCCAAAAACCCTCTTTGACAAATGGACACAGACAATCGTGTACCCTGCCCGGGAGAGGGTCACCGGGACCTACCCCTGGAGCCAGGCCTAGGGGTACCGTCCCTGGGGGTATCGGCCTGCCCTATCTAAACCCGAATGGTGAATTGTTATTGGACTTCTGTGCTAGGCATGGATTGTCCATAACAAACACCAAGTTCGAACACAAGGATGTTCATAAGTATACATGGTACCAGAGCTCCTTGGGTCATAGGTCAATGATCGACTTTGTTGCCATTTCATCTGACTTGGGACCATATGTTCTGGACACTCGGGTGAAGAGAGGTGCTGAGCTGTCAACTGATCACCATCTGGTGGTCAGACCCGGTAGGCCCAAGCGAACAGTGAGGGTGTGCTGGGAACGACTGTCAGAGGCCCCTGTTCAGAATGATTTTAACTCCCACCTTCGGGAGAGCTTCTCTCACGTCCCGGAGGAGGTAGGGGACATGGAGTCTGAATGGACCCTGTTCAAAACCTCCATTGTGGAAGCTGCCAGGCTTAGCTGTGACCAAAAGCTTGTGGGTGCCTGTCAGGGCGGTAACCCAAGAACCCCCGATTGACACCGGTGGTGAAGGGAGGCCGTCAAGCTGAAGAAAGAGGCCTTTAGGGACTGGATGGCCCAAAGGACTCCCGACTCAGCAGATAGGTACTGTCAGGCAGAAAAGGTGGCAGTGGTAGCGGTGGCGGAAGCAAAATCCAGGGCGTGGGAGGAGTTTGGTGAAGCCATGGAAAAAGACTTTCGGTCGGCCTCAAGGAGGTTCTGACAACTGTCCGGCGACTCAGGAGCAGTAGGGGTGGCTTCGCCCAAGCTGTATTCGGCAGGGGTGGAGAAACTCTGGCTTCAAATGAGGATATTGTCGGTCGGTGGAAGGAGCACTTTGAGGAACTCCTTAATCCGGGGGACATGCCTCCCTCACAGGAGTCAGGGCCAGAGGCTTCTGGTGTGTCAAGCTCCATTTTCCTGGTGGGGGTCACTGAGGTAGTTGGCAAGCTCTTCAGTGGCAAGGCACCGGGGGTGGATGAGATTCGTCCAGAGATGCTTAAGGCTCTGGATATTGTGGGGCTGTCGTGGCTGACGCGCCTCTGCAATATTGCATGGACCTCGGGAACAGTACCCTTGGACTGGCAGACCGGGATCGTGGGCCCTATTTTTAAGAAAAGGGACCGGAGGGTGTATGCCAACAACCGAGGTATCACATTGCTCAGCTTCCCTGGGAAAGTCTATGCCAAGGTGCTGGAAAGGAGACTCTGACCGATAGTTGAACCTCAGATTGAGGAGGAACAATGCGGATTCTGTCCCGGCCGTGGAACAATGGACCAGCTTTTCACCCTCTCACAGATTGTTGAGGGGGCATGGGAGTTTGCTAATCTCTCTGTACTCCGGGAGTGAGAGCTGTGTTCGTAGACTCAGCATAAAGTCAGACTCTTTCAGTGTTAGTGTTGGACTCCGCCAGGGTTGCGCCTTGTCTCCACTCCTGTTCATGATATTCATGGACAGGGTGTCAAGGTGTAGCCGAGGTCAGGAAGGCAGTATGTATGGAGCCCGGAGGGTGGTGTCTCTGCTATTTGCAGATGATGTTGTTCTTTTGGCTGGATCACATGGATGCCTCCAGCGCTCACTGGAGTGGTTTGCAGCTGAGTGTGAAGCGGTGGGTATGCGGATCAGCACCTCCAAGTCTGAGCCCCTGGACGCTTCCCGGTGGGGGTGTACCCGGCATGGCCTACCAGGACAAGACCCGGGGTTGTCCTAGGACCCGCTGGAGGGATTATATCTCCAAGTTGGCCTGGGAGCAGCTGATAATGATGATGATGATGATGATGATGATGATGACTTGTGTTTTATCTCTGTCCAATGAAAACCATGTATCTCCAAAATATCTTTTTTTTTTTGGCAATATTTATTTTTAATAGTTTTTATTGCATTTTCTTTTCATCATTTCAGTATTCTTAACTTCTGTTTTCCATTTCTTCTCTTATGCTTGCTTTCATCTGCCTTTTTCATTGTAAAACACTTAGCATTTTAATATATGAAAGGTGCAATATCAATCAATCAATCAATCAATCAACCTTTATTTAATCTCAGAGAACATTGAGGGTGACCCTCATTTACAATGTTGCGGAGTTGATACAGAACAAGGGATCGATAATGTGTAAGAAAATATCAAATAAGAAAAGTAAATTTAATAAATAAAAAAAAGACTCAAGTCAGGTAAGTATAAAAAATGAAACGTTAATAATAAAAATATAATAAAAATTTAAAACAATACTTAAAACATAGCTAAAATGTAAAAGTAAATCAAATCAAAATAAAAGGAGACTAAGATAAAAAAGTAAACTAAAAATTAATTAAAGTGACTAAAATAATAATAAAAATCATAATCAAAATAAGAATTTGAATAATAATAAATAAAGCTAATAATAATAATAACAATGATGTGTTATTGCATAATATATAACGTATTGTTAATATTATTTGAAAGTATCCTGGGTTTAATGTTGTATGATATATAGCATCATAGCTGTTTAGACTGTTTTACCCTGAGTCAGCTCCACATGTGTGTTGTTTGTAGGAGCTGGACGTCGGAGCGCGTGAGGTGCGCCTGTATGTGAACAGCACGCTGGTGTTTGAAGGCCAGCTTCAAAAAGGCTGTGGCAACCAGGTGTTCGACTGCAGCACCACCATCGACCTACAGGAACTACATCTCCCAGAGTGCACCTCTCCCAGCCCCGTCTCCTCAGGACACAGCCTGCGGGGCTGTAGTCCGCATCGCTATGACGACAGGGTCCCGGAAATCAGCCCCAGCCAATCAGACCAGCCCATCCCTGCCTACCCAAAGGAGCCAACCGAGAGGAGTAGCACCAGCCAGTTGGCGCTCAGCCCTGCCTATGTAAAGGAAGCGAGCCAGGTCAGTCTCGACCAATCGGAGCGCGGCGTCGCTCCTGCCATCGCCTCTGACAACCGTGCGATGCAGAGGGACTCGTTAGAGCGAGATTCGCCCCCACTGGACCTCACCCTGGGGCAGAAGCAGCAACAGAGAGAGGCAGTTACTACGGTGACCACCCAGCCTGCCTCCTGCCGGACTCCCGAGTGGCTCCGGTCACCGCGGGAACGTGAGCGCCCCCTGTGGCTCACAGCACAGAATGCAGCTGAGGAAACGAAACCAAAACCCAAACACTCCGTGCTGCCCGACATCCCCTGCAACCCAGCCAGGGTGTGTGGCGCGTCCTCCGGGAAAGGTGAGCAGGAATACAGCATCAGCATCACCATCAGAAAACACTGTATTTACCCATAAATACTGCACCTTTAAGGCTGGTATACACAGATCGGCTACTTCATTAAGTCCACCTCCTCGTAACTACACTCACTGTCCACTATATCAGCTCCACTGACCATATAGTTTCACTCTGTAGTTCTACAGTTACACACTGTAGTCCATCTGTTTCTCTGATACTCACAGAGCAGGTACTATTTGGGTGGTGGATCATTCTCAGCACTGCAGTAACACTGACGTGGTGGTGGTGTGTTAGTGTGTGTTGTGTTGGTGTGAGTGGATCAGACACAGCAGTGCTGCTGGAGTTTTTAAACACTGTGTCCACTCACTGTCCACTCTATTAGACACTCCCACCTTGTCAGTCCACCTTGTAGATGTAAAGTCAGAGACGATCTGTATGTGACAGGAAAACTGTAGAGCCTTGTTGTAAAAAAAGGCTGTGAAAACGATGTACAATGTTGTTTATTCAGTATTTGATCCATACAGCTGTTCATCATTCAAGAAGTGACACAATAACGCTAATGTCATATTACCCCCGCAGCCTCCGGCCACAAGAGGGCGCTAAACGGGTTGCAGAGAGAAGCTTCGTCAGAGTTCAGTGCCGATTCACTGGAGCTGGACCCTGAACTCAACCTGGACGGAGAATCAGAAAGCAGACCGTCGGACCTGGACACGAACGTCCTGCCAAAACGGGATTTGGACCTGCTGGACGAGCTAAATCAGAAACCGCACCGGCCGGTCAGCGGCAGGAGAGGATCCGCACGCTCAAAAAACAAACCAAGCCTGAACCACAACCACGAGAGAACCTCTGACATCACTGCCTCAGGTACACCTGCCTCACCTGGAACTGACAGAATAGTGATGATTTGATCACGGATTAACAGGAGCCGTCATTAAGGGCTAAGTCAGCCTCTGTTCGGTGTTGGTTGAGCTCGGACTGAGTTTTGAGTTTTGTCAGTAATACATTCAGGTCCGAGGCAGGACTTTGTTGGAATATGATCGGGACTGAATAGAATTTTTTCAAGCTACAATTGGATTCAGACCCTTTTGCCAGGCTACTGTTAAGTTCAGACAGAGGTTTATTGAGATAATTCAAGTCTGATCTTGACTGTTTCTTGAAATACAGTCAGATTCTGACAATCTCTTTGGAATACTGCTGGATTCTGACATAAGTTTGTTGGAATACAGTCGGGTTCAAACTAAATTTTGGCAGCCTACATTGACTTCAGGCACAATTCTGTCAGGCGCAGTCAGGCTCAGGGTTTGGGCAGAATTTTCTCGGAATACAGTCGGATTTGGACAGAATTTTCCAGGAATATGGTCAGATTTGGGCAGAATTTTATCGGAATACAGTCGGGGTTGGGCAGAATTTTATTGAAATACAGTCGGGTTTGGGCAGAATTTTGTTGGAATGCAGTCGGGTTTGGGCCGAATTTTATCGGAATATGGTCGGGTTTGGGCCGAATTTTATCGGAATATAGTCGGGTTTGGGCAGTTTTATTGGAATACAGTCAGGTTTGTAACAGAATTTTGTTGGAATTCAGTTGGTTTTAGAGCAGATTTTTGCTGGAATACACTCATGTTTGGACAGAATTTTATACAGTCGGGTTTGGGCAGATTTCTATTATCGGGCCACAGTCAGATCTAAAACAGTACCGTTTGACTGTGGTTGGGTTGGGATAGAAATATGTTGGCCTAAAACTTTGTCAGGCTCTAGTCAGGCTCGGGATCTCCGTGCTGTGGTTCAGTTCGGATGCGTCAGAGAAATTCCTGGCCTGATTCGGGCTCTCGGCTGGTGTTTCGGAGGAGAGGAGTGTTTGAGTGTTGTAACCTGATTACCCAGCCTGCAGTCTGCTTCGTCACGCCCAGTCAGGCAGCGCACTAATCCCCACTCATCCCCCACACCGATGAGCGCTGTCCTCAAGGAAGGCCCAGTCTGCTTCTTTCAGTGTAGACTAGCTTTAGCTAAGCGTCCGGCCTGCCCTCTAACTTAGCTCAGCAGTTTGCTGACTGAAGACTCTCCTGACTCAGGCAGCGAATTGAAGACGCAGTGGCTTCTAGGTGGGAAATCTGCTGGTGTAGACCATAAGCAGGTGTAGCTCAGTGAAGCTGAAGCAGGAGCAGCGCTGTCTGGAATATCCTAAAGCTGCTGATTGCGTTGTGGTGTCACCTGTGGTGTAACTAACCCAATCTGGAGTGACCTAATGTAGGCTAATCTGGATTAGCCTCACAGAAGAAATGCAGAAACTAGCATTGCAGAATGAATGATGACTGGGTGAGAGAGAGGCAGTGTTGGGGATACAGAGAGAGACACGAGCATCTGCTGTAGGAGTGGGTGCTGCCAGTACCGGCTGCTGCTGGTCGAAGTGTTTAATAACCTAATTTGAAAATAGAAGCAGCCCATCTGCTGATCTACACTCCCTGGCCTCTTTATTAGAAACCCCTTCGCCTTGCTGGTGTACATTTAGAGGCTGTAGATCATCTGTTGATGCACAGTTTGTGTTGGTGATCCTCTAGTCCTAAATTAATGGTCATTTTCTGACCACAGAGCCTCTCTTGTCTGGACATTTTTGGGTGGTGGATCCCTCTCAACCTAGCAGTGACACTGACGTCTGTAAAAATCCTCGCCTAGATAGTTTTAGTAGCCTTAAGTGCTAATATTGGCAATGTAAGCTCATAAAACAATGCCATGTTCAACAATTTCGTTGGAAAGCTTCTGACAAATCCTCTTGGGAGACCATTGCAAACATTTAGGCCAAATGCAATGTTGCATAATATCAATTAATGATAAAATACCTGCCAGATGAGGACAAGCCGGTGTAAAAACAGTGTACAGAACACTGCTTTACTGTAAACAAAAGACTTCTGCTGTCTTTATGTGCCATTGGATGGTCTAGCGAGCAACATTGTAAGCACAAAAGTACAAAAGCCCAAAATGTTGATGTATTTCTGTAATATAGTCAATAAAACAGCCCTAAATCCCAATATATCTTTCCATAATAAGGCCTAATATCCTGAAATATATTCTTGTAATGTAGCACAAGAAGTGCTGGTTACACTTTTTGTTAATATGGCTGAAAATTCCATTACTGTTTAACATTATATGGCCAAATATTCTATTTTTCTGCAAATTGATTAGTAATATGGCCAAGAATCCTGTTATTTTCTGTTGTATGAACAATAATATGGCCAAATATCCTGATGTATTTTTCTGTAATGTGACCAATAATATGGTCATAATGTATTTATATGTAATTACATACGTTTACACTGTCATCACAAAAGTACAAAAGCCGAACATTTTGATTTATTTTTCCATAATGTAGCTAAAAAAATTCCATCATTTTTTTCTGTAATATGGTCAAAAACCTTAATATGATTTTCTGTAATGAGACCAGTAATACAGCTACAATTCTAACATATTTTATATTTTTAGAATTCACTTTTTCATAGACTAATTAAACATTTAGCCTAAAATGCAACGTTAGATTACATCAGTTAATGATAAAGTCTTTCAGACGAGGACGTTAAAAACAGGCCAACGTTGTGCTTTATTGTAACGGAAAGCCAACTTTAAGATCAGGAGCTCATATTTATGATCCTGATGGGAAGTGATGGCAGCAACAGGCTGTGACCTCATTTCTCACTTTTCTTCATCAGTTTCTCTAGATGACTTTGGTCCAGTTTCCAGCAGTAGCCAAAGGCTGCGTTCTGATTGGCGGAGCGAGCAGGACGACACGTTAATGGAGTCGTGGGATTCACTGATGAAGTTCAATCAGAGCCAGAAGGGCCGCATTTCCAACATGTCCCTGGAGGGGGACATCTTCGACGAGTTTCTGCAGCGCCAGTCCCGCCGCCCTGCGGCCGTGACCTCTGACTCCCGCGACTGCCGACCCCGTGACCTCCGATACCGAGGATGACCCACGCGACCCGCTGGACGAGGACTTTGAGATTCCGGTGCTTCCTCAAGGGCGCCACCTGCTGGTCAGCATCCTGTCCACGTGGGGCGACCGCCACTACGTTGGCTTGAATGGAATAGAGATCTACAGCTCCAGCGGAGAGCCGGTCACTCCGGTCAGCGTCACAGCCGACCCTCCAGACATCAACGTCCTTCCGGCCTATGGCAGGGACCCCCGCGTGGTCTCCAACCTGACGGACGGCGTTAACCGCACTCAGGACGACATGCACCTGTGGCTGGCTCCGTTCACTCCGGGCCGCAGACACCTGATCTCCCTGGACCTGGGCTCCACGCTCCGCCTGGCCATGATCCGCATCTGGAACTACAACAAGTCCCGCATTCACTCCTTCAGGGGCGTCAGGGAGGTGGAGATGACGCTGGACGGACGCTGCATCTTCAGAGGAGAAATCGCCAAAGCCTCCGGGACGCTCACAGGAGGTGGGTGACAGGACGCAGCAGCACAAAGCAGGATGGGTCACGATGTGTCTTATTATGTATTTGTGTTTTTGTAACAGCCAACAACATCAGAAATCCCTATGTATTTTAACATACCATGGTCAAAAATCCTGATTGTATTTTTACCTTATGTGACCAATAAAATTACTCAAAATCCCAAATATATTTTTCAGTAATATGGCCAAATCGCTTGATATATTCTTCCATAATATAGCCAGAATTATATTTTTCTGTAATATGGTCAAAATACCAAATATATATTTATTGCTAGAATATTTTCTGTAATATGACCAATAATATGGCCAAAAATCCTAGAATATTTTCTGTAATATGGCCAATAATATGGCCAAAAAACCTAGAATATTTTCTGTAATATGGCCAAAAATCGTGGAATATTTTCTGTAATATGACCAACAATATGGCCAAAAATCCTGGAACATTTTCTGTAATCTGACCAACAATATGGCCAAAAATCCTAGAATATTTTCTGTAGTATAACCAATAATATGGCCAAAAATCGTGGAATATTTTCTGTAATATGTCCAATAATATGGCCAAAAATCCTAGAATATTTTCTGCAATATGACCATAATATGACCAAAATCGTGGAATATTTTTCTGTAATATGGCCAAAAATTCTAGAATATTTTCTGTAATATGACCAATAATATGGCCAAAAATCCTAGAATATTTTCTGTAGTATGACCAATAATATGGCCAAAAATTCTAGAATATTTTCTGTAATATGACCAATAATATGGCCAAAAATCGTGGAATATTTTCTGTAATATGTCCAATAATATGGCCAAAAATCCTAGAATATTTTCTGCAATATGACCAATAATATGGCTAAAAATCCTAGAATATTTTCTGTAATATGGCCAATAATATGGCCAAAAAACCTAGAATATTTTCTGTAATATGGCCAAAAATCGTGGAATATTTTCTGTAATATGACCAACAATATGGCCAAAAATCCTGGAACATTTTCTGTAATCTGACCAACAATATGGCCAAAAATCCTAGAATATTTTCTGTAGTATAACCAATAATATGGCCAAAAATCGTGGAATATTTTCTGTAATATGTCCAATAATATGGCCAAAAATCCTAGAATATTTTCTGCAATATGACCAATAATATGACCAAAAATCGTGGAATATTTTTCTGTAATATGGCCAAAAATTCTAGAATATTTTCTGTAATATGACCAATAATATGGCCAAAAATCCTAGAATATTTTCTGTAGTATGACCAATAATATGGCCAAAAATTCTAGAATATTTTCTGTAATATGACCAATAATATGGCCAAAAATCGTGGAATATTTTCTGTAATATGTCCAATAATATGGCCAAAAATCCTAGAATATTTTCTGCAATATGACCAATAATATGGCTAAAAATCCTAGAATATTTTCTGTAATATGACCAATAATATGGCCAAAAATCGTGGAATATTTTTCTGTAGTATGGCCAAAAATCCTAGAATATTTTCTCTAGAACGACCAATAATATGGCCAAAAATCCTAGAATATTTTCTCTAGAATGACCGATAATATGGCTAAGAATCCTAATATATTTCTTTGCATCTCTCTCTCAGGTTTGGATCAGTTCGGTGACACGATTCTCTTCACCACTGATGATGAGATCCTGGAAGCGATGTCTCGTTATGATGACACTTTTGGGGGAAATGTGGAGGGGGTGGAGCCTGGCCTGGAGGAGGAGGAGCTTCAGCGTCCGCGGACCGCAGACGGAGAGGGAGAGGAAAGACCGTTCACACAGGCCGGATTCAGAGAGGTGTGTTTGTGAGAAAGAGAGAGAGAGCATGTTAATGGCTACTGCGGCGCTTTTCACACTAATCTCTCTCTCTGTCTGCTACATCTGTAGTCGACCAGACGCACTGAGGGTGATTTTCTTACCAAAACAGTTCTTATGGAGTACTGTAGTGAAAAAGCGGTACCGGTTATTTTCATTTTTCCTGCGGTTTTCTGGTATCCGCACCAGGACACTGGTAACAAATTACCGCACATTCTGTCATAAGTGCAGAGTTTTCCCTGCATAGAGAATTACAGGCGGATGCGTCCATCAAATTTCATGCCACCTCCAGCTCTCGACAAAACTCCGACAGGTGTCTTCATGGAAAACACTGTTTTCTAATAAGCGTTGTATTCGGTGGATTCCTGTCATTTGTCACAGCATTTGTGGCAGTACACCACAAGGTGGCGCTGTAACGTAATCAGCACAGCAGCAGTAAAAGCATGGCTATAACTAGCTATGAGGACACCGAGGTAGACGAGGCTACACAATTAGCAGTGACTGGCTCTCGGCTGACCTCAGAGCGGCGGTGGTCCGGCCGTGGACTGAACCGCCCGCTGTGTTTATCTCTCTATGAGATGCTACGCTAATGATGCCCAGAGCAGTTTGACTTCTTGAGATGTAAAGGTACAGGTGTGCAGCACACCTACTGAAGGCTAACATACAACACCGCTATGATGAATTGTGAGAGTTTATGAGGGTAACTAACAGATGATGGCTGTAAAATGCGAACCTCGTACCTCGGTTTTTGTATGATGTGTAGTCTCTGTACTGTGCCTGCGGATTCTGGTTATACAGTGTTATACAACAGTAAGTTCCGGCCACACAAGCTGATGAACCCAACACCATTCGCCAAACTAAATGGGCTGTAAGATGCTTTACAGACTGGCTGGAACAAAACAACATTAATACTGATCTGGCAAAAACTGACAAAACTGGGCTAAACTTGATATTGTGGCAGTTTTACGACTCAGTCTGATTTGGTCAGACTCTGAAGATCAGACCACACGTTTGGCGAATGGTATTCGGTTCATTTCTGGCTGATTCCAGGTTGTTCAGCTGTTCTTCTGTCACAGCTGCCGACTGAAAAGCTGCTCAGTTGTGACAGTTTGGGAATTTAGTGTAAGGAGCTGGAGAATGAACTGCCGGCTGTGCAGCGAGTGGGCGGAGCTCGTTACTCTGACATAGCAACAAGCTGCTTGTTAAGGAACTATAATTTGGTGAAGGAACTGCGAACATTAAAACATATTAAACGCCGCGTTCACGGCCCAGTTTATTAATTTATTACTTTATTTAACTGTTGTATTAAAGCAGTAGAACACTCGAGGAGTGTGTTATCGCCAATAACATCACGGCTGCGATGATCTACGGTGACCAAATCACAGCCGTGATGTTATTCCATGATAACTCACTCCCTCTGTGTTCTGTTGCTTAAATAACTATAATAATATAAACTTTTCATAAGGCTGTTCTATTCACCTTTTTTAAAAAATTCAGTGTACAAGAAGTGAATGACGTGGTAAATAATATACTGTAATCTATTTACGTGATTTTTTTTAATCCCTCATGAGATTCGATCTCCACTTTTGAAACATGATGAATTATGAGTATTGACTTTATTATAGTTTAATATAATTCTTAATGCTCTACAGTTTTCTCAGTCAGTTTAGTGTTTTCTACAGCTCTTCATCATTCATTTCATCATTCTGAACTCATCCAACATTTTCTGCATTTTTATCTACAGCTTCCTACAGTCCTCACGTTCAGCTGGAACCTGTTGTTCAGGATGAGCAGATTACAGTCATGTTATATGTGTATTTGCAGCCAGGTTGCTTTTATATTACTGAGAACATTAATTCCAAACTTTTGAACACTGTTGGATCTCTGTGTGTTTTCCAGTCGAAGCCGGACCCTGGGGCCGAGCCGGTTGTTGATCCGGAGCTCCAGAGTTGTGGACTCTACACAGGCAAGAGTAAGAAAACCCCTCATCACAGCAGCTGTGCAGTGGGATTTATGTATTTTTGAAGTGTTTTTGATAAACTGTTCTGTTCCTTAGTCCAGTATTGGCTGCAAAGCCTCCAACAGTTACTTCTACAGTCCACTAGATGGTGCTGTGTGTCTTTTACTCCCTGAACACGGAGGGAGAAGTCTAGCTGTTCACTCACAACAGCACAACCAGCAGGACAGTCAGCAGAGTTAGCTTCTGAATTAAAATCGTCCATAGGGAGACGTATAAGTGTACAAAGTGTATGTTTGAATATATAATAATAATAATCTGAATCTAATAATAATTAACTGAAATTATATCAATGATATCAGGATTTTTAGTCATATCGACCAGCCATACTGTTTCTACAGCAGAGTTGTTTTAATGTGGAGTGTGATCATTATAATAAAGGAACAGAGTAACACAAAACTACCATAGAAAATGCCTGAAGCATACATTAACGATGTAGTAAAGTTAATTATCTGTTTTTTTTCTTTATTGCCCAGGCCTGGTAGGTTCATCTATCACTAGTACCATTTGTTTTTTTTCTTCAGTGTTCAACATAGAGCTGGGCAATATGACAGTATTTATCATTATCATGAAAAATAACATCACAGTAGGCTTTTCTGAGCATAGTGGGGATATCGGCAGTGCTTAAAAACACTTCCCAACTGCAGATTTGATTAGAATCAGAGTATCGTTAGTCCTGTTTGGTTGGATTTAGTGCAGCACAGTGTGTGAAATGATGAATACAAGTAATTTTTCTAAATGTGGCACTATTAGTCTGTTCTTACTTATCAGGTTTTAGTAGAAATAAATATTGTGACATACTGTGTATCGTAAAAACGTCCTGAAGTGTAACGATATTACATTTTGCTGTATTTCCCACCTCTAGTTCAAGATACTCTGTAGGCTTAAAGCTGAGCGAAAGAGACCACGCCTGCTGTACTCGCAGCAGAGCTGTGATAATGTGAGTCTGTTGAATCCTGCAGGTTGTGATGTTTGAGTGAAGCTGCATTTCTAACACAGACGTGTACGATTGTGTGTTTGTGTGTGTGTGTGTGTGTGTGTGTGTGTGTGTGTGCGCGCAGCTCTGCGTCTGGGTCTGCTGATGACGTGGGGGGACTCCCATTACCTCGGCCTGACGGGGTTAGAGGTCGTCGGGAAGGAGGGTGAGAGCATCCCTGTTGACGTCTCCATGGTAACAGCGTCACCGTGCGACCTCAATGACCTCCCTGAGTACAACAACGACCTCCGAACTCTGGACAAGTCAGTGACCTGCACCTCATCTTCAAAAATGCTGCTATATTAACAGTTTACCCATCTATCTCAATCTCTCGCTCTCCTCCCAGAGGATCAGGGGTCAGAGGATCTGTTTCGCATCAGTAAAAGATAAACTTCCCTCATTTCCGCTGTAACTCAGCGTAGACTCTCAGCCTCGACTGCTCCATTAAAAGATACCCAGTTAAAAATACAGGTTTTCTAATTCTCACTCAGTTGTCATTCCAGCAGGGCCTCGTCTCCTTCAGGGACAGGGCGACTCAAGTCTTCTGTAAATCACCAGATGTCTCTCAGAGCATGCGTTCCCCCTAGATCAGGGGTCGGCAACATGCGGCTCTTTTACTGCCCTCTTGTGGCTCCACAGCAGAATTATATTTATAAAATTAAATAATCCTCCTTTACAGTAAAATAAAGCTCTGCTGATCGTTCAACACAGTTTAACAATAAATGGTCTTAAACTCTGGAGTTAATGTAGAACTGCTAATTCACCCTTTAACCCTGAAGATCAGCACAGACTGCTGGTCACCATAGCAACACAGACAATCTCGCCTAGCGAAACGGCAGAGAGAGATTTAAGACGAACATCGATAATTTGGAGACGAATTGACTGATTTACATTTATAATCACTCCAGCTGGTTTCCTGATACGTTTAATCTGCAGCGAGAAACTGAAACACTAAAAAGTTGCGAAGCTGAAGTCTTTCTGGTCTTTTCGTTCGCATTTCACCGTTCCACCTTTAACAGTGCAGCAGTTACATTCTGGCACCTCAGGAACCATTTAAGGTGGAACAGGAAAATTCGAACAAGAAGCTGTCGAATGAGAAGCGACTTCAACTTTGTAAAAAGTCAAACATTGAGAGAAACTGTTCTACTTTCGAGTAAAGTTTCCTGCTGGAGATGTGAGAAAAGCGGCTACAGCTGAGCTAAAGCTTAAAGCAGAGCAAAGGTGAGTCTGTTTTCTTTTATATTATGTTTCTTAGCCTATACTAGTACATCAGCACATACTGAGACACATTTACAGCCAAGATGGTAAAATGATCATAAAATGTTGTGACTTCCAAAGGGGGTTTTATTTTTATTGAAAGGACAAACTGGCTCTTAATGTTTTGGTTGCCGACCCCTGGTCTAGATCATCTCATCGCCATCTCGTGAACACATTCTGCTGTAGGCGTCCAGCTGTGATCACCACCTCTTTCAGAGCCCTTCAGTGGCCTGTTCCACCTTTATCAGGATTAATGACTCCAGTTGTTTCTCTGGAAGACTCTTCAGAGTAATAACTGCATTGTCTTTATATATATTTATACTATAATTTGTTTCCTTCACTGAAAAGTGATGTTCTCTGTGATTGATGCCACATACGTCACAGAGGACGAAAGCCCTGCATCAGAAGACTGTCCAGGCTTATTACATACTAATGCTTATTATTCAGTAATTACAGAGAGTCCAATGCAAACTGGTTGAGCTATTTTCAGGTTATAGAAGTTAGTGATAAACCTACTAACAGTACTTTGGGCCCGTCGGTGGACTCTGACCGCATAAGGGATTAAATACAGCGACTGTATTTTGAAGTGTCCACGATAACGTCACCATACATCTTCAGTATTTCGGTATACCGTATATGCAGTATACAGGCACATGCCTGTTACTGCTGCAGGTTATTTCTGAGTTTTGCCTGAGTTTTGCCCTCACTTGGAGGAGGAAGGAGCATTTAGAGACGTTTGTGATGTGCGGAGAGGTGTCATTAGTCAGAGTCAGTTCTTCACACACACAACACGGAGGATATTTAATGAATTAAAACTGTTATTTGATATCTTTGTTTGGTGCATCTCTCCCTCAGGTTGTTTGATGGACAGAACGTCACTTGTGATGATGAACACATGTGGCTCATCCCGTTTTCCCCCGGCTCTGACCACACCCTCAGCATCGAGTTCAGCCAGTCGCAGACCATCGCCGGCCTCCGCATCTGGAACTACAACAAATCACCCGAGGACTCTTACAGAGGGGTGAGGGAGAGAGAGATAGAGAGGGAGAGGAGAGAGAGAGAGATGAGATGAGGAAGGGGAGCAGATGAGTTTGAATATGTCTGAAGTTTACTTTAGTTTCTCTCACTGTATTTGGGGGACGTCGTGTAAATCGGAGATTAAGGTTCTGTTCGTGTGTCTGTCTAACACCCTCCTGTGTGTGTTCTCAGCTGCAGGCGCTGAAAGTGTGTGTGGACGGGGTGTGTATCTCCCCTCCAGACGGGTTCCTGATCCGGAAGGGTCCGGGGAACTGCCACTTCGACTTCGCTCAGGAGATCCTGTTCATGGACTACCTGCAATGCCCGAGCTCCACCACAGGGGGCAGCAAAAACTCACAGGAGCCACACAGGTGCGAAAGCTGTGTTTGGGTTGGGTTTGTCATTAACTGACAATCACCTGCACACTTTAACACAGATGGTTCGTCAAGGGTTCTTTAAAGAAACCCTTTAGAAAATAGAGTTTAGTGAAGAAAAACATAGATGAACACTCAAAGAACCTTTGACTTGATTAAGGGTTTTTTGCATGGAGAAGTGGTTCTTCTTGATGGAGAATGTGCTGTATATGGTTTTATGTAGAACCTTTTTGAAAATGGTTCTATATAGCACCAAAAAGGGTTCTTCTGTTGAAACAAGCTTGACACTGCAACAGTAGAAGAACCAATTTTAGTGCTATATGGAACCCTTTTAAAAAGAAGATTTCATCATGCAGAGAACCCTTTATTCATGCAAATGGTCCTTTAAATGTTCATGGTTCTATATATATCTGGCCCAAGATCTCTGCCCTGATTGGCCCAAGAGCTCTGCCCTGATTGATACAGGATCTCTGCCCTGATTGGTCCAAGAGCTCACCCCTGATTGGTCCAAGATCTCTGCCCTGATTGGTCCAAGAGCTCACCCCTGATTGGTCCAAGAGCTCTGCCCTGATTGGTCCAAGAGCTCTGCCCTGATTGGTCCAAGAGCTCACCCCTGATTGGTCCAAGAGCTCTGCCCTGAGTGATACAGGATCTCTGCCCTGATTGGTCCAAGAGCTCACCCCTGATTGGTCCAAGATCTCTGCCCTGATTGGTCCAAGAGCTCACCCCTGATTGGTCAAAGAGCTCTGCCCTGATTGATGCAGGATCTCTGCCCTGATTGGTCCAAGAGCTCTGCCCTGATTGATGCAGGATCTCTGCCCTGATTGGTCCAAGAGCTCAGCCCTGATTGATGCAGGATCTCTGCCCTGATTGGTCCAAGAGCTCACCCCTGATTGATACAGGATCTCTGCCCTGATTGGTCCAAGAGCTCTGCCCTGATTGGCCCAGGATCTCTGCCCTGATTAGTCCAGAGCTCTGCCCTGATTGGCCCAAAGATCTCTGCCCTGATTGATACAGAATCTCTGCCCTGATTGGTCCAAGAGCTCTGCCCTGATTTGTCCAAGCTCTGCCCTGATTGGCCCAAGATCTCTGCCCTGATTGGTCCAAGAGCTCTGCCCTGATTGATACAGGATCTCTGCCCTGATTGGTCCAAGAGCTCACCCCTGATTGGTCCAAGATCTCTGCCCTGATTGGCCAAAGATCTCTGCTCTGATTCATACAGAATCTCTGCCCTGATTGGTCCAAAATCTTGACGCTAGCAGGATTTTTCTGAATTTTTTTCATGCCTGAAGTTGACTTAGTCAGGGATTTGATCAGTGTACAAAACTTTTTTAAGGTACATTTTGCATTCCTTCAGTAAAACCTGTCTATTTCTGCCAGTGTTACAATACAAAACAGCATTTCCAAATAATTTCATCTCTTAAATAATTAAGCAGAGTCATTTGTGTGTGTTGCAGGACTGCGTGTAGAAGTGAAGAACAGGCCAGTATGGAGTACGAGGCTCCGCTGATGCCGTGTGGCTGTATCCTTATTACCACTCATAACCTTCTATAATCAGTTTAGAATACAGTAATAGTCCTGTTCCTGCTCATCCATACATCTGTACTAATATCACTTTAAAGTGACAGATCAGAGGAAAGACCTAATGTATGCACTTACTCCAAATTTATTCAGTCTAGCTAATAAGCAGTGGAAGCTTATACTCCACCAATTAGCATGGTGCTAACCGTAGCACCTAAAGCATCATACACTCGGCTCAAACCATGTACAGCGGCTCAGTAATCTCTAATACACCTCCTTGTATGTGTAACACACTTGGTGAAATTAACTGATTGTGGTTCTGGTTTGATTCTGTGGTTTCGGATGCTGTGTGATGTACTGATATTACTGTGTGAGAAAGGTTTGATCTGATATATCTGATATATCGTCTGGCTGTAGTGTCTCTGTTCTCCTTGACTCTACACGTGTTTCTTTGTGTCTTCGTGTTTCTTCCTCTGTTTTTGTATTTTGTTTTGCGTATTTTGTGTAGTTATTTTCCAGCTGCAGCTGTTGACCACCTGGGGGGATCCGTACTACATCGGTCTGAACGGCCTGGAGCTCTACGACCAGAACGACCAGAAAATAGCCCTCACCGAGAACAGTATCCTTACACACAGCTCATTCACAGAACGAAGGAGGGAAGTTATTCCACATGATACGCTCTAAAAAGAGAAAACTCACAATAAATATTGTTGAAATATGACTGAACTGTACTTTATTTGATTTGACATTCAGTTGTTGACTGTATAAGATGTTGATATACCTACTAGGCTACTTCAGTAAACAGTATATGGCACTGAATCATGATGCAAGTCAGACATTATGACGTTCCGGACCTTTGCTTGAGGACATTTTCTCTAACTGGACATTATTGAATTTTAATTAAAGACCCCTGATCTAGATGATCTACACACTACACCCTCTGTTAGTTATGAGTTCAGAATGGATGTTTATTATGTGTTGTTCTTTAACGAGGTTCTCTCAGACATCGCTGCGTTCCCGGACAGTGTGAACGTGTTGGAGAGTGTGTGTGGTGACGTCCGCACACCTGACAAACTGATCGACGGCGTCAACAACACACACGATGGACGACACATGTGGCTCGCCCCCGTGCTGCCTGGCCTGGTGAGGGGGCTGCTTTTACCACTCGTATTGTGATTGTAGTCTTGTGGGGCCAGACGTGATCTCGTAACGAGAACGTCTGAAGACAGCCGTGAGACATTTTTGGGCTAAACATGGTTGAGAAGGTATTTGAGTGGAAACAAATAGAGTTTGAAATGTCTAAACTAATGCAACGCCTCGTGAAGGCGGAGCTTGAAGTAGGAGAACAGCAAGCCCTGTGGTAGGGGTTGACCATCGTGTGATGAAAGTCCAGTCGACGTTGACTGATCGCTGGTGATGTCATAAATAAAACCACAGGAAACCGTGAGGGAGCCAAACTCCAGGTCAGTAGAGCATGATCCACTGAGTCCTGGAACACATTGCTAGCCTTCAGGGAGCCAGAGATGCAGAAATCGCAGAAATCTGTGTCCAGCTCAGGCACACCCTAAGTGGCCTTGCCGAGATGCTCGCCCATGGTAGAGGTCTGGATAGCCAGAGACATTTAGGCCCAATCCCATTTCTTACTTTTACCCCTACCTGTCGTTTCGACTGTCATCTTGCCCCTTGGAACTGAGTTACGAGGCGACCCTGCCAGTCTGCAGTGACAGCAGAGGTGGGTAAAGTTCAGCTCCTCACTGCTGGGCTTTAGTTACAATTAGGGCCTTCAGAGGGGGTGGGGGGGTTGGGGGGGTGGGGGTGACATGGAGTGGCATGAAGCTGAACTTTCCCGTTCCACCTTAAATAGTGCAGCAGTGAGCCTGAGGCACCAGAATGTAACTGCTGCACCATTTAAGGTGGAACGGGAAAGTTAGCTAGCTAGCTACCAAGACATTAGCATACTACTAGCGATTTTTTGTGCTTGTTATGAAGAAAAGGACCAAAACACATTGGAACGACATTAAACTAAGATAATAACGGTTATCATAATTTTTAACAGAGAAAATTCTCACATTTGTGGGTTTCTTTGGTCTCTTGTTCTCCATCTTGCTGTTTTTTCTTTTTTTCTCATAACTCTCTGTTTGGAGTCTCTGAAAAACCTCCATTTGGAGGGTCATGTAGCCCCAACACTTCGCCCTCCCCCTCTATCTCAACAAGAATCAGGACACCCTACCCCTAAACGAGAACACGCAAAACGGAGGAGTAGGGCTAAACTTTACAGGATTACAGGGCGTCATGCCCCCTCTCCAGTCACACATGACTTTTTGTTGTAGTCTTTGGGAAACTGGGTATAACAACATTCAGTGTCTGATTTTTGAAGCTCTGTAGATGAAGCTGAGAAATGTTAAAACAAAGCCAAACTCCACAGGTCAGTAGAGCGTGAACGAGCCATGAATTGCACTGATAGCCCTAAGGAAACTGGAGATATGGACCCTGACATCACCAGCCTCCTCACCTGCTGTCTTCTCTGAGGCGTCCGTGTGGTCAGTGTCGTAATCACGTGATCAGCAGCTAGTCGGCATCAAGCTTAAAGCGCCATCGCTGTCCATGTTTGCAGCGTAAGGTTAGCATGGCTAAAAATTTATCCAAAAAGCTCCAGTTAAAGGTGTAGACATGAGTCGCATGTGCGGAGAAGACAGTACATGTAGTTAAAATAGACAGTAACTCTTACTTACAGAATAACAGGTCTGTTAAACTGGACCGTAGGCTTGTTTGCACTGGAATCCAGCACCAGAGTTTAACAGGTTGTCCCCATTACGAGATCACATCTGGCCCTGTGACACTGAAGTGAACATCATTAGTTTGGGAATTTACAGCCTGCAGCCAACATCTGCAATCACATCAACCTTCTTTACGTCATTTTACACGTGGAACACAAGTAAATACATCTGAGTGCCTGCAGACCTGTGGAAAAATCCTTATCTCTCTCTCTCTCTCTCTCTCTCTCTCTCTCTCTCTCTCTCTCTCTCTCTCCGTAGGTGAACCGTGTCTATGTGATCTTTGATCAGCCGATGACGGTCTCTATGATTAAACTGTGGAACTACTCCAAAACCCCTCAGAGAGGAGTCAAAGAGTTCGGGGTAAAACACACAAACACACTCTAAACTCTCTAAGCCAGACAAGTTCATGCCCTATCAGTTCACTGCAGTGGAGGACTGAGATGCTCTTCTTAGAGTTTTCCTGCTAAACTCCTCACGTAAAGGGCCCGTTTCCTACATTCCCCCTGATCTGAATTTACTTCTGAGGTCCACTTAAGGGACGTGCACAGGTCCTCGAGTACTCAGTTAATCACTCGAGAGTATTTGCCAGTATTTTACTGCTGAAATCACTATGCGGATATTTAATACGCTCCATCGCGGTTAGACAGAGAAGAAGACCAATAGTTCAGTGAGACGCCAGTTTTGTATTCTAACAGGACTGTAAACTGGCGAGTTAACTTGAGAGTTTGTGTAACGTTATGTCACACTTTGCTACTCTAAAATGCTAATGCAGCTTTACCTAGGCTAGCTAGCTAATTTTATCTACACTCTTAAAAAAGATGGTTCTTCAACGGTTCTTAAGCAAAGACTTCAGATTAGTGGAGGATGTGTTCTTTGTGCTTCTATATAGAAGCTTTTTGAAAATGGTTCTGTCTAGCACCAAAAACGGTTCTTCTGTTGTTACAAGCTTGACATCGTAACGATAGCAGTACCCCTTTTGGTGCTATATAGAACCATATACATGTTCTCCATCAATCTGAAGAACCATTTTCCGTGATTAATGTTTATCGGTTCATCGATCGTTACAGATACTCGAATATCAGAAGATTGATATTGTAATGATCGATTTGAATGATTTAATGGTGATTAATTATGGTATCAGACTCTGTGTCTGCGAGTACTGAAATATATGTAGTTGTACTCGTTCTGTAAAAATGGTATCGACGCATCTCTGATTTGTTTGTTTGTGTAGCTTCTTGTCGATGACCTGTTGGTGTATAACGGAATCCTGGAGTGTGTGACTCACGTGTCCCGTGGAATCCTGCCGACCCTCGACCCCATCGTACCGTATCACACCATCCTGTTCACCGACAACGCACAGATCACTCACCGAGAGAGGAACACCATCATCAGGTACTCACAGACTCTCAGACCTCAGGTCCTCACAGACCTCAGGTCCTCACAGACCTCAGGTCCTTACAGACCTCAGGTCCTCACAGACTCAGGTCCTCACAGACTTAGGTTCTCACAGACTCTCAGACTCGGGTATTTACAGACTCACAGACTCGGGTATTTACAGACTCACAGACTCGGGTCCTCACAGACTCTCAGACTCGCGTCCTTACAGACTGTCAGACTCGCGTCCTTACAGACTGTCAGACTCACAGACTCTCAGACCTCAGGTCCTCACAGACTCAGGTCCTCACAGACTCAGGTCCTCACAGACTCAGGTCCTCACAGACTCTCAGACTCACAGACTCGGGTATTTACAGACTCACAGACTCTCAGACCTCAGGTCCTCACAGACTCAGGTCCTCACAGACTCTCAGACTCGGGTATTTACAGACTCTCAGACTCGGCTATTTACAGACTCACAGACTCGGGTACTCACAGACTCTCAGACTCGGCTATTTACAGACTCACAGACTCGGGTACTCACAGACTCTCAGACTCGCGTCCTTACAGACTCTCAGACTCACAGACTCAGGTCCTCACAGACTCTCAGACCCGCGTCCTTACAGACTGTCAGACTCGCGTCCTTACAGACTGTCAGACTCGCAGTCTCAGGTCCTCACAGACTCTCAGACTCAGTTACTCACAGACTCTCAGACTCAGTTACTCACAGACTCTCAGACTCAGTTACTCACAGACTCTCAGACTCTGGTCCTTACAGACTCTCAAACTCACAGACTCAGGTACTCTCAGACTCTCAGACTCAGAAACTCAGGTCCTCACAGACTCTCAGACTCAGAAACTCAGGTCCTCACAGACTCTCAGACTCTGGTCCTTACAGACTCTCAAACTCACAGACTCAGGTACTCTCAGACTCGCAGGCTCAGGTCCTCACAGACTCTCTGACTCAGTTCCTCACAGACTCTCAGACTCACGTCCTTACAGACTCTCAAACTCACAGACTCAGGTACTCACAGACTCTCAGACTCAGAAACTCAGGTCCTCACAGACTCTCAGACTCAGAAACTCAGGTCCTCACAGACTCACAGACTCGGGTCCTTACAGACTCTCAAACTCACAGACTCAGGTACTCACAGACTCTCAGACTCAGAAACTCAGGTCCTCACAGACTCTCAGACTCTGAGAATCTCAGTCTCTCAGAGTGAGTCTGAAAGTCTGGTACTCTGTCAGGGACTCAGACTCACTGTGGTAGCTGACTCATGGATCAGCCTGATCATCCTCAGTCTGTCTTCCAGCGCTTCTGCACCAGCTGAGGAATGAACGAGTGTGTGATGTCTTTTTTTGTTGTTGTTGGGGTTTTTTTGGTGAGTGATCATTTGCAGTTGAGTTGCTCCTCCTTTAAAGCCCAACTCTGAATGTTCATGGAATAGCCTGTTAGCTGTGTGCCAAGCTGGTCAGCCTAGATCTGGTGGTGGTGCAGCTTAACATCAGCTGAAACAGCCCCAGACACCTTGGCCGGCAAAGTCTGCATGACATTCATAATTCTGTTCTTTATTACTAGATTAGTTAGTGGCCAAATCAAAGATGACAGCATACTACAACCACAACTTTTACTGAGCTGCGCTTTTATGTTTTTATCTCACAAAGATGCAGCTTCAGCTGTCACTGTGCTCCCTTCCACATCTGCTTCAACCGTCTCAAAATTACCAGACAAAAAAGAATTTGTTATTGTTTTTATTATTGTTATCATTGTTGTGGTTATTATTGTTATTACGCTTAGTGGAAATAAAAAAATAAAAGGTTGAGCGAAGAAAAAAAAACAAAATAAAACTTAAGGCCATATTAACACCCCACCCCCATGACTGTCAATAAACCGTCCAGTATAGTGTAGCGCTGTTCTAATAGCGGACAGGGCTGTCATGATCATGAAATTTTAGCTAACGATTAATTGCCATATATATAATTGCGATTAACGTGCGATTAATTTAATTGTCTTTTCTGGTCATTATTTGAAACTACTAAAAGTACTTCAAAGTGGCCAGATTGGGTGATTAGTTATTTCTTGTAGCTAATGCTGGCTGTACTGCTGCTTCAATACTGTGTGCACCTCATATATATATATATATATATATATATAATCGCTGCAGTCAGAACAAAATCTCATATCTTCGTTTTTCAGTTTTTGAGGATTTGAAAATGCCTGCTACTCTTTACATTGTGTGTAAATTTCATGATGAATGGACCAAAAGAAACGACCCGAAATTACTTGGAAAAAAGTCTGGTTCCATTGACTTACATTAAAAGTAAAGTAGGTTTTTTCCTTCTCCTGTAAAGTTACCATTTTGGAGATACAAGGTTTTCTTCTGAGAGCAGCGATATATATATATATATAATTAATATATAATATTATATATATATAGTATATATTTGTTGTTTTTTGTTTTTTTTTCCGAAACCTAAAGGGAAGGGGGGGGTGGGGTAAGTCATGCTTGCTAGGCTAGTCAGCTCTCCAACTTGCAGCATGAGTGTGACGCTGTGTGTGTGTTTTCTCCAGCCCCAGACGCAGTTCACACCATAAACTGTGAGTAACAGAGAGTCAGTATCAGTCCCACTGTGTGAGTGACAGCTGTTCCCGACATGCCCCGCCCACAACACCATGAGCCCTTAACCCTTAGAAGTGTTATTGTCAATTTACATAAATACTTAAAGTATGTATTTACATTCACTACCATGCAAGATACTAATGGTTTTTAGTACAGCTGGTTTTAGGTGGTGAAAGACCAGATTTAAACCATATACAGATTATTGGGTCTCACATTAAACACAAATTAGCTCTGCAATGTTTTTCAACTTTTTAAACACTGTGTCCACTCACTGTCCACTCTATTAGACACTCCTACCTTGTCAGTCCACCTTGTAGATGTAAAGTCAGAGACGATAGCTCATCTGCTGCTGCACAGTTTGTGTTGGTCATCCTCTAGTCCTTCATCAGTGGTCACAGGACGCTGCCCACAGGACACTGTTGGTTGGTGGACTATTCTCAGTTCAGCAGTGACACTGAGGTGTTTAAAAACTCCAGCAGCCCTGCTGTGTCTGATCCACTCGTACCAGCGCAACACACACTAACACACCACCACCACGTCAGTGTTACTGCAGTGCTGAGAATGATCCACCACCCAAACAGTACCTGCTCTGTGAGGGTCCATGGGGGTCCTGACCACTGAAGAACAGGGTAAAAGGGGGCTAACAAAGTATCAGAGAAACAGATGGACTACAGTCTGTAACTGTAGAACTACAAAGTGAAACCATATGGTCAGTGGAGCTGATGAAGTGGACAGTGAGTGGAGATATGAGAAGAAAGTGGACAGCCAGTGTATATTTGCATAGTCACAATGATTTATATTTATTTACCATAATGTTTAGTTACGTAATGAATTACATTTTCATTTGATTAACGTTCTGTATCGACTGGTTCGAGTCTTTAAAGACTTTAAAATAAACAGACTGATTAACAGTCAGTGCTGGACACAGCAGTGTCTCTGCTTGTTTTACTGATCTACGAGTCAGAAATAAATTATTTAAATTCACAGCATGTTGTTTTTATCACTTCCACTTCTAAAGGTTAACACCTCCCTGCCTAAGGCCTCCACCCCTCCATCCGTCCGCCCTGCCTCTTCATTCAGCCCGTTTTGTGTCCAGTAGAGTGTTTAAGTGTCCGTCTGATGCCGTTACCTCGTCTTTAGGGTGAAAACGTCTGTCTCTCAAACATCTGTCTGTCTCACAGCAACCATGTAGAAGATCAGGATGTGAAGATGACCAACGAGAACCAGATCGTCCACCACCACAAGAAGAAACAAACCGCAGACCCAGGTACACGCGCACGCACGCACACGCGCACACACACACACACACTCATGTTTGTCTAACTATACATATGAGGACATCCATAGATTTCTATTGATTTTTGTGTTACTGTAGCTAAATGACACTACACCTAAACCTAAACCCAAACCCAAACCTAACCTTAACCTCAGTATCCAAAAGGCAATTTATCTGCTCTTTTAGTTTTCAAGTAAAAAACTTAATTGTGGTGAAAACAACACATGAATTTCATGGGGTCCTCACAAGTATAGCAATACAAGAACACTTTAGGCCTTAATTGACTCAGTAGACCTTAATTGGCTCAGTAGGCCTTACTTGACTCGTTAAGTCTTAATTGACTCACTAGACCTTGACTCGTTAGGTCTTTATTGACTCACTAGACCATAATTGACTTGTTAGGCCTTAATTTGACTCAGTATTCCTTAATTGACTCGTTAGAATGGGTCACACAGGAACTGTCAGCTGATGGGAATTCCAGAGTGTAATAAGTTCTCTGACTCCTCCAGTCTTGTGCTCACACTCAGCGACCCTGAGCTCCTCTGTGTTGAAGTAGTTTGCTGCACAGTTTGTGTTTATGTTTCTACTTCATTACAAAGAGCAGCATTTGGCCAGCAGTGCAGCAGTTACTCTCCACACTTAGTAGTAAAAACACTAATCAGGTACATTTCTTGTTCATCAAGGTACAAACAGTGTAAATGTTCCCTCAAAGGTACAACAGTGGATTTAAGGTCTGATTGTGAACCTTAAATAAGTGTTTCCAGGTGAAAAGTTTGTATTTGTACCTTTTCATAACCGAATGTTTTAAACAGAACAGTAAAATAAAGTCCTGGAGACGAGACGGGGTGTGTGGAGTCAGTACAGCTTAGAACATATCATTCAGTGGATTATGGTTCAGTTATGTTCCCTGACTAAAGGTACTGAGATGGAGCCTTGAGGGTCCCACCCCAGTGACAAGAGGGGACACTGACCCAGAGACAGATTATACCTTTATTTCTGAGAGTGTAGCAGTGCCATTTAAGGTGGAGCAGGTCATTCAAATGTAAATTCAGCTTTGCTGCACTAACACACGGATTATCGCTGTGCTGGGCTTTACTGGGATAAACTGGATACACACAACACACTGTTTATTATCAGTGCATTATTCTGGAATGGCTGATATTGCGCTCTCTCTCTCTCTCTCTCTCTCTCTCTCTCTCTCTCTCTCTCTCTCTCTCTCTCTCTCTCTCTCTCTCTCTCTCTCTCTCTCTCTCTCTCTCTCTCTCTCTCTCTCTCTCTCTCTCTCTCTCTCTCTCTCTCTGTGCTCTCTCTTCCTTTCTCTCTCTGTGCTCTCTCTCTTTGCTCTCTCTCTCTCTCTCTCTCTCTCTCTCTCTCTCTCTCTCTCTCTCTCTCTCTCTCTCTCTCTCTGCTCTCTCTGATCTCTCTTTCTCTCTCTGTGCTCTCTCTCTCTCTCTCTCTCTCTCTCTCTGTGATCTCTCTTTCTCTCTCTCTCTCTCTCTCTCTCTCTCTCTCTCTCTGTGATCTCTCTCTCTCTCTGTGCTCTCTCTTCCTTTCTCTCTCTCTCTCTCTCTCTCTTTGCTCTCTCTGTGATCGCTCTTTCTCTCTCTGTGCTCTCTCTCTCTCTCTCTCCTCTCTCTCTCTCTCTGCTCTCTCTGATCTCTCTTTCTCTCTCTGTGCTCTCTCTCTCTCTCTCTCTCTCTCTCTCTCTGTGATCTCTCTTTCTCTCTCTCTCTCTCTCTCTCTCTCTCTCTCTCTGTGATCTCTCTCTCTCTCTCTGTGCTCTCTCTTTGCTCTCTCTCTCTCTCTGTGCTCTCTCTTTCTTTCTCTCTCTGTGCTCTCTTTCTCTTTGCTCTCTCTGTGATCGCTCTTTCTCTCTCTGTGCTCTCTCTCTCTCTCTCTCTTTGCTCTTTCTCTCTCTGTGCTCTCTCTCTCTCTCTCTCTGCTCACTGATCTCTCTTTCTCTCTCTGTGCTCTCTCTCTCTCTTTCTCTCTCTGTGCTCTCTCTCTCTCTCTCTCTCTCTCTCTCTCTCCCAAAGTAATTTAACCTTATCCCTGTAACTTTGTTGTTTTGTTTGTTTTTTTCAGCGCTGCGACCCAAAACCTGTATGACTGATACAGGGAAACATGGAAAACGACGATACTGAAAGAAAGAAAGAAAGAGTAAGAGACTTGGGGTAGCGTCAGTTATAATAAGTCAAAAAGAATTGAACACGTAAACAAAGCTGCTCCAGTCCGACACTCTCCTCTGCACATGTAAGATATGTACAGTATAAATCTGTATATTCACTGATATTAAACTGTATATTTGCAGATTGAAGTGTAGTATAGATGGTTATATATAAAACACTATATTCTAAATGAGTTAATAAATTCTTTAAACTAAGTGTCCTTTCTGCTGTACAGTTGAGCAGTTTTAGTGATGTTTTGCCCATTTGATGTAAACTCCTGTTCCCTGTCCACACAGTTCTGGATATTTCTGAACACTCAGCTCTCATTCCGTATTGATTACGTAGCGTTTGCTGTGTAGTGAACTGAGTGGAGGATGACTGAAAGATTAATCACTGAGAATCTGAACACAACTACAGGACCTAAAACCTTGGACGGGCTCCAAACACAGAAATAAGCTATGTTTTCAAAAATACCCATAAACGTGTGGACGGGGTCTCACACATTCATACACTCTCACTGTATGTGTAGATACACACTCATATATGTTTACTGTGATTACTTAGTGTCCCAGTCTAACACAGTGGATATGCTTCAGTTTTACTGCTGATATATGCAAACACTGCACAAATACCTCAGATACAGAAACAGTGGCCCCAAAAGTATTTAGACACTTTAACCATTAACTTTAATGAAGTAATTTACTTAAAATGTTTACCAAAATGATATTAGTTTCATAGAAAAACACTTTTAGGCTGGTGGTAGACTCTGTGGAGAACTGCAGGACTGGGTTGCCCCATTTTGTAAAGTCTTTAAGTCCTTAGTTAATAATAGTTATTTTCACACTATCCTTTTTAGTAAATTTAGCTGCTCCACAAATCAGATAATTGTATCTAAACTAGTAACAACTAACTAACATATACGTCACATTAACATGAGAATATGTTCAGAACCGATTTATAAACCCGCTGCCATGGAAACACGACGGCACCTGCTCTGACTTTATACTTGGAACAATATCCAGTTGAAAACAGAACGATATGTACAGGTTGGGCTGTAAAACTCAAACTGCTGCAGTTTTTTTTTTTTTACCTGAAAATATGAACATAGATCATCTGGAAGATGAAAAAATTTAAATCCTTCATTTCGTCTTCATTTGGCTTCTGTGTCTCACGGTGATGCTGCTCACTTATTTCCAGTACCGCCGTCTGTTTTCGCACATGCTCAGACTGAGAAATCCGAAAGAAATCAGAGTAAGAGTTTACAGCGCTGAGAAATCTGATTACTGAGCTCAAATCCAGCCTCTTTATCAGATTTCTTAATCAGATTTATAGACTTCGATCTAAGAAATCAGAGTGTGCTGTTTACGTGACCATTTGAATAATCAGATAACTGCAGAAATCTGATTATGATCGGATTATTGAGTGCATGGAAACACATTCAGTGTATAATGTTTAGTGTTTTTAGCTTAGTTAACCAAAAAAAGTCACGTCTTTGGTCTTTTCTGTTCTCTGCGGTTTCCGCAGTACTTACTCCTACTTAGGAGACGTATAAATACATATTATAAAATAAATAATAATAAATATATAAATATTTAGTAGATAATTAACTCAACATTAAAATTAGTTTGTGTGGTGCAACTAGTTTTGATTTAATAATGCGCAAACCTGAACTTAGTGACGTGACTAATGACCTACTTTTGAACTGACGTACGGCCGGGGCAGCCCACCCTGGAGAAGACCTCCAGACTGCAGCGAGGGTCCTGTAAGGCACAGAGATGAAGACGTCTGGGGCTGTTTTTCTCACAGTGGTGCTGCTGAGCTTGTGTTGATTGAGGAAAGCATGAACTCTGAAATGTGCAAAGAACCTGAAAACTCACCAGCTGCCTTTAGAAGGAATGCTTCACCAAAAAAATGGGTCTTGAAATTGTCTGTTTAAAATAAGACACTTTGATACCTAACACAATGAAACTTAATACATTGTTTTGCCTGGCACTGATGTCCAAATACTTTTTGTGGCCGCTGTATACACACCCTGCACCGCTACCAGTGCTTTTACGCTCAAACCGATCTCTTTGAAATGTTTTTAATACAAATAAAGCTGTTTTCTTTGTCAGTTTGCAAAGACTTTCCACACTAAATTGAAAACTGTTTGGTATTTGATGTTTTTTTTTCCTCTGTAAAACTGAAGAAATACCTGATAAAAGATCTACTTTGGGAATAATATCCAAAAAAACACATTATCTCCCCTCGTTGTGATGTCAGCACTCAATCAGGTGTTTAAACCACCTTTGGACCAAAAGAGTTTCAGTGGAAGCTTTAAACAATAAAACTGACAAATCCTTTAGAATCTGCTCTCGAGGACGATACTTTGACGAACATGAAGCTGAGAGTTTAAGATTAATGTACACAAAGCATTAGAACAGAGCTGCTTTATGATGATGAAAGCTTTTCAGGTGTTTTTTCTTATTTTAAAGGTGCGTAATTATACGATTAACTGGTTAAGATGTAAAAGGAGCCGTTCAGAGTGGTTTGGTGTGAAACGCTCTGTTCTAGAGAAACTTACAGAGTCAGAACTGTTCACAGTGGTGGTGATAGGAACCAGACGTCCACCTCTAAAAGCTCCCTCACTTTCTCCAAAAGAAAAAAGCTGCTTGATGCCTGAGATATTGTTTTATGATGATTTACTGCTATTTTCCATCATCAACATTCCATATAAACTCAGAGGACTCGTGTTGGTTCACTGGTGGTTCTGGATAGTAAATAAAATGTCTATATTTGTGTTGTAGTCATGGCGACCCCTGGTTCCTATCACCACCACTGTAAAGACATCTGAACCATTTCACACCAAACCACTCTGAATCTCTCTTCATCTCTCACATTGAATTTTGTAGAAATTCTGACTAAAAAGGGTAATTTTACTGAACTGCAACAGTGAAAATCCAACATGATGTTGAAAAATTGGATCCAATTTGCAAAAATCAGATTTCACTTTTTTTTTCTTTATGAAATAACATAGACCACTGTAGTCGTGCATCATTCTGTAGTCCTCATAATGCCCATATTAGGAACTCTGAGTCTGAGCTCCATTTCTCTATGGCCAGAATGAATAGGGTTTTCAAAAAATCGCCTGTAGCGCCCCCTGTGTTAAATACAAATGTTCAGAACCCGATACATTTTGTCCTGTGAACATTCTTCTCTCGAAAATCACTGGATCCTCTGAATTACAAGGTCGTAAAGAGCTATAATACTAATATTGCTACATGCGAGTTAAAGCTACTGCGCATCAATTTGATGTCACTAAGCTACACGAAACTAAGGTGGGCTGTGCCGGTGCTCTGACCAGCTGTGCTACCTTATCAAGCTAATGTTACTCAGCTATTAAGCGGAAATAGAGAAACCTCCTCATATCAGATGAAGAACAGAGAACTGCAGGGAAACCTGCTGATTTTGTTCTGATCTTCTCATCTGCCCTCAGTCTGAACATGGAATTGTTCACTGACAAAGCCGGATTAAGGAGGCCGCCAGTCTAATGACGTGAATTCAGAGCGCAGTAACTTCAGCTCACATGTAGCAATATTCATATTTCACCTCTTTACCGACCTCGTAATTCGGAGGATCCAGGGTTATTCGGGAGAAGAATGTTCACAGGACAGAACGTATCGGGTTCTGAACATGTTTATTTAACACTGATAGAGGCGATTTTTCGAAAACCCTATTCATTCTGGCCATAGAGGAATGGAGCTCAGACCCGGAGTTCCTAATATGGGCCTAAGAGCACGGCGCCAACTACAGTGGACCATTTCATTCATTTTGGACTTGTTTGAGCGCTTTCTAGTCTCTGATGAAGCTGGAAGGCATTGTTAGGAGGCAGTTTTCCTCACTAGATATTGTCAGGACGACTGTTACAGGCCTATCAGAGAAACAATGAGAAAGAGGGCTATGAGAATCAGTCACTGTTACCAGTGAAAACCAGTGACTGCTGTTAGGAGCGAATCACAGTCAAAACCATGAACGTCAATGCAGAAGCCTGTAATTAGAGCTGGGTGACATGGCAAAAATGGAACGGCACGATACTTCTGATATCTAATGAGCATTACTTTGTCTCAGCATATTGGGAATATTCTCAGTACTTTAACAAGATAAAAAATTCCCAACTGCAGCATACAAAGTAGTGCCACTGGTCCACCTAGAAGATGTCAGAAAAAATATATGTCGTGATAAATCGAGTATTGTGGAAACATTTTAAAGTATCGTGAAACTATTTCACATCTTGCTCTGCACTAAATCCGATTAAACCGGACTAATTATGCTCAGTTTGTGATCAAACATGCAGCTGGGAAGTGATTTTTAAGTTACGCTGATGTCCGCAATATGTTCAGAGAAGCATATCATGATGTAATTTATTACGATAGCGATAATCATGGTCATATTGCCCAGCCCTGCCTACAACAGTGGTCTGTTAGTATGAATATGAGAAGAGCTCAGTGTATCATGTGGCCTCTTTTCCACTGTAGAGCCAAATGGTTCTCAGGGCTGTAACGTTCTGGACTCATGAAACCGGTTATGGTTTCCTTTTCTGTCTGCTGTGCTGCTGAATCAGAACCAGAAGATGCTGAAGAAAACCACACAAAAGAGTGGCTAACATGCTAACAGGCTAATAGCTGCACACACACATACAAACATTCACAAACCACCACAGAACACGTTTGATTCTGTCTGTCACTCCAAAACCTTTCTCTCGGTGTGTTCTCGGGTTCTTTTTCCTCTAAATGGGTGTTGTTTGAGTATCAGGTATGAAACCGAGTCTGTACTGCGGCGCGTTTCACCTGTAGCCGGCTGATGTCTTCTGCCCAGGGTCTAGACATGTATGAGTATCTCTAATATGTTCTATACTGCTGCCCTGATAACTAACTGTGTGGTCTAACTTCTCCAAAAGGAATTAGAGGATTAAAAGAATATCAACAAAAGTAAAAAGGAATAAAAGGAATAAAA